TATCTAAGGGAAATGTAGGGCACTATTTTACGATCCAGAAGATGAGGGCATCGCTTTCTCCTATCTGCCGAGGAAGAAGCAATGTTTGAAAATGGTATGTATGAATGCATACTCCATTCACAATTTATTTTTTATCATTAAATGTATAATGTTAAATTTATCTTTAATTGTAATATGTAGAACAAGATGAGTTGAAAGCTGAACTGAATTCGCTGTCCAGATCCCTTTCACAACTGGCACGACAGAGGAGAAATGTCATTTTAAAAGGGAAGAGAAGTCGTAGGCCATTCAATCTCCGGGATAAACAAATGCAGCATGGTTGTCATGTCGGTGGCATGCCACCCGGTTCAACCTGGTTCAACCTGTGCCGGTCATGAAACCGGTATGACACCACCGGTATGACCGGTATGATCGACTTACGTATTCTAAGCAAAATGACATCATTTTAATGAGTAAACAAATTAATTTTTTATGAATGTAATAGTTAAAAGTTGATGATATTTGTTGGATTGTAACTAAATTGTCCACAAATATGTTTTATATATGATTAAATACATTGGATATTAATTGTTTTCACATATTTTTAAATCGGCATGAACCGGCACAAACTGGTTATACCACTGGTCGTACCATTCCACTTGTCAAACCGGCACAACGGTATAAACCGGTTTGACAACCTTGATTATGCAGCAATTTAGTTGTCGGTGTCTGTTGTTACTATATAATCGAAAATGCATTTATATTCTACTAATTTTCACTGTATTTATAATGTTTTAGGTTCTGTGTGGTTGAAGGCTGAGTTTGTCAATCTATTGACTAAACGTAATAGATTGTATCGTCGTATTCATTTGGTACAAAAGCGTCGACGTCAAGTCATTTTCAAAAATCGTTCCAATCACAGTATGTGTTGTGTAGGGGGAAATATCCGAGTTTGTTTACGTTATATTCATGTATTTTTTTTATATTGCACATTTGTTTCATATGTCGTTGATAAATATAATATGACTACCAATTGTTTTATTTTCCGCCTTATGCATTTATTTAAGCTTCAATGTATATTTGGCACGATCAAAACTCAAACATATAATTTTAGCTTGGTCATTGTAATTGTTGTAACACAATTTATCATGATAGTGTTTTCCATTTCAGTATTTGTATGTATTAGTATTGGGATCTCAATATTTGTTACATCAATTTTTTTAGTGTTTTCAAAAATAATGTCCAGTAATGACCTTTGTGTATGTATATCATGTTTAAATTACACGAGGGAGTGTAATTAATTATGTACTATAATTTAGGGGAAGTTTTTATATAATTATTCCTATCTTATATAGTATGGTTCTTATACTAATTTATGCGGAGTACAATATATCAATTTTTGTTTCGTATTTGATTCTTTTCTGATATGTATCATCATGATACTCTCATGATGCGATAAGTTACGCTTTTGACTAAATATGTATATTGTTATTGTCATAGGTATTCCAATAATTGAGTGTTTCAATATTGGAGCTCCCACATGTACCTGTCAACATTATGGTGCTGTGTTCTGCCATTATGAGAGCACTTTGGCCACAATGAATGATTTGTTTCCTTAATTTCCAATATGTTGCAAGCATGGTAAGATGAAGCTTCCTAATCGTAGAGATCCTCCTCAATTTCTCAAGACTTTATTGGAAGGTAATATTGCTGGGAATCGTCATTTTTGTGCTAACAGTCGAGGTTATAATGATGTATTTTGTTTTATTTCCATTGGAGGAAAAGTGAATAATTCCGTTATTGATGGGAAAGGTGTCTATGTGTATTATATTGGAGGGCAGATTTATCATCGAATTGGCAGTTTGGTTCCTCCAGAAGGTGTTAGTCTAAAATTTTCACAATTTATATATTCATGACTCGGATAATGAGGTGCAGAATCGCTTGGACTTATATTCATCTGATCTTGATAAGAATCCCTTACGTACATCTATTGTTGAAGGTCTTCAACAAATGTTTGATGCCAATAATGTTCTGGTACGTACTTTTCGTTCTGCAAGAGATAAGAGGCTAATAGTAGGGAATAATGATTTGCCCTCTGTAAATGAGATTGCAACGTTGATTGTAGATGAAACCGGGGATGAAACATTTTCCCCGGATATAATAGTTCAGCATTGTACATGTCAGATGGAAAGAATAAGCCTGTACCATCCCAGTCTAATGGCTTTGCAATATCTAATTTTATTTCCATATGGAGGAGATGGGTGGCACACAAGTATTAGTTATACTCAAAATACATATGGAAAAAGTGGTTTGGAGAAAATGGTAACACAATGTGACTATTATAGCTATCGTCTTCAAACAAGGCGTGGTGAATCAAATTCTTTGTTACCATATGCAAAATTGCTTCAACAATATGTCATTAATGCATATGCTCTAATTGAGGGTGAACGTTTGGATTAGATGTGTAACAATCAGTCCAAGTTGAGAGGCCATCATTACCAATGGTTGGTAGAATCTTATTTGCATGGTGATAGTGACATGAAGTTATATGAAAAACCGGTTATTCTAGCTGCCACCCACACCGGAAGTCCAAGATACAAATATGAGAATTTCCAAGATGCTATGGGATTTGCAAATGGATTGGATATCCAGATTTGTTTATCACCTTCACCTGTAATGCCAAGTGGCTTGAGATTCAACTTATGGTTGATTTGATTAGGGACTTCATTGGCCAGGATCCTAATCGGACCGATGTTATAGCAAGAGTGTTCAAGATTAAAATGGATGAATTCATGACGGGGATCAAGGATAAAGAAACTTTTGGGAAAATACGTGCATGTATGTATCCCATTTATAATATCTTATATATTCTATTCATTCTTTATTAACATTGTGATTAATTTTTTGATTATTGCTGGTAAATTTTAACAGATGTTCTGGCAATTGAATGGCAAAAACGCGGACTCCCTCACACACCTACTCTTATTTCCCGCGGCTGAGGATAAGCCTCATGGACTTGCTGACCTTGATTCTATAATATGTGTTGAAATCCCAGATCCAGATCTAGATCCTGAATTGTATACAATAGGGACGACTTCTATGATGCATGGACCATGCGGTGCTTTACGTCCCAACAATTCATTCATGAAGTTTGGTAAATGCACTAAACATTACCCAAAGCAATTTTGCAGTCAAACTATAATCAATGACAACGATTTTGCCAAGTACCGTCGGCGCAATAATGGTCGGACATTCAATTGCGGAGGTGTGGAGCTCGACAATCAATGGGTTATTCCGTAAAATCGATACCTGCTACTACCTTTTGGAGCTCATATCAACGTTGAATTTTGTAACAAAACAAGGTTGGTGATTATTTCGTATATTTCTACTACCTTTTATAATTTCTACTATGTTTTTTACTTACAATATATTTATACAGTCATATATGGTATGACACTCATTTAGGATACGGCAAATTTTTCCATCTCTAACTTTATTACACATGTTCAAAGGATATAATTTGGGATTTAGATGTTTATTACTATATTTTTTTCTTTTATATACACACATAATGTATAAAGGTCATACTATATGTTTATGTATTTTTAGGACTGTCAAATATTTGTTTAAGTATATCAACAAATCTGAGGATCGTGCAATGACAATATTGGCTGCACAAGAACAAACATCTGCTATTGACAGTGGCCTTTCTTCAAAGAAAGTTATCAAAATTGATGAAATTAAAGCCTTCATGGATGCTCGGTATATTACTTCTGGTGAAGCGTGTTGGTGAATCTGTAGGTTTGATATTTACAATCAGTCTCCCTCAGTGTTACATATGTCTTATTATTTGCCTGGAGAAAATACAGTATATTCCAATCCAAAATCCCATGTGCAAGATGTTCTTGAATCCTATAGGGAAAAAATGTTGTTGGCTTTAACGGATCTTAATGCTAAGTCAAGTGAAGCTCACAAATATACCTTTGCAGAGCTTCCTAAATATTATGTATGGAAACAGCTCGAGAAAAAGTGGCAGAAGCGAAAGAAAGGGATTTGCATTGCAAGATTGTATTACTGCTACCCATATGCACAAGACTGGTACTATCTGCATATGTTGTTACATGTCATGAAGGGTGCTTCCAATTATGAGGATATTAGAACTGTGAATGGTGTTATCCATCCAACATTTCATAAAGCATGTTATGCACGTGTTTTGCTTATTGCTTATTGCTGATTCTTATTTTGAATGGAATGATTGTTTGAAAGAAGTTTCCTTTTGGGCAACAGGGTATAAACTTCGGAAACTCTTTGTTAGTATTCTTATTCATTGTCAAGTGGCTGATATCCAATCTTTTTGGGATAAGAATTGGATAGTACTTAACGATGACATATTGTACTCCAGGAGAAAAACAACTCAACCTACCACAATTGAACTTGGGTGATGATATGATTAAAGAGCTGTGTCTACTTTGGATTGATGAGTTATTGCATAAGTATTCAAAGACTGTGGCTGATTTTCCAGGATTGCCAATTCCTAATCAGTGTATGGCAGCAGTTGATATGAACAGGTTAATTGCTGAAGAGATGTGTCGTACCTCCAATGACTTTGATTGTGTAGTGGATGATGTGTATGCGAAGTTGAATGTTGAACAGAGTTTGGCTTTTGACAAGATTCTACACTCTATGCATATGGGTGAAGGTAAATGTTGCTTTGTAGATGGTTATGGAGGTACTAGTAAAACATTTTTGTGGCGAGTAATTTGTATGAAATTGAGGCAAGAAGGAAAAATTGTGTTGTGTGTGACATCCTCTGGTATTGCTTCTTTGCTAATGGTGGGAGGAAGGACAACACATTCAAGATTCTGCATCCCTATCAGTTGTGATTCTAAGTCAACATGCTACATTGAACAAGGTTCAGACTTAGCAGAATTGATTAAAACTACTTATCTTATTATATGGGATGAAGCACTAATGGCTCATAAGCATAGTATAGAGGCTTTAGACAAGACATTAAGGGATATCCTAAATACCAAGAATGTTGATTATGAGAACATGGTGTTCGGGGTATGACTGTGGTTTTTGGAGGTGATTTTCGCCAAACGCTGCCAATCATTGCCAAAGGTACGAGAACTGATATTGTAAATTCGTCTATTAAATGGTCATATTTGTGGCGGTCAATGATTGTTTTCAAGTTAACCCAGAATATGTGTTTAGCCCAAGGTAATGATATGTTTGGTTCAAATCTTGAGATTGAGTCATCTAGAAATTGGCTTTTGGAGATTGGTGAAGGAAGACATAGTAATATTTTTGGTGAATCAATTATCTATATTCCAGCTGAAATATGTGCAGAACGAAAGTCAGATCCTATTTATGATATTTGTGGTTGTAGTCTATCTTGATTTAGTGACAAGACACAATGATGACAGTTATTTGGTTGAGCATGCTATCTTAGCACCACACCATGACAATGTTTCAATGGTTAACAATTACGTGTTAGGTCTGTTTCATGGAGAGGAGGTTACCTATTTTAGCTCCGATTCAATTGAGATTGATGCTAAGGATACACATGTCGTTGATGGTGACTATTCAATTGAATTTTTGAATTCTCTTAGAATTGGCAATTTTGCTGAATATGAGTTAAAATTGAAGGTTGGCTGCCCCGTTATTCTCCTTCGATTGATCAAAGAACAGGTCTCTGCAATGGAACTAGAATGGTTGTAAAGCGATTGAGCAAATGGTTTATTAAGGTAAATTTTTTAAATGCCACACATATTGGGGATATAGCTTTCTTGTCGCGCCTATCTCTCTCTACTCATTACAAGAGCTTGAACTTTACACTGGTACGAAGACAGTTTCCAATTGCATTATTATTTGCAATGACTATTAATAAGAGCTCAAGGCAGAAATTGAATCATGTAGGACTCTGCTTGCAAAAGCAGGTGTTTTCTCACAGTCAGCTTTATGTTGCGATGTCCTGTGTTACATCAAAAGTGGTCTTAAGATTTTGAGTTCTGATTAAGAGGGTCACCAATTGAAAACGATGCAAAATATAGTCTTCACAGAGATCTTTGACTGAAGCTTTGTACTGCAATGTGCTAGATAAGTCACATTATTTACAAACCAAAACTATTATTGTTATTTCACAAAGTTCATATTTATTTTGTAGCATTTTAAAAATTAATAGATTTCTTACCAACCTTAAGATTTTTTCAAATCGTTTCGTGCAAGCAGGACTTTTCCATGACAATATCTTTTATCAATGATGGAGATGCATTACAAAACATGAAAGCAAAAGGATCTGCCTTCAATTGTTAGAGTATGTTTTCTTTTGGATCAACAATATTGTGCATCTTGGCCAGTTCACACTAATTCTCACTTTCAATTAACAACTAGGGGTTGTGTTGTCATTGTCTTCTTTTGGGGTAACATGATCAATGAATTTGAGAACTTGTTTCCTGCCGCTGGTGTGTTTGGGCAAGTTTTGTCACTCACCTCACTCTTTATCCAACATAACGAAGGTAAAATTATTGAATTCATAATTAAAACTATTTGTACAAAAATTTTTGCCCAATATTATTTTTTTATGCCCAACTTGAATCAATTTCTGGTATGGAAATTTAAAAAACTTCATTTCCCCCAAAATGCTATGACCCATTTATTATTTTATAAATGCTAAATGTCGATTCCTTTTCCCTTTCCATGCTTCGATATCATAATTTCCTACATTGTTTTAATAAGTTTATTATTTCAATTTTGTTATGCAATTTTGAACATTTGTTACATTATTTGATAGGTGAGTATGTGTTTACTGCGTCCCCCGCTACAAAGATATATGTTGACCTTCATTGTCCTCAGATTCAACGCCTCTTAAACCGGTAAGTTCTATTAAATACTAATTTAACCATTTCAACATTGCAATTGTCCTTTCTTACACATTAACTTTCTATGCTTTCTTTCATTCGACAACCATGTTAACAAGAATTATTTCATCACCCATCGCACATATCCCCAAGCCCGAGAATTTAGTTACAGCTGTTATGCGATAGACCTTCTTGAACTTCAACAACATGGTAATAAACTCTTATAACACTAACCATACTTTTAATACCTATGTATTCTATCAATTTCATACTTTACTTACGTTTTCCACTTACAATATTCTACATTAACCCACCTTAGGAACAAGTCTATCTTTGTGTTGGAGATGTGATCGAGATGGTGACTTCATGGTGTCCTGTTACACAATCAACTGTCATTCATCTAACAATTGTAGATGTCAGTGGTGATGTCGCTGTCATATTTACCTCACGACACCTTAGACGAATTGCTTCAGCTGTCCTCTCATCCGATGATGTGTTGCATGCGGATTTCAACACCATTCTCCACTCTCTAGATGGTCAGCTTTATGAATTGCTGGACAAAGTTGGACATGGAACCTTGTTATGCAGTATTGTGATATAGTGTTGCTTAAATTATTCCCAGCATTTAATCAGTAGCAGTTCACTATCGTGCTTTTCATTCCTTCTTTATCTTTTGGACTTTTTGTTAATATAGTGTTCCGTAAACCAGTACTATGCCTCCACTTTTTTAATTTAGAGTTTTTCTATTACTTCGAGTTTTTTATTTCTCATTTCCTGGATTTATCCAATTTAGTTTTGGAGGCGCAAAATTAAATTACCCATAAAAGAAACGTTGCAATTAGTTTCTTGCAGCCACACCCACTTCTAACTATGGTGTGTGGAGCTGGGAATTTCGAACAGAATCATATTATTTCATCAGTTCCATTTGTTTTGGATCGGGGCAGTGTAACACCCCAACTTTTTTGTTTAGGTTTGACCATAGCAAATGAACGGTTGAGTGGACGGTTACGTATGAAAAACTCCAAATCAAATCAAATCGGGTTAAACTAAGGCCTAATTAATTATTTAGGCCCAAATTATGTTTTTATTACTTGGTAGATTTATAGAGTGGCCCACGTTGTGGAATAAAGGAAAAGAATATGTCTTACCCATTGAATTAAAGAATGATTCGTATTTCTTCCTCCTTTCGTGGATGATGACTGGATTTTGAAGAGGGTAGTTAATAAACAACGGACCAAGGAGTTAAGTGGAGTTAACTCAGTGTAATTAGGTGGGTAATTATGAGATGGGGAAAACGTATTTGCCTTTACGTTAGGGTTTAAGGAGGAACTCGGTTCATCCTCCTCCTCATAAGAATAACACCGGGGTAAGACACGAAAATCAAGCAGCCATTTGATCCTTTTCCATGCGCAATCACCGCGCCACCATAACAAACAGACACAACCAATGAAAGAAATCACTCGGAGCATTTGGCCAACGATGATACCTAGCTCTTTCCCCTCCCTACCCGACAACCACCAGAGATTGTTCTCCTTCTCACCATATACTCCGCCCCAAACACAAGAAAAACTAGTGGGTCGATAACGGTGAACAAGCTGGGAGCTACAGCAGCGTTGTGACGGTGGCTACTAGAGAATAAAAATGGTAGCGCCTTGTGATGGCGGCAATGGTTCCAAGAACGAGATTCATTTCTCAAAACCAACCGGTGTAAAGGTACTCTTGGCTTCACTCTCAGATTTAATGACGATTCCAATGTTATGGTGCCCAGAGAATTAGAAGTCATTAGTGGATTCTAGGAGTTTCGTATGGGTTAGTTGGATACGTAACGTGATGAGATGAGTTGTGACGCATGGTATATATACGTATGGATTATGGTTGGGCATTTTGGAGTTGAGTTGCATACACATATATACGTGATGTGACTATGTGAGTCCATTTTGGGGAGTTAAGTTGATTATCTTGGATAGTTGAGGGAGCATGCACTCACGTAAACAAAAGTGCAAGGGATTAAAAAGTATGCCCGATTTGTGTTTCTTGCCAAGACTAAAGTTAGACAAGGTTAAATGAACGAAAGAGGGCTTTCAACATTTATATATCCATACGGGTATATATGTATGAGAATGAGATATTACGTAGAGGAGAGTTCGATGGAAGGGAGGGCATCAGAGGTCGGGCTAATAGTGGGTAATAAGCAGACCTATATGTATATACATGTGTAATGTAAAAGACTTTTGATTATTGGTACTCGACACATCTATCATGGATGGCTACATGACAATATGGGAAGTTATTGCGCTTCAGAGACACGGACCAAGGAAAATATTATTGGAGCGAGTTATGGAACTTATTGAGCGGAATTGGGGTCAGTTTCAACAGAAATAAGGTGAGTGTAAAGGGGGTAAATTCTACGCCTTACGTATTTTTCAAGTATTTGCCTTACGTGTTTAAGAAGTTGTTTTATGTGAAATTGTGTGCTTGCTTATGTTTATGGGTGATGATGTGTGTTCTTTTGATTCATAGTTTGAAGGATATGTTTATGAGATTTGAGTATTTAATTGAAGCTTTTACATTTCTTTTGACGATTAAGTTAAAGCAATAAGAGCAAGAGAAAGTCATAAGCAAGAATAAGTTAACCTCGCTTAGCTAGCCACTATCTAGATGGATTCCGACCGGGCGGTGATAAGTTCCGCGGTAGTTGATCACTACCGGATGGTGATACGTTCCGTGGTAGTTGGTCAGGCGTGGAGCCGGACGGTGATGAGTTCTGCGGTCTCCATTGCCTAGGTTTAGGTGTGCTACCAGATGGTGATACGTTCCGCGGTAGTCACGCCGTAGTTTGACACCGGATGGTGATTCGTTCCACGGTGGTCAAACCCATTTGAGGGGCACCCCATTGTGAGGGTAGTCATGTTTAAGAAGTAAGAAAGTAAGTAAGGCTAGTAGTGGAGCCTCCAACAATAAGATAAAGGAAGAACTAATACGTTTTCAAGAGTTAAAGTTTAGAAGGCGGAAGTACAAACAACTTCAATAAGTTTAAGTAAGTGTTTCAAGCAAGGTGGTCAAGTATTAAAAGTAATAAACGTAAGGGTGTAGACTGACCCCATCTCACTCACCAGTTTGAAGAGGACTAAGAGGAGTTAGAGAGCAGCGAGTTCGAGAGGAGCAGTTTGAGGGCAGCTAGCTATAGGAGGGAAGTACAAGCGCCACTGAGGATGACTGGTCAAGGCTTTCAGGAAGCAGTTGCATTAGAGACTTTTTAGTTGTTTCAGTTTATGATTATGAGTATAGGCTGGAGATCATTTTGAGATTTTAAGGTTTGCGTTTCCCCAAGTGTCAAGCTTTGTGTTTAAGCAATGATAGTTGTTTTCGGTATTTATTAAAGTTATTCATGAAAATTTTCCGCTATTTTTCTAAGTATTTTCAGTTCTTATTTTATTTCACGGTTTATTAAGGGTATTTTGGTAAAATTAGTACCCGACCGGGTTAGGGTGTTACAGGCAGAGCGGCCATGAATACTCTCATCAACCCAACATAAAAAATAAGTTAAATACATTTTATAAAAAAATAATTAATTTCTTTAGCCTATAATATAAAATGAAATTCTCTATTCATATTAACCAAATTAACCAGTTAAGTAATTAGTCATATATCTAACATATATTATATACACATACTTAATACTTTGCATAACCACTCAAGAGTTAATGTTCATCCCTTTAGACTCATAAAATATAAAGCTCAATATTGCTCATATAGTGTATATTTGTATATGTAAAGTGTAGACCACAACATATGGATGCCTAATTTAGATAAATTTCATACATTATGATTGATGAAAACTTGAAAGGAAGGTCATTTCGAGCCTATGATAATTGCTAAGAGACTAAGTCAATTTACACAAACACAACAATTCATTAACCCATACCATTGTCATAAATTTATGTTAGGTGAATACTTCTATACAAATCGTAAGATAATTGTCTTAGTTGCATGTATTTTTGTTAAGGGTCAACTATAACTACGTGTTGATTGTTATGTTTTATTCATTATATAAATTGTGAATTGTTGCATTAACCGGAAAATTTTCATCGTCAATGATAATGTGATTTTATATTGGTTAATTTGGTTAACCAATTAACCAAACCGATTAAACTTTAGTTTGGTTAATTTGGTTGTTGTATTAGTTTGGACGGTTTGGTTATGATATTGTATTCCATGGTTAATGGAATTTAGCCTTATTTGGTTTGGTTATAACCATGGTAACCATTTGAACACCCCTTAGAAATAACCCACAATGGTTTTTCATGAGCAACCCCAATGGGCCTCGCTGTTCAAAGACCAAACCTATACATGATTATTGAAATAAGAGACCCCAAGTAGCCCTAATATTTTACAAACGAACCGGTTTAGTCTTCAATTTAAAGTAAACCTATCAGCCAATATACACACCTATCAATTACAACTACATCCACCACCAAATATTCTCGGAACCATGATTCTATGCAACTCATAACTGCCAACGGATACCTCGACCCATGTACTTCCATTTCATGCACCAACTATATCACGTCCAACCACTTCTCGACTTTATATAATGGAGAGCGCATTTCCCCATTTCATTATGCATTTCGCAAACGACCACTTCGGCTCCAACCACCGTCACAATTGCATTGAACATGGCAGACATACCTCAATTCAATCAGTAAGTACTGCTTATGCATCTAACGAATACTACATCAGTTCATTTCGATTCTTTTTCACTAATTAGTGACAACACTTATGGTCCAATATATAAGCATCCCCATGGTACGACTTTTGTGCAACGCTGCATTTTCCCCGATTTGCTTTCACCAAATTCGTTTCTTTATTTACACCAAGGCACCTCCTACCTCTTATCCGGACATGTAAAGGATTTGACCACGTGCTGGTCCCCTGCATCCAGAATTCATTTTGTCCACCTCACAATTGAGGATGATTTCATTGGTGTTGAGATCGTCTTCCCGTCATCACACTTACGTAGGATCGTTGCATCTGTATTCAAAACTGCAGATGTTGCCAATGCTGACTATATGTCCCTTCTGGACATGCTTGGAGGACAGACATTTGAAGTCATGGTCACAGTCAGTCCCCGGAACAATGCATTTGCTTATTTTGAACTTGTGTTGGTGAAATTATTTTTGCCTTTGGAGAACTGAGTACCATGTCATGAACAATGAGACAATGTATTAAGCTTTTCTATTTCGCACCGTCATGTTATTCGTCGTAATACTCAACCATATTAGATTTGCGATTAGTAAAATTTGATAAATATTTTATCCTGATTTGCTATTCTTCAAATGTATCCTCATGTTTATAATACGTGTGTGAATGGTGTGGTTTTTCTCTTTATTATAAAATTACTTTGTTTTTCTCTTATTGTGAATTTTCATTCAAATTAGGTGTTCGTCTGCGACGAATTGCAAAATTGCAACAATCTTATGCTCACATATCGCTTTACTCATTTCTCGACACTACCATTATAGATATCGTAACTCCATTTTACTTAACAGTTATGGCCAACGGGCCGGGCTATATGCTAGTTATTATATAAAGCTAAATCATTGTTACTGTTGCCTAACAATGTCTTTTGATGCAGTTGTTTATATCAAACTAACTAATCCTATTAGATTAGGCTTAAGCCAATGGGCTTCTAAGATCATTGGTTAGTTTTTTTAATGGGCCTTTCTATTTAAGAGCAACACAAGCGATTTTCTTATGAAAAGCCCTATGACAAGTAAAACTAATGAAATAACACTTACTTCGAATGGAAACACCATTCTTTTACTCTGATAGATATGGAAGCCTTGAAAAATGGGAACATAAGGGTAGTGGAGTCTTTAAAAAAAGGCAGTGGATATTTGTAAAACCATGAAATTGTCTCTTCTTCGGCATCATATCTCAAGCATACATAATAGATGGGGACCTATCAAATAAGAATTGTTGCAATCCGAATGCACAATATTGTTATCAATAAAAAGAAGGATAATTTTCAACACACCATGGTGGATTCAATTATGAATACATTCAATCAAGAAGTTTGCCAAACAAACAAAAAAATATGCATTGACCATCATAACACAAATCAAACCATAGTTCAAACGTCATAATATCAATATGGACCAATAAATTGATCCACAACAAGATTTCCCTAATGGTGAATCCGAACGAATCGAGTGGGTAAAATCCAATGTTGTCAGAACCGGACCGGGCAGCAACCCGGATTAACGAGAGGTTTAAGGTTTATCGGACAACCGGTAATTAACCGGTATAAAACCGTTTATAAAACCGGTAACATATAAAATTTTCAAATTAAATAATTATGAATTTTTTGTACATATGAAAATTAGTACTAGTTTTGAAATTGAGAATTTTATACTTGATATACATATTCAATAAAATAATTCAATATTAAAAATTTAATCATAGTACTTTTAATTTATAAATAAATGAGAGTATCTGAAGACATAAACCAACTTCATAAGTACTTGACAAACCATAACAAAATTTAATCATAGTATTTATTATTTTCCCACTTTTTCAAGCTAGGAAGATATATTTCAAATTTGAAAAATAAAACGAAAATCAGCCAAACCGGCGGTTCGGGTCAGCCGGTTTTCACGGTTAACCGGGCGAACCGGTTACAACCCGGCGGGCCATTTTCTGTATCGTTTTTGCACTATCGGGACCGGGGATATGGCCGGGTCCGGTTTTTTCCGGTCGGACCGGCCGGTCCGGTCCGGTTTTGATAACAGTGGTAAAATCCGAACTCGAATTTTTTTTAATGAGTATAGATAAAATCCGAACTCGAATATTTTGAGTGACGGGTGGGCATGATTTTCTGACTGTTCAACCTGAATCTGCTCGATTATACACATGCACATTTTTCTTAAAAAGAATTTTTTTTCTCAACATATTATATATTTATTATACATGGATAATATTTTCATGAAATTATTTGTTAGCTAATTTCCTTCATTTTAGTAATTTATTGTTTTAATTTTTCCCTTATGTAATCTCAATTTGTGTGAAATTCTTAACATGTTAATTGAAATTATAAAGAGAAACTATTAGCAATGATTAATCGTGAATACCCGAAACTCGATCAAATATGAATAAAAATACGAACTATTATGAGTAGGCTAATAGCTATGCATTATCCGGGGCCCGACCTGACCCATTTCGCTCCTAGATTTCCCAGTCTTAATTTTGGAAAACAGGTTGCTACACAACTATCTAACCCCATCACCATTCTTTCTCGATTTGAGGGAAGTAGATAGATAGACTATAAAAGATTAAGAGAAGAAGCAAGAGGAAAACCCAAAGCTCATGATCTACGAATTTGAAAACGGGGTCAGAAAACCCTTTTCCATTTTGTGTCATCGTTATTATTTCCTAACACATCATCCCCAAATTTCGCCGTTACATCTCTAGAGCTCAAGATATAAGGTTAGAAAATTGGGGATTAGGGTTGGCAGATTGTGGATGCAGATCTACCAGTCATCAATCCAAGTACAACCCCTCCTTATGTTTGTTGTCTCTAGAGGTAGTGTTCCTACCCACCCCAGTTGTCCATAATCTCCCTGAAAATTTCCCCTTCATGATTTGTTTTCCTTAATCACATGGAATGCAGCAAATCGCAATTCCTTTCCAATTTATAAATGAAATCGAAAAACCTAATCCCTTACTAATTCGCCAAGGATTCGATAACTTACTCCTGAACAAACAATCATAGACACAAATATACAATATGATTCCTAAGCAATAACTAAAACTCACTAAACAAATAATTGAACACTAATATTCCAAAAATAAAAAAAAATATATTAAAAAAAACCAATCCTCCAATAATATATAGTAGAGTTTTGTCTACTTTTCTCCATTTCAAATTTTCTGCAACGAGAGTGAAAGTAGGAAGGGTATTTTTGTCTTTACAATTAATTATTTATTTCATATAAAAAATGTCAATATCAGGATTTGAACCCGGGTCTCTTCTAATAAAGACTACAATCACAACCAATTACACTAAACAAATTTGTTATGTCCTTTTTAATACAAAACATACATGAAGTGACACTCTGAAAATCGGTGGACTATTCCATCATGAATAGCAAGCCCACTAAGTCTATAGTATGTATTTTTATGGTGCTTGAAGTTGATACTGCAATTTTCATAGCAGAGTTTCATGTATTTTTATTGAAGAGACTAATTCTATTACTACATGTTGTTTTCTTGCATTATTCAATTTATATTTAAATTTAGTACTTTTTTATCTTTGCTCTTAACTCTTTCTAACTTCCTCTGAAATTTTCTCCATCGTGCAATAGTTTGCTCCCCTTTCACTTTACAAATCTGCCTTTGAAAATCAATCTTCCGGTATCTCTTGGCACTACGATTTTATTGTTGGGGATTTAAACTGGGCAAGTAGAAGATTTCAAATTCGATATCAATCCATGGCGAATAGAATGGAGTTCAATAAATGGAGTTGCAAAAGGAGGATTAGAAATTGAATTTTTGGTTGAAACATACGCCTCTGGAGGTTGAAGATAAAGTTGATAAAAATTTGATTGTACAACTAAGGGTGGTGGCTATTAGATCTTTAGTTCTATGGTTTTTGAAGATATCACAACTTATTTCTATCTTAAAAGACGAATCATTAATTTATTTACTGAAGTAGGTCGGTCGATTCTTTATTCAACCTACTGTGACTGATAGATGAGGAGTGTCTAATTTTGTTCCTTATACTTTGATAGAGTCTATTAGTATATTGGAGGTAACCCTATTTTTGGCGTTTGCTCTCAAGTTTTTATGGTCCCCTCTTAGCTGAATTGTTAGTATATAGTTGACTTGAATCAACAACTTTCCGTTTCTTTTTTATTAGTGGAATATTGTTCATAAAATGAGAGCATTGAACCTTTATGTAGGAATGCCAAGTTTAAGATTTAGTTTCAAACTATCTATGGTTTGTGTGGGAATTTCAGTGAGCTTTTCTACTCTATCTTTCTTGACAAATGACAATCAATTAACCAATAGCATTTTACCAGGGACTTAATTATCATTATGAAAATGAGATCAATGATACATTTTTTATATTTTATACTCTTAAATGATGATGAAATTTCTCCAAATATTTTACCTATATATTCTTTCTTTATGTATCATCTCGATCGAAAGATTGTCAATAAAATTAAATGGGTTGATAGATATAAATATAACATAAAAATATAAATAATCAAATATGAATATTCCGGCCAACGGGCCGGGTTATAAGAACAATAATGATACACATCACCCCACCCACCGAACTCGAACAACCTCGTCTCGAGGTTCAAGCTATGAACACAGTCCGCAACGAAGCCATGGTAGCCCCCCCACTAACTTTGTTTTGCACTTCTTCCTCTTATGACATGGGAGAATGGATAATAAGAGATGGAGCTTGTGGAACACCACATGAACTAAGAAGTTCACATTCCACTAATCACATGATTATTAAGCACCAACATCCTTTTCTCCACTTCAACATCACCTGTATCCTGTAAAAAATTCCCTAACTTCCCATCAAGCTCACCTCTACAAACCCCACAAACAACTCCTCTAAGGACATGGATATATCAAGGATAAACGTAAGCTTCCTTCCACCATCATTAAAGTCATTGTTGATATCGAACACATATATCTATTTCACATTCTCAATGTTGGCTTCTTCATAAGACATAAAAAAGATCTTTATACCCATCGAATCTCCTTCTCCTTCCAAGATGAATTTTAACATATTGACCTCTCCATACAACTCGCTTTGAAGCCAACAACGACTACACACAATTGATGACCCAATTCCACAATTCCAAGACCCACCACAAAATCCTCTTTAGCTTCTTGGATAGAGTCCATAGTTTTGCTGGCACCATTGAACATTCTTAATCAAAAGGAACCCAACAAGTTTAAATAGACATCATTCATCACATTTATACATGTCGGGTCTTGGCTATGGTAATGATGATAATGTGGCTTCTTCATATACTTCCAATTAACCAAATACAAATTGAGTCGGATAAATAACTACCAGTCCGACATTCCATTCGACAAGCTTATTATTCATATAGTCGAATTTTGAGCTCACTCGAACCTCAGTCGTAAGCCTTGGTAGCTTCTTGCATTGCCTCCACTTGTCATTGGAATGACTTAAATCATCCTCTTACTCACCATCCTAACTTCTGAACTCACTTAGCTGACGCCATGCAACAAGTAGTCGAACCACACGTTGATTTTCATTTCACCCAGTATATTGGAGAATTGATTTAGGAAGCAACAACAACAACAACAACCAAGTCTTCGATGAACTTTGAAAATGAGCTGCTGTTGAATAGAAGAAAAGTAGAGAAAGAGGAAAGTTGCATGGTTGGGTTTACACATTTGACAAGGAACGACATCATTACACTTATATCCAGAAATATGGATAAGAGTAATTCATCATCTTTTTCGTTGCAGAAAACATGTGAAACTTTATCTATACGACTATACATAAACATAATTGTCACACTTTAGTATTGTAATAGTTAATCATCCACATGTAAACATTGGATCAGTTAGTTTACTGTATTTTAGCTGATTCTAATCACTCCTCTCTACGTTCGACCTATATATATATATGGACAATGAAAACCAGAAGGCTCGGAGTTGAGAAACCTTCCCCCATAGACCCTACAATACATTTTCTTCTTGTGGTATCAGATCTTGGTTGCTTGTTAACTAGATCTCAACTAATTTTCTTTCCAATTTTTGGTGTTGATGGCCAGATCTCAAAATCCTATGAGTTGGATGATTATGGAAATTTGAACCTGTCGCATTAAACACATTCCATCCATACCTCCACATTACAACCTCTTAAACTAGTTGATGGAGCTAGTTCTCAGCACCAAGCACAAGCTTCAGCTCGTTAATGACGAAGATGCAATTTAGCAATCTTGGTATATTTGTATAAAATTGTATTATGTTGGATTTTCAACACACTATCTGATTGTATTTGTATAACATTGCTCCGGCTAGGTTATCAAGAAAAAAGTCTCATTTTCAAATCCATGTAGGGTTTGAATGACAATTACCAATATGCAAGAACCCAAGTATTGATGACTGCTCAGCTACCCAACATTGAGTCTGTTTTCAAACAGATGGTGCAACTAGAAAGGAAATTGAAGGAAATCATTATTGGGAAGTCCGGAGTTCATTCATTGGCCCTATGGGCACATGAACAACAATTTGGTGGCAAGTCTAGTTAGCCAGCAAGGAATCATTGGGATTATACCAATGGAAAAAAATTGTGTCTATATTGCAATGTTGTCATACCTAAACCGGAGCATGACCCGATAATGTGAATGACTCACACTTTATTGGTCCAACCGGTGTTGGGTCATTACAAAATCGTTAGAGAACCGGTACCTTATAAACAATATATATTATCATAAGTAGAAGACACATAAAGTAATAATGTGTCAATTTAATGGCTAAAATGAAATTTACTTTGAATGTACCATTTAGTAAATTTTCATTATATATATTAACTAAAATAACCACCCCTACCTCCACTAACCTTAGCGCCGCTCACCCCTCTTTCTATTTGAATTTCCTCCTCAATCCTTCTCTCCGATCGACTTCCACCCCTCTATCTGTTTGTCTCTCTATTTCTATTTCCTCCTCAGTCCCTCTCTCCAATAAACCTTCATCCCTCTCTCTGTTTGTTGAAATATGGAGAGAATCAAGCCCGCCAACGATTTGGGTACAAAGAAAGCAGAGTGGGACAGATGCCCGATGGCAAGACCGAGTGTCGGAAAGAGGGATTTGACTGCACGAGGGTTTGGCAAGCATGCAGTGAGAGAGAATTTAAGGATGGGTTGCTGGTCAGAGCTTTCCTTCATGTTCAAGGGGTTTGGTGGTAGCGGTGAGTCGTCGATGGGTTGCTCATCAGAGAAGCTTGGGAAATCCACTCACTTGAACTCAAGGATTTTTCCAATTTTTTTTTCTTAATTCCAGACGGTCATAATAAAAAACATGTAGGCCAGTTCGAGCGTCCCGATTGTTTAACCATTTTGGCAGCTCGCCAACCGCCCTTTCCAACCGCAGCGATCTTTAGAGTGTCCCGAACCGGACTGGCAGTCGAGGGGTAGTTTTACCGGTCCGGTTTGGCTTTAATAACACTGCTATATTGTAAGAAATTATAGCACACTATAAATTATTGTTATAAGCTAAAGAATAAGAAACCAAATGAAGGATCTGATGGCAATCCATTGCTGATATTTTTTTTATGTATTTGGAAATGATAATGGAGGTCTACTAGTTTTGGAGGAGCAGGATCAGATTCCTCGTCGACTAATATGCTTATCCTAGACCAATTTAACAAGTTGAAAGAAATCTCATCGAAGTTCCCTTCTCCTTCACTTTCATCACCCAGTTCAGCTTATGTGTCTCATGTTAATGCAATTGTGAGAGATACATCACAACCACCACACTTTTGTGCCAGATCTTCAGGTAAACAAACTTCTCATTGCTTACTTAAATCCTTTAATGGATTAGTATGAGTTCTGGACACAGGTGTTATATATTATATCATCTATAAATTCCTTTTCCATTAAATACAAATCTTTTTAAGAAACTAATATTTTTTTGCCTAATGGCCACCAAGTTAAAGCTACTCTTGTAGGATAGTAAGATTTCCTTGTGGATCATTTCTCACTCAAGTACTTTTTGTTGCAACATTTACTTACAATTTGGCTATGTAAGTTAACCAAAAACCACCCAGCCTCATTAGTTTTCTAATAAGATTTTTGTACCATTCAAGATCTTATTACTCATAGGAATATTGGCTTCTCCCAAGGATAAAAGGTCTCTAACTCTTTTCAGATTCCAAGTCCTAGGAGTTTGATTCCAAAGAATTTTCTTATAGTTTTTTCAGCAAGAGTTTCCTATTCTCATAGTCAAGAATTTGCTATCTGGTATACCTCGGGGTGTGCAATGGTCCAGTCCGGGACCGAATTGCACCAGACCAAATTGAAGTTCGGATCGGACCGTACTGGACCAAGTATAATACAGTCCAGTACTTAGTCCACATGAATTTTACAATTGCTAAAGAAATAATGGAATGAACTGAACCGGACCAAATGGACCAAACGCAATTATGGTCCGGTCCTTGATCCTAAGATATCTTTCACTAATGGACCGCGATGATCATGAGTTTGGTCCGATCCGGGTCAGACCAAACCGTTGCACACCCAAGGTATACCAGATTAGGACATCCTTCCTTGTTTAAAATGAGAGTTTCTAAGTCTATTTGTAATGACATTGTTCAACCTTATCATTTGTCTAAACAAAGAAGACTACCTTTTCCAACACATACCTCTTATAAATTTTAATAACTTTGCATTGATTCATGTGGATATCTGGAGTCCCTTGAATACAATTCCAAAAGATGGTTATTCTTACTTTCTTGTAGTAGTTGATGATCACAACAAAGTTGTTTGGGTTTTTCTCATGAAATCCAAATCGAATCCAATCCCATTTTAGAATCTTTATAGTTAATGGTTACACTCATTTTAAACAAAAACAAAAAAAACCATTCGAGGTTCTCTATCAAGTTCCACCAGATTACACGAGTCTAATGATATTTGATTGTTTGGCTTATACCACCATTGATGAAGGTCACAAAACTAAATTTACCTATAGAGCTAGAAAATATCTATTCCTAGAAATCCCAAAATGGAATTAAAGGGTTCAAACTACTTGATATATACACTAAATGTGTCTTTATTAGTCAAGATGTCATCTTTCATGAAGACATTTTTCCTTTCAGAGCTCCTGAAAGTGTTCAAATTCCTTCTCCATTTGATGTGTCACCACCAACTGATCCTATGTGTTCTTCTCATTCTAATGATTCTCATATTCTTTAGATTATTTTCCTTTCGTTGCACTAGCGAATGCGGTGTTTTAATGTGTTGACATTTTTCCAGTTGCACATTAGTCTTTCTATACTCCAGAAAGTGAGTATGAGACTTCTCCCTCTCCTCCATCCTCCTATGTTCCATCTTCCAATTCACCACCCATAATTTCTCTTAGGAAATCCTTAAGATAAACTAACTTCTTAAGAAATATGATGAATTTTATGTTAGCATGAATCAAGTCAATTTCTCTCCCAAGTATGTATCCAGATTTCTTCCATTTTACTGTTCCACAACAACATTATGCCATGACTTTATTTTCCAATCCAGAACTTGTTAGTTATGCTGAAGCACCTAAGGATCCATGATAGCAAAATATGCAATGAATGAGAGTTTCAAGCTCTTCATGACAATGATAATTGAGAGATTACTAACTTGCCCTAGGGATAAAGATGATTGGTTATAAATAGGGGTTTTAAATTAAATACAACCTAGATAAGACAGTTGAGAGGTTAAGGGCAAGAGTGGCTGCAAAAGGGTGCCCTCAAGTTTATGAAATTAATTACCATGACACTTATTCTCCTCTTGAAAAGATACCTTATACGAAAATATTGCTTGTTGTTGCTTCAATTCATAAGTGCCATTTACACCAAATTGATGTAAATAATGCCTTTATGAATGGAGATTTATATAAGGAAGTCTATATGGAGTTTCCACCGATATTAAAGGATTGGTATGAGTTCAAGGGAAATTATGCAAACTTAATAAATCCCTTTATGGGTTGAAAGTAGAATGTGGTCTGTCAAGTTAATACAGTATGTGGTTAGTAATGGATTTAAGCAGTCATATGTAGACTATTCAATTTTATTGTCTGATGTTCAGGATCACCTAGTGGTTCGGATTGTTTAGGTTGGTGATATTGTGGTTGGAACTTGGAAGTGCTAGCCTTGAGATCGTGAAATCTGTTAAGACAAAGCTCATGTCATGTATTAACATGAAGGACTTGAGTGAATTACAATATTTCATTGGCTTAGAGGATTAGCATAACAAATAATGGGATCTATGTTTGATAACAAAAGTATTGTATGAAAGAGTAAAACTATACTTTTGCAATACTTGAACAACACCAGACTTGACATTGCATTTGAAGTACAACAGTTGTGGCTAGTTCTAAGACTCTCCAATGACAATGCACAACTAAGTTCTACAAAGGATGTTCAAGTATCTAAAAAAATTCTTCAAGGCAAGGTTTGTTTAATCCATGTGACTCAACTATAAAACTTACTAGATATAGTGATTCTGACTGGACAACATGTCCATATTCGAGGAGATCAATTACAAGTTTTAGCAATATTCTTCAAAAAGATTGATTGGTTGAAAGAGTAAAACTCAAAATACAATAGCCATGTCATCCTCTGAGGCTGCATAAGCCCTCGTGATATCTCTCTTCTCCTTCTATATATGCTGCTAGGTTAGAGAGAAATAGAGACCTCCCTTTTGGATCTTCCGCTCCCAAGAGCTGCTAGCCACTAGGTCAGAGTAAGAGAAGGCCCTATTTAGAGCAATTTCTTCGTCCTTTTGTTGTGCTCTAACACTTAGCCACGTCCCATTTCTATTTTCAATCAATACTACTAAAGCTAACATTATTATTGGTTCTTCGTCAATTCCTGCTCAAATAGTTATGAAATAAATTTGCTTGGATCATTTCCTCGTTCGAGAAGCTCCTCCGTCCCGAAGAGTAACTAGAACAAATCCAGTCACATTATCAAGTTCCAATTGAAGACTTTTCTTTTTTGATCATTCTCAAAGGTTATCTAATTCGCTCCACCATTCTACTACTTCTTCCTTCTTCGGTTTGCAAATATTATATTCTTTAGCACGTGTTTTTAATGAGTTGAGAATGAGAGGTCGATAGGATGATTTTGGTTCATGACTATTATTTTAGCTTCCCGTGATTAAGCGCACCTATTCAAGGTCTGGCCCGTCTTACACAACACTTTCTTGAATACTATCTAAAATTACTTGAATCCACCCATTTTCGAAAGGTTATTAATATTTTTATTAGGTCTTTTCTTCTTCTATTATTATTATTATTATTATTATTATTATTATTATTATTATTATGGAAACAAAACAAACAAAGATCTACAAAAAAAATTAGTAGGCATCCAAGATACAATCTGGGTCTCCATTCCTTTTTTTTATTTACAAAAGATAATCATATATATATTGATTGGAAAAGAAGATCATTACATCCGGGATCGAAGCCATGCCACAAAATTAAACGAGCGACACGGGGTTGGGTACAAGGAAAGGGCCTTACGAGCCATCAAATGGGCTACCCTATTACTACGCCGACCAACAAATCGAACTAAAAACCCTATATGCTCAGATAGGTAGCTTAAAACTTCACGGAAAATGGGCCCAGCACGACTATCATTGTTCTGAGCTTGGTTAAGTCTATCAATAATGAACTTAACATCACCTTCGAATCGAACCACCGATAACCCCCTCTGAACACACCAATGGACCGCATCTCGGAGAGCCAAAATCTCCACCTGCATGGGGTCATCCAGTCCAGTGAAGTGCACAGCCGATGTAGCCAGAATCACCTCCTTCGAAGCAGAAGAACCCAACCCCAGGCCGCATGCGACTCGCGGCGTGTTTCCCCATCCTACCTGCAAACCACCGCCCCAGAGGGAGGCGATGGTTCCTGACTCGCTATGACACAACTCTTAACAATGGCCAAGTGTAACCAATGAAAAGGACTGCAGTTTAGTGGCTCAAGTAATAAATATCGAATCCACGGGTCTCTAGAGTTACTATTACTCAGCTTCAGTTCATTATCTAGCAAACCAGATTAAGATGGGAGAACTAAAACTAATCTAGCAAACTACAGTTAAAGTTAATCTAATTACAGGTCGGGAACTCACTTAGGTATGATTCCCCCTAGCCACTAGCCAGATTAATGATTGATGATTTCTAGCTTGTTTCACTTTCATTCACAATGCGGAGAATCCTTGACTAGACCTTGAATCTCGGCTAAAGGGTCAAGGCCCTCTTGAGTCGATTGCCTAGAGGGACGTATCCTTCTCTAGAATAACCGATCAAGGCGTTCTGAACTAGACTCCCTCTATCGAAAGAGGTTCTCAATCGATACAAAGCAGTGAATCAACCCTCGACTAAAGCAATCGATCCACTACTATCAATCTATGGTGCTCTATTGACCTAATCAGGTATTCTCTCTCATAGGATCAAAACAGAATCAATAATCTCGACTAAAGCAGAATTGAATCATGAAAACGTGCATAGATTGAATATGAACTCAAGATTATCAAGTAGGAGTACTCATACAATCATCCAATCAAACAAACATAGCTAGGGTTCCTCAAAACCTAAGTGAAGGGAAGTTACTCCATAGAGAAGAGAGAGACTGCAGTAAGAATATTCAGATGATCAGTCTTCAAGTCTGGGATTATTCCTCGAGCTTCCAAGGCGAAGAAATCCTGCAATTACACTCCAAGAATGCCCTCAAATCGTCCTCTCTCTCTTTGGTTCGTCCCTTGGATGTTTGGGATACAAAAACCCAGCTATCCTTTGCAGAAACGCACAAAACAGGCTTTTAACAGCCTGCGTTCGCAATACCCGGTCAGAATACCCGGTCGGGTATTTTAGGTGGAGACCAGGTATTCTCAAAACGCACCTTCGGGGACAGGGGGTTAATCCCCGGTCAGGGTCAAGAATACCCGACCGGGGATTTATGCTTAATGCCCGGGGCCCCTTCTGCTTCTTAGACGCCCGAAACCAGTTTTCCCCGGTCTGCTCCAAATAATACCCGGTCGGGTATTTCTGCTCATGGCCGGGTATTTTGCTCCTCCAACACATTTCAACCCAAACGTGCTCCTTTCGTCCTGAAACTCGTTTCTTTGTCTTGATGCCAACGCTAAGTCCAGAAATATGACATAAACGCACACAGCGTGAAATCGGCTTAAAACACGAGAATCAACATCTCAAACGGCTCAAGAATAGGGGTAAAAACATGTGCAATCAATGGTCTATCAAACTTCCCCACACTTAACCGTTTGCTTGTCGCAAAGCAAACCTAACTCAAACCAAGGCAGCTGTCCAAACCTCTATAGCAACAAACAACCCCGATCGTCGGTAGAGGATTTCCTAGATCATAAAGCAGCTTACGAGGTCAACTGGTCTTCTAAGACGTTCCATATCTCTCTCAATGCGAGTACTAGACTCAAGCCAGGATCATGAGAAGAAGTAGAAGTAAGACAGTCAGTTCATGGATAAAGGGACTCACACCATTCACAACTAAGGACTCGTTGTACCGGGGTGCTCTTTCACTTCATTTCACCGTTGGAACCCCTTTTTCACTTTCATTTTAATCTTTTTTTTTTCTTTTCATTCACTTGGAGGGGGTTCCAATTGCAGTCTTTTGCACGGTCGACCCTTATTAGTCGAGCAAGAGCAATTTATGTACATCTGGCGCTTGCCAGAGTACTTCTTTTAACTCCTTTTCCTAAACTCGTGTGGAGGGTCAATGAAATTAAGGGGGGTCGGAAGCTTTATCTGTGCCCTTAAAAACACATCCTCGAGTAGACAAACCGTTCAACGGGTGGAAGTTTTACTTGTACTAGATACAGCTTAGCTTCACCTTGTAGGAGTACCCCACTCAGGATCACTAAAATCTCCTCCAAAACCCAATTTTGTGCAATGAACGGTGCCACACACGTTGGGCTTACCCCATGTTTAAGATTTCAATGATTTCCACATGGAGTACCAACTGCTTTTCATTTCCCACATGAGCACCCTGTTCGATACACGAGTCCATAACACAATCCAAACAGAGTCACCATTACCACATGAATGCAAAGGTCTTAGCTCCACTAATTCACAAAATCAACTAGCACAACAGAGAGCTAGATAGGAAAAATCTTATACTTCAACATCCTCCATAGTGCTACACTACCTCCCTAGGTTGCACATTACTATAGAGACTGTCAATTCAAAGCATACTGAGCAGGCAATTTGCAAGGAAACACGTACTTGGAGCCCTCAAATCGAAATTTGGATAGTCGACTAGGCTCCAAGCACACAAACAGCCAAACATTCACCCGCATACATAATCAAACACCCCCCCCCCCCCCCACACACACACTTAAGAAGACATTGTCCTCAATTGAGGGTAGAACGAAGTTACCAGATCAAGGGTGAATGATGGTGGGCGGGCAGGCGGTGCATTCCAGGAGGAGAAAGTAGTCGGAACACAAACACCACACAAAATCTCACAAAGGTTGAGTTATTGACTCTAAAATCAAAGAACAAAACTGACTCAACCGAGGTGAAATAGAGAAAGAAATGCAAAGCGACAGGTTGGGTTGCCTACCAACAAGCGCTTCTTTCACGTCCTGAGCCGGACGATGGCTCCTAAATTTCGGTCCACCCCAAAACCTCCTTGAAGTTGAGGTTCTCGTCGATGACGTGGAGTCTCAAGTCACGAGCATGTGGTGTGACAGGTGATGGAAGCTCGTGCACTTGATGCAGATAACGTCTGCAACCTCGGGACCTCTTCTTCTCTTCTCTCGTCTCATTGCCCCAAACCAGATATGACAACATTGATTGACCACCATCGCGTCCACCAAGAGGGACCGATGTTGACGTGGCCTTGGTCTGGCAAAGAGACACTGCAAATGGGTCCTTGCTAAGCAATTCCTCGAAGTTTGGTGGAGATATCACATGTAACTCATGGCCGGTGCAAGCCTCTTCCACCTCAACTTCGTCCTCGGCCTGGACGCCAATTGCTTCTTCAACCTCCCTTTCTTCTTCATGTGGTATCACCCCTGGGAAATGATCAAGAACTCCTTCTTCTTCACTTTCGTCATCCTCCACAACTTCTTTCTGCACCCTTTCTCGCTCTTCTTCTTTTAGCACGGATTGGAGAGCAAGTTGCCAAGCAATTTCTTTCATGAGATCTTCTTGCATCTCCTCACTCATGCCCGCCTCTTCCAAGCTCAGTGTGGGATGTGGGAGGGTGTGGTCGGCTACGACAGGACATTCTTGATCATGATCATCACGGGAGCTCTCCATGACAACTTCTGTGTGCTCCACAATGTCTTCGTAGCCTTCTTCTTCCTCCTCCTCTTCTAGTATGGTAGCAGAAGGGTGATCTGGAGCAGGTTGTGCATAAGATCGCTCAAGATCATCGACGCTCTTCTTAATGATCAGGAGGATCTCCTCTGTTTCACGATAGGTCTATGTACAAAGATCCATCCTGGACCATGATCTCTCACTTTCTCGAGCAAACTGCTCCATGAGAAGTCTCAATTCCTAGTTTGGATCTGGTTGTGGAGTGTAGCATGGCTCTGCAGAATGGCCCGTGAAGGCCGCCATGGGTAACTCGAACTCCGATGGCCCTTCGGGTTGTGGGAGAAATTATTCTTGGTAATGAGGTTGTTCTTGATATGCCTAGGGGTCTGATTGTTCTCCGTAGTAAGGGGGTTGGTACTGGAACCCGAATCCATAGTCTTCTCCTCTTTGATTGCTCCAGGGAGTCTCGGGGTAATACCACTCGGATGGTGGTGGATACCCCCAATGGTTGGAGAAAACACCCAAGTGAAAAGCAAGGGTGGAAAAGGAAAGAAAAACGCTAAAGTAACAAACTTTTGCCTTCCTAATAATCTAAAAAGTCCCCGGCAACGGCGCCAAAAACTTGACTCGCTATGACACAACTCCTAACAATGACCAAGTGTAACCAATGAAAAGGACTGCAGTATAGTGGCTCAAGTAATAAATATCGAATCCACGGGTCTCTAGAGTTACTATTACTCAGCTTCAGTTCATTATCTAGCAAACCAGATTAAGATGGGAGAACTAAAACTACTCTAGCAAACTAAAGTTAAAGTTAATCTAATTACAGGTTGGGAACTCACTTAGGTATGATTCCCCCTAGCCACTAGCCAGATTAATGATTGATCATTTCTAACTTGTTTCACTTTCATTCACAATGCGGAGAATCCTTAACTAGACCTTGAATCTCGGCTAAAGGATCAAGGCCCTCTTGAGTCTATTGCCTAGAGGGACGTATCCTTCTCTAGAACAACCGATCAAGGCGTTCTGAACTAGACTCCCTCTATCGAAAGAGGTTCTCAATCGATACTAAGCAGTGAATCAACCCTCGATTAAAGCAATCGATCCACTACTATCAATCTATGGTGCTCTATTGACCTAATCAGGTATTCTCTTTCATAAGATCAAAGCAGAATCAATAATCTCGACTAAAGCAGAATTGAATTATGAAAACGTGCATAGATTGAATATGAACTCAAGATTATCAAGTAGGAGTACTCATACAATCATCCAATCAAACAAAAATAGCTAGGGTTCCTCAAAACCTAAGTGAAGGGAAGTTACTCCATAGAGAAGAGAGAGACTGCAGTAAGAATATTCAGATGATAAGTCTTCAAGTCCGGACTTGTTCCTCGAGCTTCCAAGGCGAAGAAATCCTCCAATTCGACTCCAAGAATGCCCTCAAATCGTCCTCTCTATCTCTCTTTGGTCCGTCCCTTGGGTGGTTGGGATCCAAAAACCCAGCTCTCCTCTGCAGAAACGCACAAAACAGGCTTTTAACAACCTGCGGGGACAGGGGGTTAATCCCCGGTCAGGGTCAAGAATACCCAACCGGGGATTTATGCTTAATGCCCGGGCCCCCTTCTACTTCTCAGACGCCCGAAACCAGTTTTCCCCGGTCTGCTCCAAATAATATCCGATCGAGTATTTCTGCTCATGGCTGGGTATTTTGCTCCTCCAACACATTTCAACCCAAATGTGCTCCTTTCGTCCCGAAACTCATTTCTTTGCCTCGATGCCAACGCTAAGTCCTGAAATATGACATAAACGCACAACCTAGCGTGAAATCAGCTTAAAACACGAGAATCAACATCTCAAATGGCTCAAGAATAGGGGTAAAAACATGTGCAATCAATGGTCTATCAAACTCCCCCACACTTAACCGTTTTCTTGTCCCCAAGCAAACCTAACTCAAACCAATGCAACTGTCCAAACCTCTATAGCAACAAATAACCTCGATCGTTGGTAGAGGATTTCCTAGATCATAAAGCAGCTTACGAGGTCAACTGGTCTTCTAAGACGTTCCCTATCTCTCTCAATGCGAGTACTGGACTCAAGCCAGGATCATGAGAAGAAGTAGAAGTAAGACAGTCAGTTCATGGATAAAGGGACTCACACCATTCACAACCAAGGACTTGTTGTACCGGGGTGCTCTTTCACTTCATTTCACCGTTGGAACCCCTTTTCACTTTCATTTTACTCTTTTTTTTCCTTTTCATTCACTTGGCGGGGGTTCCAACAGCAGTCTTTTGCACGGTCGACCCTTATTAGTCGAGCAAGAGCAATTTCTGTACATCTGGCGCTCGCTAGAGTACTTATTTTAACTCCTTTTCTTCAACTCGTGTGGAGGGTCAATGAAATTAAGGGGGGTCGGAAGCTCTATCCGTGCCCTTAAAAACACACCCTCGAGTAGACAAACCGTTCAACGGGTGGAAGTTTTACTTGTACTAGAGACAGCTTAGCTTCACCTTGTAGGAGTACCCCACTAAGGATCACTAAAATCTTCTCCAAAACCCAATTTTGTGCAATGAACGGTGCCACACACGTTGGGCTACCCCATGTTTAAGATTTCAATGATTTCGACATGGAGGACCAACTGCTTTTCATTTCCCACATGAGCACCTTGTTCGATACACGAGCCCATAACACAATCCAAACAGAGTCACCATTACCACATGAATTCAAAGGTCTTAGCTCCACTAATTCACAAAATCAACTAGCACAGTAGAGAGCTAGATAGGAAAAATCTTATACTTAAACATCCTCCATAGTGATACACTACCTCCCTAGGTTTCACATTACTATAGAGACTGTCAATTCAAAGCATACTAAGCAGGCAATTTGCGGGAATCCCAAACTGTTTGCCTTCAAAAACAACCCAGTTGCGGAATTTCCAAATCTGCCATAACACAACAACAAAGGCCATTACTTGGTGTGGATCCTGGACAAGAGACAACACCTTCTTAATAAACAAGGGTCAAGAATGACGAGGGAGACCCTGACCAAGATGCTCCAAGCCGGCATAGTCCCACAAGGCACGGGCCACAGGGCACTCCAGAAATAGATGTTCTATAGTTTCATACTCTCCCCAACCTACCGGGCACCTAGGATGGACCAACACCTCCTTAGCAATGAGTGCTTCCGTCGTGGGGAGGAAGCGGTGCAGGATTTGTCAAAGAAAAACCTTCAATTTAGGATGGATCGAGGAGTTCCACAACCGTAACCGACTCCTCCTGCCCATCAGACTGACCGTGGGAGTCAACGTACCTTTCTGCTTATCCACCAGCACGGCCAAGTGATAGGCCGATTTGACCGAGAAAATCCCATCACAAGTACCATGCCAGACGAGCTTATCCTCCACATCCCTTCGCGGGAGCGGGATAGACCTAATATCACGACAGGTAGCAGGATCAAACCATTGGTCCAGTTTCTCATCAGCCCAGCGTCCCTCCCCCGGGACAAGCAACTCTGCCACCTTAATACCATCCTCCTGCGACAAAACTTGAGGACTATAAGCAGGGATACCAGGGTGAATGCATGGTATCCACTTGGAGTTCAAGGCAAACACCGTTTGACCATTCCCAATCTGCCAACATAGTCCTCGTTCCAACAATTGTCGCCCATACAAGATACTCTGCCAGCCCCAAGACGGCCGAGAGCGAGCCATAGCAGTGAGGAAAGTGCCTTGAGGAAAGTATTTCCTTTATAAACCTGCGCAAGTAGGGAATGGGGCTCATTCAGGATTCTCCATCCAATCTTAGCCAGGAGCACCTGATTGAATTACTCAAACCGGCGAAAACCCATCCCCCCTCGTGCTTACTGCGACACATTTTCCTCCAAGACATCCACCTAATACGAGAATGGCCATCCTCAACCCCCCCCCCCCCCCACCAGGGTCGGGCCACCAGCCAATCTAGGAGCCTACACAACGTGAGGGGGAGCTTAAAACAAGACATAACATGTAGTGGCAAAGCCGAGGCAACGGATTTGATCAACATTTCCTTTGCCGCCCATGAAAGCGTCTTTTAGGCCCACCCTTGTAGTCTAGCTGCTAACCGTTCCTCCACATATCGAAAAGTGGCCATCTTAGACTGAGCAATGAGCGTGGGCAACCCCAAGTACTTATCTTGAACTCCCACAACACCTACTCCCAGAATCTGAGCCAGAAATTCCTGGTCCGGTGGTAAGATGTTCTTACTAAAACAAACCGCTGACTTAGCTAGATTTACTCGTTGCCCACTTAGTTCCTCATATTCGTTCAGGAATTCGAGTAGAAACTCACATTGTTGTAGCTAGCAGCGGAGAAACAGATATGAATCATCCGCAAAGAATAAATGAGAGATTCTGGGAGCTCGGGGGGGGGGGGGGGGGCAACTTTAACTCCTTCCAATTTACCCTCTGAAATTGCTTTCCGGAGGAGAGTCGCAAACCCTTCTGTGCATAACACGAACAAGATGGGGGAAAGGGGTTCACCTTGCCGGAGGCCGCGGGTAGACCGAAAGAAACCATGAGGAGTCCCATTCATCAAAATCGCAAAAGATGATGATTGGAGACATTCCCGAATCCAACTAATCCAGGTCGAACAGAAACCAAGTTTAGCTAGAACCGCAAAGAGGAAAGCCCATTCGACTCTATCATAGGCCTTTTCCATGTCAACCTTTAGAGCCATATAGCCTTTTTTTCCCACGGTTCTTAATTTTCAGATAATGCATTAGCTCATGCCCAAGAAGAACATTCTCCACTATATGTCTTTCCCTGATGAACGCATTTTGCCCTTCAAAGATGACCAGCAGGAGAATAGGGGTAAGCCTTTCAGTCATGATTTTCGCGATAATCTTATACTAAACTGGCATAAGCTTATCGGACGCAATTGGCGAACTGACTCCACATTATCAACTTTTGGGATTAGAGTAAGCCAGGTATGGTTGAAACTTCGTAAGATCTGGTTCGTTCGAAAGAACGAGCAGACAGCCTCAACCACCGACTCACCGACAATGTCCCAGAAAGCTTTGAAATTTTTTCCTATAAATCCATCCGAACCAGGCGCTTGTTTTGAACCCATGGCGAAAACAGTACACCGGACTTCTTCCGGGAGAACCTCTGTCATTTAAATCCGCATTCATTGCGGCAGTCACATTTCGTTGCAGGGGTGGTTCTGGACCCGAGCCTCCATATTTAACACCTGATTTTCTTTTGTGAAGAGAGTTTGGTAAAAGTCAATGGCGATGTCCGCCTTCCCCTTTTCCTCTGTGATCCATTCACCCTCCTCATTCCTGAGACCAGCCATATAGTTCCTTTTTCGCCTGGCCCGCGTAACCGTATGGAAATAAGAGGAGTATGGGTCTCCATTCCTTTAGCTATAGCAAAATTAAGTCTAATAAAAATGTACGCCGCTGCCCAAGCCCCGCATCCCGGGACACGAGGCTATGAACCTGACCAGACCGAATAATTTCTATGTACTTTTGGGCCACATTCTAATCCTTAATTACCTCTCCCCTTGAGTTTAGCCCTATATTAAATCTCGATATGATTTTCAACCGGATAGGACCTCTATTCTTTGTTAACTCAAATATTCCCTGGAGCCGAGGAGGGAACCGAGAGTCAACTGATTTTTACTAAAACGGGGCTGCATTGTTTGTTTTGTTCATCACTGGCACCCCAGAGAAGTAACTATGTAAGCTTTGAAAGGCAAAACCTTCATCTCATAGATGCGCTCCCAGCTAAATAGCCAAAGAAAATGCATCTAACTCGTTAGTCGTTACTCATGTGTCTTCGCATTAACATTCAGCACTTGTTTGCTGCTACAGATGAAACATTGAGCACTCAAAAGTATACATACAATCAAAACATGACGACCATTGGGATGTTGTCCTCGATCCTTTCTTTAGTTCATCTGCTAATGATTCCTCATTTTCGATCGGGCATACCTGAACAATGCTTACAACTTTGCATTCGTCCCTAAATCTCTGCTAGTGAAGCAATGCACAAACAGCAAGAAAGATAAAAGACTTTTGAAGAAGTCAGGGAAGACATACTCTATGTGCATGCACCCCGGTCTGAAGATGGTAACGTGGCTCCTTGAAGGTCTTCCATAACATTAGTAGCTTGTTCGATTTCCGGGGCACATACGGAAGAGGAGACGGTGTAATTAACCACAGATGTAAGCGTCTGAGAAAACTTTCGTATCAGTGATGCTCTTCGCATAGTTACCTCAAAATCAGCAAAAGCAACTGGCATCCCACCTTGATTTAAGAAACTTTCGCATCTTCAGGACAACCAGAGAAATCTTCTAGGTTATCAGAACAAAGCCATTTAAGAGTGGACACAATCTGATTTACAAATTATTTAAGAAACATGCTTACTGCACGAGAGCCTGCTTCAGTTCTTCTTCGGTGCAGTTGGGACCTAGATTTGCTATGAAAACAGTGGAACAAGGAGTATCACCATCTCGGGTTCTCTTCTCTGGTTGATCCTCCTGCGACAACAACACACGTTCGTTTTGAAGCCACAACGAAACCCGTATTCAAGAACTCATTACTGCAGTACTAGCTATCCCTGTTCGTATTCTACTTGAGGCAAATACATCCACTCGAAATCTTGGTGAAACAACCTGTATAGCTTAGGATGGAAGTAGTTAATGTCACTTACATTTGCAGTACTCTCAGGATCACCGGCTACCTCCTCAACATAATCCACATTTCCACGTTCTCGAGCTACATCCGAATCACTACTGTCACCTACATGTACAAAAAGGCCGATAAAGCCATACATTTATTTTCAAACATGGACCTTAGAAGAGAACAATATTTACTTTACCATCATCACTAGAATTTTCCTGGGCGTTCCCTTGTTTTGTTCGTTCATCAATAACAACATACACTCCATTGCCTGTAATCAATAGAGGCAATCTGACTTTCTTAACTCAACAGATTGGACGAAAACAACTCATTAACATATAAGCCTACATCTATGCATAGGAGGTTACCTCGTTTATGTTTTCTTCTCGAGTTTGATCTAGCCAGTTCAATATGCAATGTGGATCCCGTTTGTGGGTCAAATTTCACTCCCTAGGATAAGCATTAAGCATTCAACCAACTAGCACTAGTTAATGATTCAAAAAATCAAAAAATTCAATTGCCTAAGGAATCCATAGATTCTCAATTCTTACATTCAGAGAGTGCATTGCAGCCATTGTTGCCTGATGGTCGAAGAAGGTAGCAAATGCAACTACCTGTTGAAAAGAAAAGTAAGTAATAAGATAAGCCCTAGTTCCAAGTTTTGATCTTTCAAATGATTCTACTGAAACGGAAGTGAGCCCCGGTCGACGGTGGAGCGGGCTCACCTGATTGCCGCGGCCGGTGTACTTGAGCTGGCAAAAGTCGAAGCCTGGGCGGCGGCGGAAGAGATTGTGAATCTCGCGAGCTTTAACATCCTCCGGCAAGCCGGAGACGAATAGCGTATTGATCCCATTCCGATCGAAAGCCGCCATGGGTAACGGTAGCGATTGCTGTAAGTGGCTGTAAGGATCGTAGACAGGCTAGGAACAGCCTTAAGCTGCCATTGATCAGAATCTCAACTGAAATTGAGACGGATGACAGAACTTCGAGATGAACCGTCGACTATCGACGTTGGTCACGTCGGCGCCCAGTATGGAGAAAATTTGCTAGGGTAAAAGCAAAACCCTCAAAGCTGCAGGGCTGCTTTGATTTGCAGTATATATATGAGCTGTAGAAAACAGCTTAGTTCAGATTGCCACTTGGAAACCAATGATTAGCCTATTACAAACCAAAGTACTGTTTAGCAACGGCTAATAACGGCTAACAAGTCTTTAACAAAACGACACAGTTTCACACTTAAATGAACTGAACCAAAATACAAATGACTCCGTTTTGCATCTTCGTCTTCTGCCTCTTCTTCAGTCTGCAATCCTTCTAGCAGCAGGATTCCAAGGTAAGTTGACACCCCCCTTCAAGTTGTGAGTGCTCTCTTCACTCCCAACTTGTCCAGAAGATCCTTCAGTCGATTCCTGTCTAAACCCTTAGTGAATATGTCAGCAAAATGATTGATTGTACTTACATGGAACAGCTTGATCAAACCAGTCTTCAATCTTTCTCTTGTAACGTGCATATCAATCTCAATGTGCTTTGTTCTTTCATGGAACACAGGGTTCTCAGCAATGTGGATTGCAGACTTGTTGTCACAGTAAACAGCAACATGAAGAGGGATTTTAACCCCCATTTCACCCAATAACACTCTTAACCAATCAATCTCACAAACCAATAGATCTAATGCTCTATATTCTGCTTCAGATGATGATCTGGAGACTGTTGTTTGTTTCTTTGTTTTCCAGGTCAGAAGAGAGCTTCCAAGGAAGGTACAATACCCTGTTGTTGATCTTCTAGTGTCTGGACAGCTGGCCAAATCTGAATCACAGAATCCCACAAGCTTCAAGTCTGCTTTGCTGCTGTAGTAGATACCTTGATCAGGACATGATTTTAGATATCTTAGTACTCTGTAGGCTGCTTGTAGGTGTTCTGAGTAGGGCTTCTTCTAAAATTGGCACAACTACTGCACTGAATATGTCAAGTCAGGTCTTGTGATGGTTATGTAGTGTAGCCTTCCAACTAATCTTCTGTAATGTTCTGGATCATCAAGTAAAGTTCCTTGTGTTGCTGTTAACTTGATCTTTCGATTTGATGGTGACTTGCATCCTTTGGCATTTAAATACCATGTATCAGAAAGCAATTCCATGCAATATTTTCTTTGACAAACCATCAATCCTTCTGCTGTCCTATTCACTTCTAATCCCAAGAAGTATTTTAAAGGTCCAAGCAGTTTGATCTTAAACTCTTTGCTCAAAGAGTTCTTAACTTGATCAATGTCTTTCCGAGCATCACCAGCCAATATTATGTCGTCGACATAGACAAGTAGGACAACAATTCTTCCATGAACCCACTTAGTAAACATGGAGTAATCTGAGGCTGACTGATAAAAACCACTCTTCAAAAGAAAACCAGTTAACTTGGCAAACCATTGCCTTGAGGCCTGTTTAAGGCCATATAGAGACTTCTTTAGCTTGCAAGCCATCCTCTTAGGACTTCCAGGTGGTAATACAATTCCCTGAGGTACCTGCATGTACACATCCTCATGTAGATCCCCATTTAGAAAAGCATTGGAAACATCCAACTGCTCTAGGGTCCAATTCTTCACTGCAGCTATGGCTAGCAATGCCTTTACTGAGTTAATCTTGGCTACTGGAGAAAAAGTATCCAGAAAGTCTATCCCATATATCTGTGTAAAGCCCTTTGCCACTAGTCTTGCTTTGTACCTCTCAATTGTACCATCCTGCTTTAATTTAAGCTTAAATACCCACTTACAACCAACTATGTGTTTGTCTGGTGGTGCTTCAACTATTTCCCAGGTCTGGTTTGCCTCCAAGGCATGTATTCCCTCTATCACTGCTCTATTCCATTCAATGGATTTGACTGCCTCATGGTATGAGGTTGGTTCCTCATGCTTCAGTACACTTAAAGCATATATCCTATCCTCTTCATTCAAACATTCAACATTTAGAGAGATAGTATGCTTACTTGCACTTGCTGCAATCCCAAATGCACCAAAAGTCAGTTGAGGGTCCAGTTCACAGTCATTCAGCTTAGCAGGCAATACTGGTTGCCTTTGGGATCTTCTTGGTGGAGGTTCAAAATCAGCTTGTGGTAGTAACTCACAGTCCTCCTCAGCCTGATTAGTGACTTCAGGAACTATTTCAGGAGTGACATTTGCAGGAGTTGTAGCATCTTCACCTTCACTTGGACTATCATAATCACCATCCCCCCTTGCAGCTGAGGCCTGATCAAAGGAAACATGTGCTGAAGGTGTAGGAAGTGAAGATGCAGGGACCATGATAGGAGGAGCTGATGTCAAGGTCTGAGGAAGTGGATCAGTAGATGAAGAAGAGGGGGAATCTGATGTATCTGAACAATCTCTAAATGGGAGAATTGTTTCATAAAAGACAACATCTCGAGATAAGAAAACCCTTCTATCATCTAAGTCAAGCAACTTATAGCCTTTAACTCCTGCAGGAATGCCTAAGAAGACACACTGCCTAGTAGGGGTGTACATGGGTCGGGTGGTCCGGGTTTAGGCATTTTAATCACCCGACCCATGCACTACGGTTTGGGAAATATTAAACCCAAACCCACCCAAAAAAATCTAAACCCTACGGTTTGTTTCTAATTGGGTTGGGTCGGGTTGGCGATATTTTTAAGTAAAAACCCAACCCAACACAAAATATGTAATTATTCTACATCATAAAAATATTTTATAAAAAATTAAAAATTCAAACGAATAAACCGAGGTGAAAGGTATCAAAATTCACAAATATTGTTTGAATTTTAATAAAACTTGATTTACTTCAACTTATGTCTAGTTTTTTTCATGCCATTTGTTGAAATAGGCTAAAAAGGTTACAAATGAACGCATCCATAATATGATATTCTTTTAAAATTGTACACAAGAAAAAAAAATACGTGAATCATAGCTATGTTAAATATATGTCTAAACTTTAAGTCGAAGAATGCATTAGATTAGTGAGACTTTAATAGGAAAAACATGGCGAAATATCTTAATTTTCTCATAAGTATCACTATATACGACATAAATATTTTTTTGGATACGAACTCATACCAATAATTGGAACACGGGTTGGGTCGGGTTCTACGGGTTGTGTAATCTAAAATCCAAACCCAACCCAAATGAGGCGGGTTGTACAAAAGAAAACCCTCACCCAACCCAAAACCTTCGATTTAGCGACAAATACGGGTGGGTTGGGTCGGGTTGGACGGGTGGGTCGGTTTGCGGGTGTGTTTGTTCACCCCTACTGCCTAGCCCTTGGTGCAAATTTGGTCATGTTATGCCCAAGTGTGCTGGCATAACATAGGCTGCCAAATACTTTAAGGTTGCCAAGAAATGGTTGATGGTTGTAAAGTGCTTCAAATGGTGATTTACCATGCAGAATGGGAGTTGGCATTCTGTTAATCAAATACACTGCATGAAGAATGCAGTCATTCCAAAAGGTTAAGGGCAAACCAGATTGGAACCTAAGTGACCTAGCCACATTTAGAATGTGCTGGTGCTTTCTTTCAACCCTGGCATTTTGTTCTGGGGTTTCCACACAAGACATCTGATGCTCTATCCCTTTCTCCATAAAGAATTCCTTCATGTGGAATTCCTGCCCTTATCACTTCTAATTACCTTGACAGTGGTATCAAATTGATTATGAACCAGGGCACAGAAACCCTTCAGCAATTCTCTGGTTTCATGTTTGTGTTTCATTAAATAAACCCATATTGCCCTTGTATGATCATCCACAATAGTAAGAAAGTAAGAGTGGCCATCATATGATTGAACAGATAAGGGTCCCCATATATCAACATGAACCAAGTCAAAAGGACATTTTGCAATACTGGTACTGTTTGGGAAAGGGAGTCTTTTGTGTTTTGAGAAATGACATAGATCACAGTGTAGAATCTTAGAGCTAGTTACAGTGGAATTTGATTTCTCTAACATGGAAATTCTATCACTACTGGCATGTCCTAATCTCCAATGCCAAATATCAAAATGCAAAGGATTGAAATTGAAAATGGTGGCTGCTTGGTGGTCAGGCTTCTGGTCTTGGGTTGGTGGAAAGGTGAGATGGTAAAGTCCTCTATGCTCTCTTGCTAAACCGATTTGTTGATATGACTTGAATCGGACTATCAGCCGCTACGACTGGTAATCGGGGGTCTCGCTGCCCGGTCAGCGGTGGGGGTGCGGGGGCAACACCCCCGGCCCACGGTGTATGGGCTCAATGTTATTGGGTTCGGGTTCTGGGCCTGGTCTGTGACCGTTTCCTTTGCCAGATTGGATTAGGTTTAGACCCACATGGAGAAGTACTATAAATACTTCTCATACTCCTCTGTAATCTGTAATCTCCTTGATATAGTGAAACTGGCTCTCTCTCGCCCGTGGACGTAGCTAACACACATCGTGTTAGTGAACCACGTAAATCGTGTCTTGTGTTTTTTGATTCTAGCTTTCGTATTCTTGCTTTGTCGATTCCTGCGATTTCCCGATCCGTAGCAACGCGTTTATAACACCAATCATCTTCAAGCTTAATTGGTCCTGGATATGACACAGATTAGAATGAAAGTGTAAGACTAGTGGGCAATCATTGGTAAGCTTGCTAACCGAGACAAGGTTGAAAGAAAAGCTAGGGACATGCAAGACATTGTGAAGAATTAAGCATGTAGGCAGTTTAACTGTGCCAATATGAGTGACCTGGACTCTAGTAGTATTAGGTAGATTCACATAGACATCTTGAACTGGTTTATGCTCTATGAATAAGGCTAATGAACAAGAAATGTGATCTGAGGCACCTGTATCTAGAATCCAAAGATTTGTAGAATTGGTTTGGTTAAACTGACTTGAGGTAGACAGGCTATATTTACCTGAGTAATTGGGATATGGTGGAGGAATTTGAGTGACTGAGTAGGCATGATGGGGCAAAGATGGTGAGGTTGGAGGTGAAGAAAGGTTACCAGTACCAGAATGCATCATGCTTCTTAACTTGTTCATTTCTTCTGGTGTAAAACCAACCAATATTTTAGAAGCACTTACTGGGCTACCTCCTGGTGTATCAGTTGAGCTGGAGTAGCTTACTTCAGTAGTTGAATCACTGGAACCTGTTTGTGATACTGATCCTGCAAAGCTGGAAGCATTGCCCTGAGATCCTCCTCCATTCTGTGATTCTCTCTTCTTCTTAGCTCTCCAACATTGCTCAACATTATGGTTTGTTCTTTTGCAAAAGATGCAAAACTTCTTCCCTTGTCCTCTTGGTCTCTCATCTTGCTCAGTCTCTACCGCCAGTGCCACACTTTGGCCTTTCCTTCCACCATGAGTTTCTGCTTTCAGCTTTTGTTCATATTGGAGTAGATCATCCACTGCTTCAGACACAGTGGGTAGTGGTTTGCGAGATAGTAACTGGCTCTTGACAATTTCATAGTCTGGATGTAAACCCCTGAGAAACCTGATCAGATAATCAGTTTCCTGCCTCTCTGTATAAGCTACAACAGCATCACATGGATTCACATTTCCAGGCGCACAATTACATGGAACTATGGGACTGAACTGTGCAAGTTCTTCCCAAATTCCCTTAATCTCATTGTGATACTGGTTGATAGTGCGATTCCCTTGCTTGCACTTGTGGATATCATCCTCCAGATTTGTGATTCGTATGGCATTGGGTTTACCATACCTTCTTTTCAACTCATCCCACAGTACCTTAGCACTAACATGATTCATCACAGAACGTCGAAGATCTTTGTGCAAGGAATTCAAAATCCATGACAACACAGCTGTGTTACATCCATCCCATAGCAGAAATGTATCATCATTCACTGGAGGCATTGGAATGCTTCCATCGATAAAGCCCATTTTATGTTTCATCTTCAAACCCATTATGACAGATCTACTCCACATAATGTAATTCGTCCCATCAAACACCTCTGAACCTATAGACTGATTCAGTGCTTCATTAGGGTTCAAGTAGAAAGGGTTACCAAAGGTTATCACCTCAGATTGATAGTGTTTTGTGGCTGCTGCTCATGCTGCTGCGTCTCAGTGTAAGTGCCAAACTGGAAACCTCGAACACCAGACATTGTTGCTCCTGAGGCTGCTGATCCAGTTGCAGCTTCCTTTCCATGGCTTGACTGCGGTGGTGTGTTGGCCATTGTAACCCTAGATGCATTGCCGCTCTGATACCATATGGAGAAAATTTGCTAGGGTAAAAGCAAAACCCTCAAAGCTGCAGGGCTGCTCTGTTTGCAGTATATGTATGAGCTGTAGAAAACAGCTTAGTTCAGATTGCCACTTGGCAACCAATGATTAGCCTATTACAAACCAAAGTACTGTTTAGCAACGGCTAACAAGCCTTTAACAAAACGACACAGTTTCACACTTAAATGAACTGAACCAAAATACAAACGACTCCGTTTTGCATCTTCGTCTTCTGCCTCTTCTTCAGTCTGCAATCCTTCTAGCAGCAGGATTCCAAGGTAAGTTGACACCCGGAAGGAGAGTAGACGTGGCCAAGTTCATTATCAGCTAAATAAGAGGAGCCCAATTGGACACCAAAAGCCCATTTTCTTGTCGGGGCAGGCACAACCCGAACTTACAGAAACAGAAACCTAAACATTACAAGAAACAACACAGAGCAGTCGTTCGTTTGCGAAGTTCGGAACCGGAGAAGACGCAGCTGTTCTCATTCCTTTTTCATGCATCGGAGGTTCGAGCTTCGAATTCTTTAACTAAGGTAATGCGTCTCTGTGATTATCACTGTGAATCGTCTATTTCGAGCTCTGGAAGTGGAAAAAGTTTGAAACTTTTCTCCACGATTGATTTTGGGTTCAGGAGGATAGACAATGTCATGGTCAAGCCTCTCTAGGGCTAGAAGCTTTCGTCACTGTCTCATTACTCCTTACCTGAAGTCGCTCAATCAAACAAATGCGTTCCATATTCAGTCCAGGTGATGCTCAGAGTCTAAACTTTGTATGAATCAAGCTAGCAACACAGATGTTTCATTTTCTTATGCCCTATTCGTCTTTGTTTCTACGATTTACAGCTCCATCAAAGTAAGCAGCTATGGAAATCGTTCTGGGTTACAGAGATTTTGGTGCCTCGACGGGCCTGTCCAGAATCCCAGATACCAAATTAGTAGTAATAGTAGTTGCAGCATTACGCGGTACTTTGCTACAACTGCAGCGGGTGGACCTTCTTCTGCTACCGAGCAGAAGTCGAGGAAGACGTTAATGTATCTCACGGGATTGGTTGTGGTAATGGTAGGGTGTACATACGCTGCTGTTCCTCTTTACAGGACGTTCTGCCAGGCTACTGGTTATGGAGGAACTGTACAGCGCCGAGAGGTCCTTCCCAGCCTATTTGATTGTTGTTTGTTTGATATATGGTGATGTTCATTTTGTTAATCAAATGTTGATTGCAGTTGAATTGCTTTCTGGTGGTTTTTGTAGACTGTTGAAGAGAAAATTTCACGCCATGCTAAAGATGGAACTGTGGCAACAAGGTACGGTATCTTAGCATCATTAATGTAATGAAGTAGATCATATGATTAGCTTAATGTCAGCTTTAATCGTATCTGTAGTGATTTGACTTTGTTCTGTGTGTTCACAGAGAGATTGTGGTGCAGTTTAATGCTGATGTAGCTGATGGAATGCCCTGGAAGTTCATCCCCACGCAAAGAGAGGTTCTATTTTCGCATGCGTGTGTTTCCTTATTGAATCAGTGTGAAGCTCTGTGATGGATGACACTTATTTTTGTTTCTCCTTATTTTCTGCTGCTATATAGGTGAGAGTAAAGCCAGGAGAAAGCACCCTTGCTTTTTATACAGCCGAGAATCGAAGTTCAGCTCCAATAACTGGTGTGTCTACCTATAATGTTACTCCCATGAAGGTACTGCTTTTTGCGACTCTCAAAACAGGGGTTTTGACTTCCACTTTTAATGTTTGTGGTCATTTTGTTGGAAGTTCTCTTCAGTGAGTCTTGGACGAACTTGTTCTTTAATGCTTGTGCCAGATGCCATTCTAAAAAGGTTGTTGGCTTCATCGTTGAACTTAACAGTGTGGGAAAATACCTTTTAGAGTTATGAGAGTTCAGGTTAACTTTCTTTGTGCTGCGTCATCTGGTTAACTCTAAATCTAGGGAGCCCTGTCTATTATAATGTTCCGTCCTTGGATTTTTATTTATTTTATATCTTACTCTGGAAGGCTTAAGTGCTAGGTTACCTTATCCGATGTGCAACAATCCATAAAGTCTATATGCAGAAATCAGAAAATTGGTCCTTAAAAACGCTATGATCAATTACATTGATTCTCAATGTTGCTTGTAATTTCATTCCAGGCTGCAGTATACTTCAACAAGATACAATGCTTTTGCTTCGAGGAACAACGTCTACTTCCCGGAGAACAAGTTGACATGCCTGTGAGCAAACTTCATCTTACCCTTCTCTTTTCCCCATTCTACGATAGTACTTGACTCGCCCCTTTTGTGAGTGAAATGATTAAGCTTGATAACCCTTTTCGCAGGTCTTCTTTTACATAGACCCCGAGTTTGAGACAGACCCTAAGATGGAGGGGATCAACAACATTATCTTGTCCTACACTTTCTTCAAGATTCCAGATCAGTAACTCTTGCAGCAGGACAGGTTATTACTTACTTCCACATCTAGATACACAACAGTTTTTTTGCGGATCGGTACACTTAGGAACCAACTCATAAACGAGAACAGGGCAATTTAATTTCGCTAAAGATCATTTTTGGTAGCATGGTTTCAATTGAATGATTCCTTTTGTTCAGTCCGAGTATAATAAGGACAATGAAACTCGACATCTTAAACGAAACTCAGATACCTTGAATACAGTCGAATGAATGCATTGTAAAAGTGTTGATAATTGTTTAGTTGTGCTATCAACTGATTGATAATGATGTATCTACCATGTGAACAACCATGTTGTTTTCCCCTTTTTTCCTTTCTGGGTTTGAGTACCATCGTTATTATCATGCCCTACCTCAGAAGAAAAGGGGAATGGAGATAAATAATAAACATGGTATCATATAGTTCTTTGTTATTTGAATGATCGACAGGGGTTGGTTTTCATGGAGATAAGAGATTGAAAGAGAAAGCAATAATGGAATGAAATGGGGACAACCCCAAATGGAAAAGGACACCAACTTGGACCAGTGGAAAGTGCAATTATGGGTATAGATTGAAGGCAAATGAAGACATATGATGGTCTTAGATCTATTCCCTCCATCAACCTGCAAAATATACCCTTTTTCCTTATATCTTCTTTTCTGATCAATGATCATCAGAGCCAAAAAGGTACAATAATGAGTACAAGTGAGAGCTTAGTTAGAGATGCACAAGAATAAGATGGACAATATACTATATGTTGCAGCAAAGTGTGGGTGTGCGACTGGTCTGGTTTGATCTACATTCAGACCAGATCAGTATTAATGTCGGATCACAGGAAAAAGGGAAGTTTTGCAGGATTGACTCGGATCAAACTTGCGGTTTATTAACTTTCGTTTCATCTGGCTTCTCTTCAATCAGTTTGTTTCTTTGTTTTCGAAGTATTTACCAAACGAAAACAGATTTCTTCAGCTGAAGACCTCTCGAATTCTTATCCTAGTATGGTCTCATTTGATTTAACTGTTCATATGGTTCGATATTAATCAAATCGTTGCTCACTTCCAAACGTCAGTTTTCGAGTTCCAGGCAGGATCGAGTCTGGGGAGGACCCATATGCCATATGATAGGCAGAGGCGGCCAACTAACTAGTAGACACATATATTAGGTGGTGAGGCAGGCCAGTCATGTTTGCCAAGATTAGTAACTGTGAGGTTTGTTTGTGGAGAGTGGCAGACCATTTTCTATTTGATTTGGTTTGGTTTGGTTTGGTTTGGTTTGGTTGTATTCTTTCTCTCCATACTTTTGTGACCCAATGCCAAGCCATTGACAGCCTATCAGCTATTGGAAGATACCTCATCTTATTGGAAATTGAATCTATAAAAAATGGGGTAACCATAAATAACTCAGTACGACACTGATTTAGATGGGGGAAAAAAGATAAAGAAACCGCTGCATTTTGGGAAAGCATTGATGTATTTTGTATATTTATGAAAAACACATGCATTTCATTGGAGTTTGGACATATTGCTGATTTCCCAACTATTTTTAAATCCTACATTTTGCTTCTTCTATCTCCGAAACTAACTCTTTCTTCTTCCTTCCTATGTCCTTCTCCCTTCAATTTGGAGAAAATTCGTCGTTTGCCACAATTTCTCATGTTGCGACTGATTTCTTGAAACAAGAAATTTTGGCAAAATTCTTCGTTTTAGAATTCATTCCAATGATTCTAAAAAAAAGGGTCCATGAATGACAATCTCATTGAATTTGAAGAATTAATATTAGCATGTGTGGTTCTGATTGAGTAGTGTTGGCTACAATAATAATCGAGGGTTCGAAGAAATTCAAGTTGGTCAATATATAAGCAGAGGTTGAACTAATTATTTGTATATGTAAGAGTATATATAGAATCCAAAAAATTAAGATCCATACATATGTATAATTTATCATACAATAGACTCAAACACAAGTTACTCACCTCCAAACCAAAGGACATGTGTTCCGAATTTTAGTAACATTTGTTTGCCGCAAATTGCAATTCATCAAGATCCAAACAAATTTATATGCATTTTGTTTTCAGGTTTTTGGCTTTGGTTTATTTGCTTCAAATTTCAACTAATTATATAATCTTTTTAGTGATCGCTGAGATTTTTGTTTAAAAGTATAGCCCACCTGATCGACCACAATTATAAACAAACCGTAGTGTTTTAATTCTTTTGGGTGGATTTGAATTTAATATTTTCAGAACAAAGTATATGAATTGTAGGGGTGATAATCAGATCGGTTAGCAGTTAACCAATAAATTCAGTTAATGGTTACTGACCAACCAAAAAATCATTACCGTTAGCCAACCCACAAAGACTTAGCGGTTAACCGTTAACATCAATGCATTTAGTGATTAACCACCTACCCGCTTGAAAGATAGCATGATGGTAGGTTTGTGGATTTGGGAAAAGGCAAGAGGCATAATTATCTTTTTAGAGAATGTATAAAAGTAAAGTGATGGTATGAGAAACCCTAGACGCACACTCCCTCGTTTTCTCGCCTCTCTTTTTCCCACTATAGATAAAAAAACAAATACACTCCCTTTGTGAACCAACGAAAACTATAAAACACAAACCTTTTTCTCCTTCACTCTCGAATAGTCGAACCCTAGCCGCCCCCTCTTCTAATATCTTTTCCGTCAAACTAAAACAAAGAGGAGGATTGAAGGCGGCCGCAACATCAAGGTAACCCATCGTCGTTTCTCTCTCTTGGTCATCCTCTTGTCGACCTGAGGGAAAAGTCACTAAAGAGAGTCCTTAGCACGACGATAAGTGATTCGTGGTTCGCGACACATCCTCTTTGACCGTCCTCAGTTTTTCGCTCGAGTCAAGAAGACAAGGAGATTGGAGTTGGTGAGTGTAGAGGCCAAAGTGATAAATGGGAAGTTGTTTCCTTTGTAGAATGTCACATTTTACCTATTTTGAGTGGTTAACCACCCTTGCCGGTTAACCGCTAACCGTCGGTTATTAACCGTTTATGACTTGATAACTCAATAAAGAATTTTGAGCTTCCGTTAAACGCCCTGCATTCTCCTTAGCGATTAACGGTAGGGGGTGGAAATTGGGGTGAGTGTGGTTACTCGCCACACATTTTGAGGGTAACCACACCCACAATATATAGAATTTTGCTACCCACAACCCCCGCAGTGGGTAGTGGTTAACAACCACTACCCGCTGCGGGTTGGTTGTGGATACCCACAAAAATTTCACATTAAATATAATAATATGGTAATTAAATAGTTATGTTGTGTTTCTTCTCAAAAACAAAAATATACATAAAAGAAAGTTAATAAAGGGTTAAATAAATTATAAATCTCGAATACAATAGGTTAGTTAGTGTAAATTTAGAAGAGATGGATTTGGAAAGAGATTTGAAGATAACGGAGAGGCGAAGTGACTTGTTACAAGACAAACATCGTTGCAAGTCACGGCTCCTCCGGTGGCAACAAAGGAAAACACCAAAGTGGATCGGTAAGTGAAGGCGCCCGCTTTTAATGAATCGATTAATTTATCTGACTATATATATGGACTTGGTTTTGTTATAAAATAAACATATACCACACGGACAATGCTTATTTGATAAAAGTATCTCACATGAACATTGCGTATTGACTTGGTTTTGTTTTATAGAATAAGAGTGTATTTGATTTTGGTAGCTATTTGAATTCTTAGTCTTCCAAGTTTCACAAACTAATATAACTAATGTGGTTAATGTGGGTTACAAAGTATTTGAAAGAAATAAATATAACTAATGTGGTGAATGTGGGTTTTGTGGGTAAACCGTTGTGTGTAGTAGTTAACCACTAACCACAAAAATCAATATTTTGCTACCCACACCCAACCTAGTGAACCCACTATCCATAAATTGTGGGTATAGGTATCCACAAAGTGTACGGTTTGCGGGTTACGGCACCGTTAATTAGGGGTGGAAGTTTGATTTGCGATTAGTGATTAAGACTGTCTCCAACCCAAGCATGCAAATTTGGAGAAAGGGAGGTTTTTGGCTTTTTTTCATCTCCAACCCACCAATTATTTGGCTTGCAAATTTGGAGAAGTGGGCTTGGGGGTGGATAGATAGAAACTAATATGGAAAAATGCAAGGAGAAGGTGGGGGACCAACCATGGAACCCAAGCGCACACGCTGGGGCCCTCCACTTTCCAGCATTTTTTTTTTACTTTCTTAATTTTTGATTGGTTGGTTATGAGTTGGGAAGGCAAATTTAGAAGGTTTAGGATTGGAGCAAAAAATATTTTTAGAAGGTAAAAAATGCACATTTGAGAGTTTGAGAGACTAAATAAAACCTTTTGGATTGGAGTTAGTCTAAACAGTTAACAACATAACCATTTATCACTGGGATTGTCATCTACACCTCTAGTTTCCATGTATCATCAATAGTCAAAACATCCTTCAATAAATTGGATTGCCATTGTTTTATGGGAAAATTGGATTGTCATTTGAGTCAACGGTATCGATCAAAATGAAAAACTGAAAATTAATGGACCATAAAGCAAAAATTGAAGTGGAAAACTTGCCGTCTAGTTAGTTCCCACAAGGCGAAAACGACACCAAAAAAAGAAATGCAAAATGGACAGACAAATTCACAAGAAATCCTCCCCCACCCACTAATTCAATTATAGATATCATCGCCCAAATAATAATTAACAATAACCCAACAACATACAATGTAATAAAATACACAAAAAAAAAAAAAATTTAACCCCCAAGCGACAAAGCCAGATCCCATACTCCTTACGATCCAAAAAAAACCCTCACAAATTTCAAGAAGAAGACCGACCGCCGCCACCGCCACCGCCGGCCAGGAACCCGGCGGTCTCCTCCTCATCGAGGAACAAATCCTCGGTCTTCCTCACCACCCCGTGAGCCACGACCACCACCGCCCCGACCAGAAGCGACCCAACGGTGTTCCACAGAACATCGGTGAGGAGCAGCAGAGCCACCGTCAGCACCGAGAGCCCGACCAGCACGGCCTGGTCGCCGATCAGCCGCCCGAACACCACCAGCGGCTCGTCGCGGAGGAAGTAGAGGAACAGCCAGCCGGCCATGGCGGCGATGAAGACGATGAGCGAGATCGGGTGCCAGAGGAGGCTGAGGAACAGGATCCCCAGGACAATTACGGCGTAGTTCATCCGGAAGTAGGCCGAATTCGTCTTCAATCGTGCGATTGCGTCGGCTAGGGTTCCGGGGAGGCCGAGGCTGCGGAAGTCGAGCATGGATTTCCAGGGGCGGAGGGTGCCGAGGCCGTCTCGGATCCGGTCCTTGGCGGCGCGGGAGATGTAGGCGAGGTTGGAGAACGGCGAGGAGGAGCTGCCGCCGCCGGTGGCGGCGGAGGAGGTGGGGATTGTGCCGTAGTTGGTCATCGGGGGTTTTGACCTTGTGGAGAAGGGAACGGCGGGGTTTCGGCTGGTTGGGAGTTGGGAGGGAGAGAAGAAAGTGGAATATGAAAGGGGAAAAAAACCCAAGACGAGTTCTTTCTTTCTTTTGCGGGGTTTTAACGGAGGTCCTTCTCCAAGGTCTTTCTTTAATTCTTTTAATTTTATATTTTTTTCGTTTCATGGCCCAAGGAGAGTATATTGCAATTGACAAATTAGTACATGGATCGGGTACAAATTACATAAATGTGGACCGACTCCAATGTATAAAGCGGGTCCTTAGTGAGTACCAATTGCTCTAACATAGAAAAATGACCAGAGCATAGTCCACCATTAGCCTTGAAATTTGGCACTGATTAGTATTGAAATATAAGCTCGTGTGTATTTTTATCTCTCTTAATTAGACTTTCTCATTAAGTACTATAACACCCTCAACTACCAATGTTAAATATAGCTATCCTCACTATTTGACAACTCATACCAAGTTTTTGTAGTATGCTTATGGGTTGTTTAGTCTTCTCATGTTTTTGTTCATTGCTTTAGTTTTCTCATGTGCTTCTTAGACACCACATTTTTCTAGTGTGTTGTTTTATACTTGAGATTTTTTCCCTATTTTTTTTATACCGAGTATTAACACCATACCATTGTTTGTTTTATATATTCTGAGATAATTTGTGGAGCTAGTATTTGCGTTTCTAAAATTGATTTTCAATTTCAAAGGAAATTAATTTGGTATTTGGTGTATAGCGATACTTAATAAAATTATAGGAATTCGGATTGGATACCAAATTAATTCTGGGATTGGATTGGGTCATTGGGATTGAGTTTAGGGTACTATTTAGTATTCGGTCTTTGGTATTGGGATACCCATATCGTACTGATTTCCACCTCTAGCCACATGAATCTTTAATTCCAATTGCCTAACAATGCACAAATAGAGGAATGGGTTAGGGTGATTACTTTTTTTTAGTAATCACGATGACAACCTCTTTATATACCATTTGATTAACTATTTTTCCTTCTTTTTTAATCTTACGTTCAAGATTCTTTTAGGTTAATTTTGGAAATGAAAATATAACCACACCCGATTATTCTATATAATCTACCCAAACTCTAGTTCTACCCTCCCTCTAGCCAAACCCGCCGTAGCCGCCTCCACCACTCCCGTCGCACTAATCCCACTGATAACGATGTAATTGCACATATTTGCGCCCTAGTTCTTATCCGTTTGAGGGGCATAGTCGTGTATTTTTGGCCTATTTTACGCCGGGTTGTGCTATTTTGTCATATTTCATGTCCCAGGCGTCAAAGGGAAGGCTAAGCACGAGTTTCGGGGCATTCGGAATTCATTTCGTCGAGCTGGAGCCAAAACATGGGCACACCTAAAACAGAACACGGCCGTGTTCTGTGGCCGTGCTTTTACTGCCGAGAGCAAATTCGAGTTTGGCAAACATGAGTTGATTACACAGGCAGGGCTGAGAATTTGCACGGCCGTGTCGATCAAAGCACGGCCGTGTCCACCCGAAAGCACGGCCGTGTTTCTCCCAACACAATGGCCGTGTAGCACTATGGAGGATGTTGATGCATTTAAGAAGTCTCATTTATTCTTCATATTGTGTTGGTTGATTGAGTGAATTAGTGATCTTAGGACCCTTGAATTGTGTGGTGCTGTGGATTCTCTGCCTGTCATGGACTCTTGTTTCATGTTTTGAGTTTAACAGGTGCTCGAAAATGTGCTTCAAAATAACGTCTCCCGTGCGAATAGGACGAAAGTGTGTAAGGGGAGACGGGAATTCGTTCCCAATTTCCACCTACTACCTCCAGCCCCCTTACATGTCTTTCCCCCGCACGAGGCTCGAGACATCTGCTCCTGGCATGGCCGGTAAGAGCCGGGCTCCCGCAAAACCTCTGCTAGGTGGGAGCCCCATTTTCTGAAAAGCAGGTTGGGACCCTTGAAAAAAAAAATAATAACAGAAAACAAGCAAAATAGAAAGAAAAGGGGTTCCAACCATCTCCAAGAAGAAAATAGAGCACCTTGAAAAATGTGAGTCCATGATCCTTTGTTTTTGAGAATCTCTTCATCCACAATTCATTTGTCCTCTGTTCACTATTTGCCATGATGCCGACTCGAGACTAGCATTCTCGCCGAAGAAGCTATGAGATGACTTGTGCGTCGGTTGACCTCGTAAGTTGCTAAATGATAGGCTAATTATTATAAATGGTCATAAAACTATTCACTTTGTACAAAACGGTCACAAACCTTTATTTTGCACGTTTTAGTAACATATGTTTGGCCTAATAACAAAAAGGTAATTCCGTCCATCTCCATCCAAAAAACCGTTACTTTCGTCTAGTCAACACGCCACGTCATTTAAAATATCAATAAAATATGAATGACCAAACCCAGAACTGGTAACCCAACCGAAAATACTATCTCTTTCCACCCACTCGCATTAATAGAGACAGAAACATGAGCCAAGTTACGCCGCCAGTTCCGGCGACTCCAGCACCGCCTCCCCACCGCGTTCATCAATTACCTCGCCGCCATCTCCTCGCCACCCAACCCCACCCGCTCCTCATCCTATGGCGGTACCAGATCCCCCAGCCTTTCACTTTGAAAGAGTGAATTTGACAGGTTCGGCTGCCTCTCTTGGTTATGAGAGTGGACTGGAAATGCTAGGGCCAACTAGAAAAGGAAAATTGACCAAATAAATTCGAGCAGTGAGGATTTTTGGCCATGGCTGGGAGCTAGCTATTGTACTTATGACTAATCGAAGGCATAAAGAAGAAATAGAAAGAAGGCTAGCTAATTAATTACCTGAAGCATCTTGTTGATATTTCTGGCGCTGAAGACCTTGTGGACATTAGCGAACTTGTGGGCAGATCGGTAGCCGCGGGCGGCGAGCAGTTGGTCGGTGGCCCCGTAGGCCACGGTGCGGAGGGAGAAGCAAGCTTGCACTTCCGCCAATTGAGTGATCTTGACGGCAAGGTGGTGGTCTATCGAGAAGCAGAGGTCCTTGGCGACGACGAAAGGGAGAAAGAAGTAGAGCGGGTGGAGGAATAGGGCGAGGATTTGGGTTGGTGGGTATAGAATTAGGGTTTTCGGTCAGGTTTTTGGTTTAATTAGGTTTGATCATTAATATATTATTGATATTTTAAATGACGTGGCGTGCTGATTAGGCGAAAGTAACGGTTTTTTTGGATGGAGATGGACGGAATTACCGTTTTGTTATTAGTCCAAACATATGTTACTGAAACGTGCAAAATTAAAGGTTTGTGACCGTTTTGTACAAAGTAAATAGTTTTGTGACCATTTATGATAATTACCCCTAAATGATCTAGGAAGTCCTCTACCTACGATCTGGGTTGTTTGTTGCTATAGAGGTCTGGAGAGCTGCATTGGTTTGAGTTAGGTTTGCTTGGGGACAAGCAAACGGTTAAGTGTGGGGGAATTTGATAACGATGTAATTGCACATATTTGCGCCCCTAGTTCTTATCCGTTTGAGGGGCATAGTCGTGTATTTTTGGTCTATTTTACGCCGGGTTGTGCTATTTTGTCATATTTCATGTCCCAGGTGTCAAAGGGAAGGCTAAGCACGAGTTTCGGGGCATTCGGAAGTCATTTCGTCGAGCTGGAGCCAAAACACGGGCACACCTAAAACAGAACACGGCCGTGTTCTGTGGCCGTGCTTTTACTGCCGAGAGCAAATTCGAGTTTGGCAAACATGAGCTGATTACACGGGCAGGGCTGAGAATTTGCACGGCCGTGTCGACCAAAGCACGGCCGTGTCCACCCGAAAGCATGACCGTGTTTCTCCCAACACAATGGCCGTGTAATTAACCCTAGCCAAAGCACGGGCGGGCTGAGGCATTACACGGCCGTGCCCTCGACCGTGCTTTGGCCAGTGATGCCCTTTTAAGCAGATTTTCAGCAAAACAGAAGGGGATTCGAGTTTTAGAGAGACAGAGCGATTCCTAGAGAGAGAAAGCGACGAACAAGAGTCTCCAAGTGCCCTAGCTTGATCTTCATCACCATTGGAGGCCAGTTTGAGCTTGGAGAAGTGCCGATCAACGTCCAGAAGCAGGAATCCATCCTTCACAGTATGAATTCCGCGTCTGATTCTGCTTTTGCTTCTTTCTCCATGGAGTAGTTCTCCCATTCATCTGGGTATGGAGAAACCTAGATTTGTATGTTAGGTTTGATTGTATGAACCCAAGTACTGATTCTATGATTTGATTATATTCAATTGAGGTTTGATTGATTGAATGGCATGAATCCTGATCAAATTCCTGTTGTTTCTGCTTTAACCTAGAATGAGAATATCTGCCTAGGTTGATAGAGCATCCTTAATTGAAGGTAGGGAGTTGGTGACTTTAGGCGAGGAGCCAACTCACTATTCTGTACCGGATTCACTTCGGTAGTGGAGGTTTTGTTTGTTAAGGCCTCAAACTGTTTACTCCGGTGGAGGTTAGTCGTCCGCTAGAGATTCAGATTGAGAGGGTCTGAAGACCTTAAGTCGAGACTTCAGGCTGTTTAAGAACCTTCCGCAGTATAACTATCATAGAAACTGAACTTGGTAATTACAATCCGGCTTAACTGCAGTCTAAGGGGAACCATATCCGGGTGACCTCTCTTAACCTGAATACAACCGTTTACTTGCTTTGTTAGTTTGTTAGTTTAGACTTGCATTAAAGTTTCATTGCTAGATAACAAGAATTCACTGAGTAGTCATCAAATCTAGGACCCGGGTTGACATTTAAACCCAAACCCGCTATACTACACTTTAGGAAGTGGTTTCACTTGGCCAATTCTTGGAGTGACAGTAGAAGTGAGTCACCCACCAACCGCCTACACCAGCCCCGACGATGACCTCGTGCCGGCCACCCTCGGCCACCGCAGCGGCCTCCCACCCCTACCTCTCTCTCTCTCTCCCTCTCCCTTTCTCTCTTATCTCTCCCGCTGCTCTCTCCTTCCCTCCCTATCTCTTTATCCATTTGTCTACAATAGATCTGGTAATTACCATCTAGTAATTTAGTAATAGTATTAATTTATGAAATGGTATACTTTGTTTTGGTATTAGTTCATTGGTATTTTTTATGAAATGGTATAGTGTGTTTGTCATAATGGTATTGATTTATTTCTGCAATGGTATTGTTTTGATTTCACAATAGTAGTGGTATTGATTGATTTTGGTATTGGTATTTTTAGTTTAATGTTTTAATTTATTTGTGCAATAGTATTGTTTGATTTCACAGTTATAGTGATATTGGTTGTTTTGGTATTTGTTTGACTTTTGTAATGGTATAGATTCTTTATATTGGTAGTTTTCGTGTATGGTATAGATTTATCTATGCAATGGTATTGTTTTGATTTCACAATAGTAGTTGTATTGATTGATTTTGGTATTGGTAGTTTTAGTTTAATGGTATTAATTTATTTGTGCAATGGTATTGTTTTGATTTCACAGTTGTAGTGGTATTGGTTGTTTTGGTATTTGTTTGACTTTTGTAATGGTATTGATTCTGTATATTGGTAGTTTTCGTGTAATGATATAGATTTATCTCTGCAATGGTATTGATGTTTTTCAAAGTGATAGTGGTTGTCTAATGTATTGGTAGTGATTTCGTGTTTTTTCTTTTGCCGAAAGATTGAGAAAATATGGAAAGGAGATCTGCCTGGAGATTACGGAAGTGAGAGAAAGAGAGATAATTATAATTAATAGATTTTTGTAACTACCTAAAATATAATTTATTATAAAAATTAATTAATATAATTTATTGTTTCATACCCAATTTACCCTTAGTAAGTAATCACCATAACCGCTCCCCACAAATAGAGCCAATAAGTAACCATAACTCGCACAATTTTGTTATGGTGCTAATACCAAAAATCGATGGAACATCTGTGCATCACAACTCTTATATTGATCAAGATAGTGTTGGTTTTGGGTCCACCTGGCAAAGTTTTGTTTTTTGAATTCATTATGTGATTTCTCGAGAGGCCACTCATCGCTGTATTACTTCTCACTGAACATTTTATTATTTCAGAGTTCTTACAAAAACTCATTCATTTCACCCTAGAATATGCCTTGCCAGATCATGTTGGATTGTTCCTAATGAATCATGGATCTATCTCGTGCTTTTGTAGATGCGAGATTTACCTAATGTGTTACAACATCCGCATACATTTTTGAAAATAATTGAAGAGTAAACTTTGCCTTGGATATGTCTTTCCAATCTAATTAATTATATCATCAATTATTGACACATTTTTGGAGACATGATCATAGAATAGAACTAAAGACGCGAGGAATTGGACTACTACATGTATGCTGTAACATATATGCGGTTTGTTGGTTGATATGTGTACTTTGGAATGCATGGATGAAAGAATAAAGGCTGCCTAATCTGCGTATATAGGAAGCACTAGTGGAGGGATCTTGAGCTTGGAAGAAAATCTTGAAACTATGTGACCTTGCTCTTCTCATATGCAGGTTGTTCATCAAGGTGTTAGCTGGTATAGATACATTATGGGAAAATGGAAACTCTCTCTGTTAAATGAGGTTGTTAGTTGGGTGACTCTAGCTTAGTGATTGAATCATGAGAAAAAATTTCTTTGAAATGCTCATTCACACAAGGTATTATGCAAAGAGCTTTACCTTTCTCATTGGGAGTATTCCTCTGTTGCAGGGTGGGAAGAAGGAATGTAGGAAGGTAGGGTGAGGTTTAGGAAATTCAAATTAGGTAGGCTCCTTCGGACTCTCCTCTTCTGTGAAATTTAGTGTGAAAGGTGCAAGGAAACAGTGGCGTAGCCACAAATTTTGGTAAGGTAGGCCCAACATAAAAAGAACTCATATTAATATTGTTTGATAATTCACGATATGTTTTCATATTTTAAAAAACATATACTTCACATAAAGTTCATTATAGAAATTGCAGTTTGTAAGAGAAGAAAAGGGCAATGATAATTGAGGGTGAAGTTGAAAGCATATAATGTAGGGATGTCAATTTTGACCTGATCCATTTTATTCAATTTGTTTGACCTGTTTTGGCAGGTATTACTCACCCAATAGGTAGGGCGGGTTGGACATGGATACTCTATTCCACTTGACCTGCACTGGCTCATTCCATTCTTGACCTATTTTTACCCAAATTACATATAATTTTACTCAAATTATTTGGGGTGGAGATGGTGAAACACGGTTGGCTAAAATGCAGCAAGTGCTTGAACTCAAGTGTGATGCTCTTCTACAAGTTGCTACTGCAAGTCTAGCAAAGCTTTTTTTAGTTTCAAATGTGCTCATATTTATTAGTATATATACTCAGCTCCAGATACGGTGCATAACTAATCAGTAACTAAATCTGGACCCTTACTTTTAAGTGGGTCTAGAAAATTCAGATCTAAAAGTGGAGAATTAAAGACATTTTTATTTTTTCTTGTTTTCATAATCAGCTCGTATCTTCTTCGTTTTAATTCGGATTTCAATTTTTTTTTGCACAAAAGGAACGAGTTCGTTGTGCTCTACAAAATGAGATCCATTTTCTATATTTTTTAAGAAATTTTTGTTAGTCTCTCGTTACCAACTGCATACCATATGATATCTTCTTTGTGTTTAAGTCGTTTTTGAAATTTTTTGCACAGAAGGAACGAGTTCATAATGATCCATTCGATCTACAAATTTCTGGGCGAACAAATACATGACCAAAAAATACCACACAATACCAACCTGGTACAGGGTGGTATCTTGTGGTACACAATGTTGAAAGTCGTAAATGACACTCCTACTATCATGTATTCAACTATCCTACAGTCTTGGTATGTTCATACCACCATGATACGCTTTATATCATATAGTATGCCCTTATTTTAATACTAGTCAATAACATAGGGTATAGACTGGTGAAAAATGGCTCAATTTTTTGTTCCAGAAATATATCAAAGTGGATATCATTATGAAGAGCACAATTAATTTGATCTAACTGTGCAAAAAAAATTTAAATTTCAACTTCAAACGAGTGAGAAATCGTCCATTAAAGATCAAGAGAAAAAAATTAAAGGCTTTAAGGGAGAGAGAAGGGACGCTGATGTGACAGATAGTAATTGGTTTATGCATTATTACTGACCTGTAGGTTACTGACCGGATGTGCTCCCCATATACTTTGGTTATTTATAAAGTGTGTAAAGTTTGCTTATAGTTAATATTGATCTAACTAGGAGTAGGGCTCGAAGTTTGGTACCAGTATTTGGGATATACCGAATACCGTACCGAATTTATCACTATTTGGCATTACCGAATACCGATTTATCTTTTAGGGATTGGGATTGAGATTCATATTGGAGTGCTATTCAGTATTCGAGATTATGAGATCGGGATCGATATATACCGAAATACTGAGAAATAGCGAAAATTAAAATTTAATGAAATATAATACACAACCTTTGGTCAATCCTTACTCTTTCACAATTTAGAAGCCCCCATCCAACTCAATTTTGACTTTCCAGTTTAAGTCACTCTCATCCCTCACCTAATCTCTTGTTATTTTCATAACACCAAAAAGCAAACACTAGTATTAGTCGTCTCTTAGCATCCAATTCGTCAAATTAAAGATTACCAATGACAAAATTTTGGGATGTCACCTCTCCTCCATTTTCCTTATCCATATTCTAGTTCTAGACAAACTCAAGACTCTTTGCTTAGTCTTTTTGCCCCAAATTAAACAAAAAAGTCTCATTTATATATTTAATTATTAATGACAAATGTAATTAATTTCGTATTCGATAATACCGATTGGGATGCCAAAGTGCCGATTGAGATACCGAAATATTTAAAAATTGAGATACCGAAATTAATTAGGGATTGAGATTGATTTTAGAGTGTAATTAGATATTCAGAATTTCGGTATTTGATATTGAGATATCGATACCGTACCGATTTCCACTCCTAGAAGTACGGAGCATGCATGAGATTGGCGTTTGTAATCAAAGTAATCAAGTCCATGACGCTAAAAGGTTGGAGCCTATTATGCTCCTACCTTATTTTCTTGAAATGCAGAGGTTATTCATAAAATAAAATAAAAAGAGTCATTTGCTTAATGAATTTGAGAGAAGGATTTAGATCCAAATATATAACCATAATAGATTTGGTATTAATCTATTTATATTTTTTTTTCTAAATATGTGTGTCCATGAACTTCGAGGTTTCAAATTTTTGAGGCTTATGGACTTGTAAATCTGTATTGGGATATGACCATAAACTTATGAAATATTTTACCATATATACCCATGAATTTTTTAAATTCTCAAGTTGACCTCATCTTTTCATGTTTTAAATATCATATATTAACCTTATATCCTACCAACCTTTACCACCAAGTTATACAGTGGTAATATATGTTTTGATATTTTTTGTTCCAAAATATGTAATAGTGGATGTCATTTTTTTCCGTTGAATCAGTTACTCTTTTTATTAACGGCAAAAAAGAGACCATTTGCAAAGCACAAATAGCCAACCAATACAACGAAAAGGAAAGCTCGCATTGAGCAGCCCTAAAAAGCAGAAGGAGAAAAAAACTCTACCCCTACCACGCCCCCCACAAGAACTACCAGCAACTACCAATCCCTTACATGTGGAAACTAAGCAGCTGCAGACCTTCAAGTAATAGTTCATTATCATTATATATAATCCGCAATTCAGCAGTAACTTCCCGAACTGGATGTCATTTTTTAGAGTACAATTAATACGATTTTTCTATGAAAAATAAATTATGAATTAAAAAAAATAAATATAAACGGTAATAGAGAAATATGCATAGTGAAAAACAATTTGATGGTAGTTCTCATGATCGTACGGTACGAACGAGGCCGTTTACACCTCTAGACTGGATATCATCCGGCAGCCTGATCATGCACCCTTGCGTGGGCTGGGCCATTTATAGATTTGGTGAGAGAGGCCCATGTAAAACAACGGGCTGCAGGGCCCCCAATAACAATGAGTTCATCAGCCTTCCTGGGATGGCAATGGGTCGGGTTGGGGCGGGTTTTGTCAAACCCAAACCCAAACCCATGGGTTTATCCGCCAAAAAAATCCGGGGTAAAACCCGCTGGGTTTGAAAAACTCAAACCCAACCCAACCAGTTGGGTATTCGCGGGTTCATGGGTACCCGTGGGTTTTTGTGGTAAAAAATTTACAATAACAATTTTCTTTCAAAATAAAAGTTTAACATTAATTTTCTCATACAAATTATTCATACAAAAAACACCAATCTAGAGCATACAAGCAAACCGCAAATGATCAATACAAATTGTTCAAAATTAAAGATAAACATCTATAAACAATAAGATTAATTGAAAGCTTCTTACTCGTCAACTAAGTTTCTTCACTCTCCACTTCATAATATCAACTTCATTCTAAACAATTAGAAACAACAAATTATATATGTCTCCACAAACATAAAGAATATTAATTGTTTAAGGAAGATATATTATTTAGAGTATTAAATATACCGGGAAAGTAATTATATGTGTGGGCGGGTACCCATGGAGCGGGTTGAACTAAACCCAAATCCAACCCGACCCGGTAAATAGCGTAGCGGGTTTAAACCCAAACCCGGCCCAAAACCCGTCAACACGGATTTTTACCCACGTTGATCGAATTGGGTCGGGTGGGTACCCGTGGGTTCGGATTTTATTGCCATCCCTTTCCATCTTCTTCTTCTTCCTTTTTTATTTTTATTGGTTTCTTTCTTTTTTATCGAGAGATGTTTAATTTGACTCATAAATAAAAGACTTCAGCTTGAAGTGAAATCCTTCTGTTTATCTCGCCTCTAAGATTCACCAAAAGCAACCTAAAACAATGGAGGTGAATAATTTCACAAGTTTGTCCAACGGGAAGCCTTTCTTTCAACTCCATATATAGCCGCCCACACCAAAAACAAAGTCCAACTTCACCTACAGCCAGGAACCAAATTCTCTGCACATTTCTTTCTTCTTCTTCCTCCAAAGGGCACTCTTTCTTTGCATATTGTGTGTATAACAAATATGGAATGCAAGCCAACATTCCTCCATGGCATCATTGAAGTCACCATCTTCGATGCTACACCTTACATCCCTCCATTTGTCCTCAATGTAAGCACCCATCAATCATAACGTTATATTCCTCTGTTTTCTCTCTGTTTCCAAAAATGTCTATAGACTATAGTTAAATGAGTCAATTCTTGTGTTAATATTTTTTTTGCAGTGCTTACCAACACATGGGAGCCCAACTTATGTGACAGTGAAAATAGACGACAACAAGGTGGCTAAAACCAGCCACGAAAGGGACCGAGTTTGGAACCAAACCTTCCAAATCCTATGTGCCCATCCCTTGGATTCAACGATCACCATCACCATGAAGACCAAGTGCTCCATCCTCGGCAAAATCCACCTCGAAGCACGTAAGATCGCTACGGAGACCAGCTTCATCAATGGCTTCTTCTCGCTCTCCAACGCGGAGAGCGAGAAGAAGAGGAAGCCAGCCGAGAGTGATTCGGAGCTGAAGCTCAGGTTTATGTTGTGGTTCAAACCGGCTCAGCTCGAGCCGGCTTGGAGCCAGATAGTCGGTAGTGGTGGCAATGGAGGGTTTCAAGGGCTTAGGAATGCATCTTTCCCTCTGAGATCAGATTGTGGGATGAGGCTTTATCAGGATGCTCATCATTGTGGCGGTTTTCAGCCTCCGCCTGAGCTTTGTGGGTCGCCAAGGAATTTGTGGGAGGATGTCTATAAGGCCATTGATGATGCCAAGTATTTTGTCTACATTGCTGGTTGGTCCTTCAACCCTAACATGGTGCTTGTAAGTCAATGCACTGTTCTTTTATCCAGTAATTTCAGATATTGAAGTTGGACTGATACGTAAATGGATGATATGAATTTGTTCTCATGATCAAGCATCGAGTCTTTAATTAACAATTGTCGAGCTCTGTAGCCTCATTGCGCGGGAGCTCTCCCACAATATATTTTGTGGGTTTTCTTAGTGTTTTTGTCTGTAAATCTTATAAATGATATTTTGCTACATCTTTCATATAACACATTTGTAGTATTATATTTTGCATGTCACGAAGTGCAAGCGAGCGGATTATATCTAGTATTTGTTAAAATAACACTTCAAGGGTACACAATTGCCATTTGACCATTTTTGTTTATTTGTACTGTTGTATGTTGACATGGCAGGTTAGGGACCCTGAAACAGTGTTACCACACGCAAGAGGAGTAAAGCTAGGCGAATTACTAAAAGCAAAAGCAGAGCAAGGAGTAGCCGTGAGAGTCTTAATATGGGACGACGAAACTTGCTTTCCTTTGATTAAAAACAAGGGCTTAATGGGAACACACGACCAAGACGCCTTGGCCTACTTCAAACACACAAAAGTCATATGCAAGCTCTGCCCTAGGCTCCACCACAAGTTCCCAACTTTCTTCACACACCACCAGAAGACCCTCACCCTCGACTCCCCGATGGCAGGTACAATCGGGGATCGAGAGGTTGTCTCCTTTGTCGGAGGCCTGGACCTCTGCGACGGAAGGTTTGATACGGAGCAACATTCGTTGTTTCGTACCCTGAACAAGGAGTCGCATTGCCAGGACTTCTACCAGACTAGTATAAATGGGGCTAGTATGGTAAAGGGAGGCCCTAGAGAGCCCTGGCATGATGTCCATGCTTGTGTTTTGGGAGAGGCTGCTTGGGATGTGTTGAGGAACTTTGAGGAGAGATGGGGGAAGCAATGTGATCCTTCTTTGTTGATTCCCACTTCATCCTTGGCACATCTTAGAGCTCCACCAACTAATGTGAATGGCACATTAGGTATGCCATGGTTGAAACTTTATGATATTATGATTCTAAATGAAAATTTTAATACAATCTTATGATTTTATGATTGTATATTGTTTATGTAGAAGCTTGATTTTAACTTTATGTACAGATTCATCAAACCCTATGAGGAACTGGAAGGTCCAAGTGTTCAGGTCAATCGACCACGTGTCAACATCCCAACTGCCTCGTAACCTAAGAATCGAGCGGAGCATCCACGAGGCCTACGTGGAGGCAATAAGGCGCGCCGAAAGGTTCATCTACATTGAGAATCAGTACTTCATAGGAGGGTGCCACATGTGGGCACATGATCGAGGTTGCGGGTGCAAGAACTTGATACCGGTCGAGATCGCATTGAAGGTGTCTCAGAAGATCAGGGAGAGACAGAGGTTTTCGGTTTACATTGTGATTCCGATGTGGCCGGAGGGCTGTCCCGAGGGCGAAACTGTCCACGACATTTTGCATTGGACTAGGATGACAATGAGCATGATGTACAGGATGATTGGGGAAGTTTTGCAAGAATGTGGGGAGCAAGGGCATCCTAGGGACTACTTGAACTTCTTTTGTCTTGCTAATAGGGAAGCGGAGAGTGGAAAAGAGTTTGTTCCTCCTTACTCACCTCGTCCTTCGACACAGTATTGGTTTGCTCAGAAGCATAGGAGGTTCATGGTTTATGTCCACTCCAAGCTCATGATAGGTACGAGAAATATTCCATGCCCATTTTCCATCCTTTTGTTTTCTACTTTAATCAAGATCCATATAACAACTCAAACAATATTAAAAATAAATTGTGACAAATTTAAAACATGGATCTCATACAAATTTTTTTATAGAACATATAATAATATGTGCTTGATTTGACACATTTAAAAATGTTGTTTTAACATTATTTAGTTTACATGCTATAGATTTCGATATACTCCATTTAAAACAATCTCTTTTTTTTTTTTGTTAGAGATGATGTTGGTGTAGAAACTTATAGCAGAGCTTTATAATTTCATATGGCTTAATTATTAAATACCTTAATTAAGTATAATATATATTAAAAGAATTACATTATTTGGTGAATCATGAGGATTCAACAAAGTCTTTCTTTTTAATAATCGATGATGCTTATATAAACTCGATAATTATCGAGATTCACACAGAACCTAACTTACCCAACTCTCACAAGTTGTCACTCTCTTTCTTCTTAACAGTGGACGACGCCTACCTATTGATAGGTTCAGCAAATGTCAACCAAAGGTCGATGGACGGGAGGCGAGACACAGAGATCACCATAGGATGCTACCAGCCTCAACCTCGAGTGATCGACCCTACTCCTAAAGACGTTCAAAATTATAGAATGTCATTATGGTACGAGCACACCGGAGGGATGGCAGATGGAGACTTCTTGAACCCTGAGAGCCTCGAATGTGTGAGGAAGGTTTGCTCCATAGGAGACCAAATGTGGGAGATTTATAGTGGCGATGAGGTTGTGGACATGGGAGGTGTTCATTTGGTGAGTTACCCTGTCAATGTGACCAAAGAAGGTGGTTTGGAGGACCTAATTGATGAGGGAGAGAACTTTTTCCCTGATACAAAGACTCCCGTGGGAGGAAGGAGGTCTAAGATGTTGCCCCCTATTTCCACCACCTAAGTTGCCGTGAGTGGTATTCACTCAAAGGATTGAGACTCGTGTTGGATGTGTAAATTTGTGTGTATAAATTGGTTTACTTCCATGCATGTCCTAATAACTTTTAGCAGTGTAGATTAACATTTAACCGAAAGAATATAAAAGACGGATTTCAAATAAGTTGAGGTTGAGTTCTACTCAATTTGGGTTCAACCAGTTTTAAATGATCAAGTTCAAGTTTGATTTGTTTACTAAAATTTTGGGTCGTGTTTAACTCGAGGTAGACTCGAGGTTGCGTAATTAATAAGCACACGAGTTTGCCTCGACCTCAACTCATTTATCATTCTAAAATATAATGCAATTAAACTAAAAGTAAGATGTTATATAATTTAAGTATCCTAATATTTATATGCGATGATGGATTAATCATAATATTTTTTATCATTAGTTGATACTATGTTTATATAATCTCTTGGTGTCATATTATATAATTCATAAGTAATGAGACATTTGCTCATATATTCAAAGTATTAGACATCATATATAGTGAGATATAAAATCTAACAAATCTATGAATAATTAGCAAGCCAACATAAGATATCAATCTATTCGAGTTGACTCGTTAGCCACATTATCGAGCGGACTCATGAGCTCAAAATGAACCAACTCACAAGTTTAGCTCAACAAGCCACCAAGTTAAGCCGGTACGCGAGCCTCACGATATTAATAAGGTGTAGCTTAAACTTGACTCATTAGTAAATGAGCCATATTTCGAACGAGTTTTATCAAACCAAAGGTCAAGTCACATGGTGAACATATCATGTCGTTTGCAAACCTAGAAATAGCTAGACACTAAAGTTAATTGAATTGATGGCACGAGTTTGATGTAGTTATAATTCTGAGGATTGTATTCCAGAGGGTCTTTTGATGGTAACTACTCAAACTAACAACCTATGTTCAAAGGAATGCAAAGGAAAATTAAATATGATGGGTTGAGGATCCCTAGTAGATGTTTGACTTCTATATACTACCTAGAGTCCTAGACTAGACTCGAAATTATGAAGCAAGGAAAGCATGATAAAAGACATTGTTTAGGTTGTGTCATCTAGACAATCATGCATACATTTTCAATAATAAGATGCACCTATGCATCGATCTATTGTGATATCCTATCCCTTCCATTAAAGTCATCCTATTCGAGTTTTCACCACATGCAATAGGAATTAGAACTAGCTAATGCATGCTTTTGCTTCATGCCACTAGACTAATCGACCAAGCAAGGAAGTAAGGATAGCTAATTGCTATTTAGGGCCTCTACGAGCCATAACAATGGTCTATGGCATTTGATTATTTAAGTATCAAATATCTATCTCAATCATGCATAAGGGGGTGTATTGTTCCTTCATAGACACCGAAAATAGATTGTTACCACATCAGTCGGGTTTATCGTGCAACATATGGTGATAATATAAACAAAGACCATAGTAGCATACAATAGATGATTAAAGCATTATATAAGTAAAACACAAGATGATACAAGCATTGAATGAAAGAGGCATCTAAGATGCATAAAACATCAAAGAATTGAAATCCCTAAACAATGATGAATCAGGACACCATAAGAGACAAGGTACACATCACCATAGATGATAAAGGCATCCTGTTCAAATTCTAGCAGAACTTTGCCTCCTCCTATAGATTGATAACTTGTGCCCTCTAGGGCAAAGTGGGAGTGTAAAAGTTTTCTAGAGCTAGAGTTTAAGCTCCTATTTATAGTACAACAAGGAAGGGGATTTTATAGGATTTTCATGAAGTCGGCCAAAAGCATCATTGGACGAGTGGGACTCGGATTTCTCTACTTGGGGCCGAAGTAAGCATCCTCTAGAAGCTTCCTTGGGCTTGGGCCTAGCAGCAGTGATTTGGTGGTCTGGGTCGTCGTGGATTTTCTTTGTGGGCTAGGTTGCTTGTGGGACAAGTAACTTCTCCTCCAAAATTCGGTGAGACTTCATGGGCTATGACCCGCTTTGACCTTCGTCAATGGTAAGTCTGTTGCACTACCGAGTCTGCTTCTATGGGCCATAAAGTGAGAATCTGATGTCAACCCATCTATGTTTGAGCCCATGAGTTTGTAATATCGTCCTCCTTCTAGTCTATTGATGATCCATATTCATCTTGAGTGTATTCTATTCTTGAAAAGCAGAAAATAACACCAAAAGGGGTAAAACAGTACACAAACACACTTAATGTCTATCTTCGACACATTGATCAAATGGTTAAGATATTTATATGAATCGGGGAAAAAAATATTAAACATGCATTGATGGAAGGGAAAATATATCATATATGATAGTGATAAACACTATAAATTGAATGTCATCAGAAGCCATGAATTATGATGATTTCTACTTATCTAGCTTGAGGTCTAGGGTAGGGTCTAGTTATGCAATTGTGTATAACTACATTTGACCACTTTATTTTTAGTAGGATTGTTGTTTGAATTTATATCTACGTACTTTTTAATGATTTATATCTTTTTTGTTTTACGTCGTATTTTGATTTTTTTTTTACAGATGGAACAAGTTCATTGTGGCGTATACATTTCGAGTGAGAATTTGTGTACGATACCAGTTTTTAACACCCTAGTACCACCTTATTTTTAACTCAAATTTTAAAAATATTTACACAGAAGGAACACGTTGATGGTGATTTACAAATTTGTGAAAAATCATTTCACAACCAAATATATCACCCTAGTATAGTGTGGTAACTAATGGTAAACGATGGTGAATGTGGTAGATGGTAGTTAGTATATTCCTATATAATATGTACAGTCATTCTACACTATATTTTATAAGCAAGAATATAGTGTAAAATCGTTAATCTGTTAAAGATCTTTAAACTAGAATTAATATATACAATCATTAAACGGTTAAAGATCTTCAATGAACAAATATTTTATAAGCAAGAATATATATTTTCAATACAAATAATGGCACAAGTACAAATAGAATTCATCACTCTTAAACAAACATACATGAATGCTAAAGTTCTAAAGTTCAAACTCTAATTATTAATTCAAATTTATTCCTACCATATTGTTATATAACTAGGCAAGTAAAAGCCTATTATCTTATGAAAATGGAAATTATTATAAGTGAAGTTTTGGAAATAAAAATTATGTAATGATAATAATCAAAATCGAAAGATTATAACTTTGTATAATTAAAAATATAGTTTATAATAAAAGGTAAATTGAATTTTGTTGCTTAAAAACAATGATAACCCAAATGATAAGTATACGAGTATATTGACCCAAAATAAGCATACGAATTAGGATACACTCATCGTGCTGGAAAACTTATTGATCAGTATAATATAGGATGCCAGGGCCAGGTAGTATTGGGCTCAACTGAACAACTTAGACTACAATACTGATATGGCCTTGAATCCCTTGATTTGGAGGCAATATAAAACAATGAGTATTGATTGCAGAAAGACAAGAAAACAATTAGAAAGAAAAAGACCTAACTTATCAGCATTATCACCTATATAATTTGATTATGTATTTGTTTATAAGTATGATTGATTATACGTCATTTTCATGTTATGTGTGGGTGGGACTCAAGAATCAAGAATGGTGATGTTACACATATATGACCATGAATTCCAAAGAAAATAATTATAGTGAGGAACATATACATCCAATCTATTTATTTATTTATTTTGTTTTTCTTGTTTGTTTCTATGAAATTTAGATAGAATTGAGTATGCGGTTTTCTTCATGTAATTGAAGTTTATCTTTTCGTGCAAGTGTATGAGTTAATGTCTTCCTATTCTGATGTTGAATTCATTTTAAATTTTATAAAAAAAAAAAGTTGTTTAGAAGTCCTTATTGGTCACTATATACTATATGCTCGTGAATATAACAAAATCATAAAAAAAATCGAAACGTGAAACTCTAATGACTAAACGTACTTGTTTGGTAGCGAAATTGGCAATTAGCTTGATTGCATCCATCCTGCCATTAAGCCGTATGGATATAATGAGCATATTTGATTGACATAGTACCCACATTATAGCTAATTCATCTCCCGATCCAATCGAAGTACAACCCTCCAAAACATAATCCACCTCAATATTCATTTATGTTGTTCAACTAAGACGATTAACTTGGCGAACGAGGTCGTGATCAAGTGGTTGTACCGCTGGTTTTCAATTTGGAGCCCCATATTCGAATCTCAGAGACGACGTTTGTTTCTCTTTCTCCCCACCCCTCTAATATCACACCTTGTAAGGTAACAAGTTTCTATAAAAAAAAATGATAAATGTTGATTTAATATGCTTAAATGATAAAAGTTTATTTAATATGCTTAACTAAATAATGGGTCAATTGCATGGTTAGTCACTGAGATTACAAAAAACGTTCAAGTTTCGTCACTCGAAATATTTAAATCCATTGGTGGTACTTCAGTTGATTGAAATCATTCACGTTTGGTCACTCTCCGTCCAACTCCGTTAACTTTTGCTTATGTGACGGTCAACTTTAAAAGTTGACCGTTAAGTGAGTGATATGGCAATTAAAAAATTAATAAAATAATAAAAATTAATATTTTATAATTTCCACCTAATTTCTAACTATTAAAAACATAAATACAAAATTATAAATTATTGAAATTGGGAGGAGTACTTCAACAAGAACGACGCCCCACATCCTCCTCTCCAACCCGCCGTAGCCAATCCACCTTAGCACCGGAAAGATATGTCAGGGAAACCGTATGGAAGAGAACGATTGAAGGCGTGATTAGATCACTCTCCTTAGAGTGTTTATTTGCCCCCACTACTTTGTTGCTGGTAGGATTTAGGCAAACCACCCCCAGGAGTCCCTCCAATCAAAGTCAGAAAGCAGCACCTTTCTTGACTTCTGTGTTTGTGTTTTTGAAGAAGGAAAACGAGGAGAAGAAGAAGAACGTTGGAACAGAAATTCGGCTGCAGAAGACTTTTATAGTGAAAACGGCAGTTCCCTTCCGAAGGGTTGCGTCGTTTCACAAAACTCAAAATCAAATAATTATCCGGATTAATTAATTAAAATAATTCCGGTAATTAATTAGCCAAAAATTCAAATCCGAACGCGTCGCGCTAAGTGCTAAGTGCGTAGTGCGATTTAATATGTCCAATTAAATAGCCCACACTTTTTCCAAAATCCCACTAACCACTTTATCCAATAACTAAAGTGGAAAGCAAACTTAAAAACAACTTGCACTTTCTTTCTCCCACCAATGTGGTATTTCCTTTACTCTTTGACTACTCTAACAATTCCCCAATTAGTCAATAAGAGTCGAGAATACCTGCCTTGAACAAGTAACGCATACATAAAAGTATCTTTTCGATTTGAACCTTTACTTAGTGTAAGCATCTCAAAGTTAATAGCGAATCAATGACGGGCTTAAGCCTAGGAGTCAAGATCCAAAGCTAGAACCGGAGACACCACACACGTACTCGTCTCTTCTCTAAAACACAACCACCAACAAGGGTAGCACTATTATGGCCATGTGCTTATCCTGTTTCATGAGCATATACAAAAGTTGACCTTTACTTTTGTTAGAGCGGCACCACTCCAAATGCTCACATAGGTGACATTCCAAATGAACGTCATTAAGAGTTCTATAACTCACCCTTCTTACAACTAATTTACTTGTACAATAAACTAGTTCCCAGTTAGAGTAACTTGTTATTACCACATTGAACCTTTTAATTAGGGAATATCTAAAGAAAAGGTTGGGTTTCCATTACTTCTAACTATACAAAAGGTCTCAATCCCATCCCTTGGGATGTCTCATAGATCATGCCTCTTGGCAGCCCCTTTGTAAGAGGATCTGCCAAATTGTTGCACGACCTTACATACACAATAGAAATGATTCCGTTAGTAATCAAATACCTAACGTAGTCATGTCTTAGGCTAATATGTCTAGACTTACCATTGTAAATCTTGTTATAAGCTCTAGACAATGTAGCCTCACTATCACAGAAGACAGAAATGGCTGGCATCGGTTGTGGCCACAACTCTATATCTAACAACATGTTTCTTAGCCATTCTGCTTCTTTTCCAGCCGCAAGAAGGGCTATGAATTCGGCTTCCATAGTGGAGTGTGAAATACATGTTTGTTTCTTTGAAGCCCAAGAAACAGCTCCACCACCTAGTGTAAAAATCCATCCTGTTGTGGATTTATTATCACTAGCGCTCGTGATCCAACTAGCATCAGAAAATGCTTCCAGTACAGCGGGGAAGTTGCTATAGAAGAGTCCCAAATCTTTGGTTCTTTTCAAATAACCAAAGACTCTTCCTATAGCTCTCCAATGATCGGCACTAGGATTACTAGTGAATCTAGAAAGTTTGCCCACCGCAAAAGCAATATCGGGCCTAGTACATCCCATTGCATACATCAAACTTCCAATAGCACTAGAATACTCAACTTGTGCCACTGCCCTTCCCTCATTTGCACAAAGCTTAAAAGATGCATCATAAGGGGTGTTAGCCTCCTTTATATCCAAATGCTCGAATTTCTTGAGCATCTTCTTGACATAATGTGACTGACTCAAAGCAAAACCCCCACTATGTTTCTTTACTTTGATACCCAATATAGTATCTACTTCTCCAAGATCTTTCATTTGGAAGCAGGAAGTTAGATACTCTTTGGTCTCATTTATACCTTTCATGTTAGTTCATATTATCAACATATCATCAACATAAAGGCATATAATGACCATATACTCTTTTGTGCACTTTGAATAAATGCACTTATCAGCAGAGTTATGAGAAAATCCATGAGCCAAAACAACAGAATCAAATTTCTCATGCCATTGTTTAGGTGCTTGCTTAAGTCCATACAATGACTTTTGCAATTTACACACATTTCCTTCATTTCCAGGCAACACGAACCCTTCTGGTTGCTCCATATACACTTCTTCATCTAACTCACCATTTAAGAATGCCGTCTTTACATCCATTTGGTGTACGTGCAAATTGTAAATAGAAGCCAAGGCTAAAAGCACTCTTATGGAAGTGATTCTTGCAACTGGTGCATAGGTGTCGAAGCAATCTACTCCATCCTTTTGCCTAAACCCTTTTGCAACCAGTCTAGCTTTGAAGGTATGTATTGATCCATCTGTGTTATACTTAATGCGAAATACCCATTTGCATCCAATAGCCTTAGATCCAGGAGGCACGTCCACAAGAACCCAAGTCTTATTTATTAATAACGAATCCATCTCATCATTAACAGCCTCATTCCAAAAGGCAGAATCTCTAGAAGCCATTGCTTCTTGATAGGTTTTGGGATCGTCTTGCACATGGAAAATAATAAGTATCTTTCTTGTAACCTTATTCAACCTATCTCCCTCTACAAGAAAGACTATATCTTGAGGATCAATAAATTCTGGACAAAAACTCTTTTCCTTTCGAGCCCTTTGACTTCTTCGTGGTTCATTAGCAGCAGGTTCATCTAAAGGCCTTTTGCTACTAGAACCAATGTCAAAATCGGGAGCAGAGATAGACTCATTTGAGGAATCTACAGAAGTAACTCGACATGGTTCTACATTTGCAGAGTCACGTCGAAACTTGTTCTCAAAGAACTCAACATCTCTCGATTCCACAACCACATTAGATTCTAAATCCAGAACCCTATAGGCTTTTGAGTTTTCTGCATATCCAAGAAAAACACCTTTCAAAGCTCGTGGTCCTAACTTAGTTCTCTTAGGATCTGGGACTCTGTAGAAAGCAAGACAGCCCCAAACTCTAAGATAACTCAAGTTCGGTTTCCTTCCCTTCCACAACTCATAGGGAGATTCCCTTAGCTTCTTAGACGAAATCCTATTGGGTACATGGAAGGCTGTTAGCAAAGCCTCACCCCACAGATTGTTTGGAGCACTAGCATTCATCAACATAGCATTAATCATGTCAGAAAGAACTCCATTTTTTCTTTCTGCTACTCCATTCTGTTGTGGGGTGTAAGGAGCAGTCCTTTGATGTATTATACCATGTTGCTCACAAAACTCATTAAAGTTATTTGGAAAATACTCTCCACCTCTGTCACTTCGAAGGATCTGTATTCTCCTACCCTTTTGAGTTTCAACAACAGATTTATACAACTTAAACTTATCAAAGGCTTCATCCTTGGTTCGCATTAAATAGACATAGGTAAATCGAGTACTATCATCAATGAAAGTAATGAAGTACCTACATCCTCCTCTAGTTAACTGACCATGAAATTCACAAATATCAGAATGTACTAATTCTAACAATTCTGATTTTCTGTCAACCAACTTAGGAAATGGCTTTCTCTTCATCTTAGCTTGCACACAGATTTCATACTTATCTCCACTATCATCACCACAAACTACTAAACCATTTCTAGACATGTATTTCTGAGTCTTAAAATTAACATGCCCCAATCGATTATGCCATAAATCAAAAGAAGTACTTTCTATACTATAATTTGCATGCACATCAATATAAGCAGAACCATCAACTTTATTATTAATATTACCATTGTCAATACTTAGCTTAAACATACCATCACTAACATAGCCCTTCCCAATAAACATACCAGCCTTGGTCAGAATCACCCTATCAGATTCTATCACAACCTTTATCCCCTTCTTACAAAGCATGAAACCAGAAACCAAGTTCTTTCTAACATCAGGAACGTGAAGGACATTGGTGAGAACAACTTTCTTTCCCGAGGTGAAGAAAAGCTCCACGGTTCCAGATCCAAGAACCTTGATCGTGCGATGATCACCCAACAGAACCTCATGTCCCTCCGTTGACTCTGTGTAGTCCTTGAACATGGCTCTCTTGTTGCAAATGTGAGCAGTTGCCCCCGAATCATACCACCAATCAGCACTGATCATGACTCCAGCCATGTGCAATTCCTGAATCATACTCACATGTAAGTCAGAAATCATTGCAACAATCTCACTAGGCTCAACTTTCTCAATCACGTTTGCACTTGCAGCCCCTTCGTTCTGGTTCTGGTTCTTCTTTGGATTAGGACAGAAGCGAACAATATGTCCCAATTGCCCACAATTGAAACAATTCTTAGTGGACATAGGGGACGGTTTTTTCTTTTTATTCTTCTGGTTGTTGGTCTGGTTGTTGGAATTATTCATGGCCTTTCTCTTCTTTCCTTTCTTGCTCTCCACAACATTCACTTTGGAACTTGATGGTGCCCCCGAATTCATATCCTTGTCACGGATACGAGTTTCCTCCTCGATCCTAAGGTGCTTCTGAATCTGTTCCAAAGTGAACTCCTCTGACGTATGAAGTAATTTCTTCCTATAGTTGTTCCATGATGGAGGCAACTTCGCAATAATTGCCCCCACCAGAAACGCATCAGGAAGTGTTATCTTCAACGCAGTGAACTTAGAGGCCAAGATTAGGAATTCATGAACTTGATCAAGAATTGAACGCTTATCAGTCATGCTAAATTCAAAGAACTGGAATGTGACAAACTTATCTGCGCCTTGTTTCTCTGATTTGTACTGGTTCTCCAAAGATGTCCAAATTTCAGTAGGGGTCGCCAACTGGGAATACAGATTGTAGAGACGATCAGAGAGTGAATTGAGGATGTATCCTCGGCACAGCAGACTGTCCTCACTCCTCTTCTTGCGCTCAGCCTTCAATTCATCAGAGTCAGTGTCTTGTGGTTCTTCTAGCGGCACCAAATCAGGATCCAGTATGTACACGATCTTCAAAGCAGTCAACAGAAACTTCATTTTCTCTTGCCAGCGGGTGAAATTGGTTCCATCAAACCGATTGAGTTTGTTGGAATCAGAGGCATACGCCTTCAAAGTGCTCTCCACTCCAGAATCCATTGTCACACGCAAATAAACACTCTAAGATTGTCAGGGAAACCGTATGGAAGAGAACGATTGAAGGCGTGATTAGATCACTCTCCTTAGAGTGTTTATTTGCCCCCACTACTTTGTTGCTGGTAGGATTTAGGCAAACCACCCCCAGGATTCCCTCCAATCAAAGTCAGAAAGCAGCACATTTCTTGACTTCTGTGTTTGTGTTTTTGAAGAAGGAAAACGAGGAGAAGAAGAAGAACGTTGGAACAGAAATTCGGCTGCAGAAGACTTTTATAGTGAAAACGGCAGTTCCCTTCCGAAGGGTTGCGTCGTTTCACAAAACTCAAAATCAAATAATTATCCGGATTAATTAATTAAAATAATTTCGGTAATTAATTAGCCAAAAATTCAAATCTGAATGCGTCGCGCAAAGTGCTAAGTGCGTAGTGAGATTTAATATGTCCAATTAAATAGCCCACACTTTTTCCAAAAGCCCACTAACCACTTTATCCAATAACTAAAGTGGAAAGCAAACTTAAAAACAACTTGCACTTTCTTTCTCCCACCAATGTGGTATTTCCTTTACTCTTTGACTACTCTAACAAGATATCTCCAGGATTGGACGCACCGCTCAGCTCAAACACCTCGCTTATCACCTCCTGAAACCCCTCGCCGCCACCTTCTTCCTCCGCCGCTGCGGACCCAAAATACCTCTTCTCGGCGACCATCCTCATCACTATGTTCAGCGAAAGACCCGACAGCCTCGACTTCATCTCCACCTCCCCGAAACCCGACCCGGCACCCGAAACCTTGTCAAACAGGCCGTGGATGAGCTGCCTGACCTCGTCGTGGCGCAAGCCGAGGGAGTAGTTGAGGCGGGCGGTGGAGAGGAGCTCGACGGCGGTGAGGCAGCGCAGGTTGCGCCAGAGCAGGCCGAACGGTGCCGCCCCCACGGTGGTGTAGTTGTAGTTGAGGATTCGGGCGGCTACCATGTTGGGCTAGTTGGCGAGGACGACATCGTTCTTGTTGAAGCGCTCCTCTCAATTTTAATAATTTATAATTTTGTTTTTATCTTTTTAATAGTTAGAAATGAGGTGAAAATTATAAAATATTAATTTTATTATTTTATTAATTTTGTAATTGCCACATCACTCACTTAACGGTCAACTTTTAAAGTTGACTGTCATGTAAGCAAAAGTTAACGGAGTTGGACGAAGAGTGACCAAACGTGAATGATTTCAGTAAACTGTAGTACCACCAACGGATTTTAATATTTCGAGCGACCAAACTTGAACGTTTTTTGTAATCTCAGTGACCAACCATGAAATTAACCCACTAAATAACCTTACCTGAAAAAAACACTCGCCCTCTGTTCTATATATTCCTATTAGTATTTGCCATATCTAGTGTAAGGGGTGTTCAAATGGTTACCATGATAATTACCAAATCAAATAAGTCTAAATTCTATTAACCATGGAATACAATATCACAACTAAACCGTCAAAACTAATACAACAACCAAATTAACCAAACTAAAGTTTAATCGGTTTGGTTAATTGGTTAACTAAAATAACCAAATACCATCACATTATCATTAAGTGAGAAAATTTCCAGTTAGTGCATCAATTCATAACTTATATAATGAATAACACATAACAATCAACAGAAAATTATAGTTAGCCCTTAATATAAATACATATAACGACAACAATTATCTTACATTTGACTCTTGAGTAATTATGCAAAGTATTAAGTATATCTTACATTTGACTCTTAAGTATATACTATATTAAATATATAATCAATTATTTAACTGGTTAATTTGGTTTAATCGGTTAGGAGTGTCTGAAACCAAACTAACTAAACCAAATAAATTAAAATATTTAACCAAACCAAATATCCAAATTATACAAATACTACTTATTAAAACGGTTATCATAACCGCACCGTTTGAACACCCTATGTATGTAGTGTAGCGACTCTCTTGATAATTCAAGAGTGGTTGCTGGCTTGCTGCGGTGGATCCAACTAATATATTCCCTGCTTTCTGTTTCAGTTATCTATTCGAACTCTGCTCCTTCCCCGGCGAGATATAAAAGTTCCGCACTTTTCCCGGGTTCCACATCTCGCTCTGTCTCTCTCGTCTTTTCCCCTCTGTTTGGTAGCTGAGAATCAGAAACCACGCTTTGAATCGGGGTGGGAGAAAAGGGGAAAGCAAACAGCTTTTCCCCCCCTTCCGCTCATCTCTTTGCACTCTGTTCGTTGTTCCTTTCTTTCTCCGAGAATCTGGAAATTTCGGATCTTTGCCCGGTTTCCACTTCTGGGTGGTGGGTCTCTATTGAAAACGGCAAAGAAAAGCAAACAACTTTAGCCCACCTGGGTATCTCTCTCCGTCTGATTCTGCCGGCATCTGGAATAAATTAGCTGTTATCCACATATGGAATGGACGGTAGATCAAGCTACTTGACGCTGGGCGAGAAGCTCTGCTCCGTTCTTTTCCCTCTGATAGGAATCTGCGAGGCTGTGATTTTGGGGTTCGTCGGTTGCTGCGGCGATCTCCGCCGGCAGCCTGATCGGAAGTTCGATTACTCCCTCACCGACTTCGTCGAAATCTCAAGAAACTCCCCATGTACTGTTCCAAAATTGAGTAAATTTGCTCTTCAGATCGAATCGAATTTTGGTGGGCTCTGTTTGATTTTATCTTTGTTTTCCCCCTCTTTTTTGCAGTTACCGTCAATGAAGTGGAGGCTTTGTTCGAATTGTTCAAGAAAGTCAGCTGTTCTATCATCGATGATGGGCTTATCCACAAGGTAAAGATCTCAATTTTTTTTTATGGGCATCTCAACTTTTGTCTCAAGCTTGATGGGTAGCATTGGTTAGAGATTTTAAGGCGTGAATGAATCCAATTTTAGGGGTTAATTTGCAAGTAAATGTTTCTACTGGGAATGTGGGAATTGTCTCTTGATTTGTAGGAATTGTAAGTAAATGTGCTGTTGTGGAATGTGACTATATCAGAGATTATGTCCTGTGGGTTTCTTCTATAGAGTCCTACTGTGCTCTATGTTAGGAGCTAAATTTGGTTTTGATTGAAAGGCTTGAACTTTGAATGGGTATTCATTTAGTATGTTAGGTAATCATTGTGAATACCCCAACATGAACTCAAATTGATCTTTGGCTTTTTATCTTTTGTCCCCACAATTCTGAAGGAAGAGCTCCAATTAGCACTACTGAAAACTCCAGCAGGCAAAAATCTCTTTCTCGATCGGGTACGTATACATGTATGCGTATGTTTGTGATTGTCTAATGATCTAATGCCCAAAGTAGCAGCAGGAAATGACGTCTTTTTTCGGCAGCCAGGTGTTCGATCTTTTTGACGAGAAGAGAAATGGTGTGATCGACTTTGAGGAATTCATTCATGCGATCAGTGTGTTCCATCCTGGTGCTTCTGTGGAAGAAAAGATTAATTGTGAGCTCTGTTTACAGTGACTTCAATTTACATGATGGTACTTTCTTGTGTCTAACCACATTGGCCGGTATAATGCAGTTGCTTTCAGATTATACGATTTGAGACAAACTGGATTCATCGAGAGAGAAGAAGTGAGTTTCTCTTAACACGTTCTAAGTTTACTTGTCAATTCCTTTCTGAAAGATCAGTGTCGAAGAATGACGATTCATGGTGGTACTCTTCTTCTGGTCTCTTGGCTTCAGGTCAGGCAAATGCTGAATGCTTTCCTTTTGGAGTCTGAAGTGCATGTCTCCGAGGCCATTCTCGAGGCTATCATTGATAAGGTAAGTTTTACATATATATACCTAGATAACCCTGTTCAGACATTTATCATCCAATTGCCCATCCGTCGCATGATAATATGATCTGGTATCAGACATTTGAGGATGCTGATGCTGATATGGATGGGAAGATCAACAAGACGGAGTGGAAAGAATTCGTCCTCAAGAATCCAGCGCTCCTCAAAAACATGACTCTTCCTTACTTGAGGTACCCAGCACTTCTGTTTTGTTCGATGCCTCATGTCACTATTTCTGTCAAAAGCCTAACCTATTTACTCTACTACTGTTTGCAGAGAGATCACAACTGTGTTCCCAAGTTTTATCTTCAACACGCAAGTTGATGACTGAAGAATCTAGCTACTGTCCATGAAGAAGCTAGCTACTACCCGCGTGGAGCTTGGTAACAAGCTGTTCCGATCCACCATTGAAGAGCACTAGAGCAGCTGAGGAGCAAAGAGACAGAAGGATGAGGCGCTGCTTTAATTGGGCGGGGCAGAGCTGGGGACTGATTTGGTCCATCTGTGCATCCATTGTTTGATTACATCTTATTCTCCCCCAATTCTATTCATTGATGAATTCTTGCATGTCGCATGTAATGCAAAGTGTATCTCCTCCTGCTTCACATTTTTGTTTATAATGATGAATCAAGCAACACGATGATAGGTTTACAATTGTATTCATTATTGTTTCCACCTCTATTAGGCTCTCATATAAAATGATGGGCAAGTAACCATCATAACCGGTGAGCTAAGAATAGGTTCACAGTCCACACTGAATCGACCCAGACCGAAACTATACTTGAATCAGTCTAACGTATGACGAGATTTGGCCAAGTCTAACGATACTTGAGACAGTTTAGTCCATCAAAAAACAAAGAAAGAAATGGATTCGGTTACGTGGGATTGAATTCATTTTAGATCCATGCTTTGATCTGTTTTCTTCATTTTCTGACTCAAGTCCGATATAGCTTGATCTGGTTCCTGACTGGAATGGAGCAGACAGCACCTCGGCAAATAATATCTTGTTCAGTAGAGGCGGCAAACAGAGTCGTCTCGGCCAATGATGGTGTGTGTCTTCTCCCCGCTTAAGAAATGGAAACCTCAAGACTTCTTTGCTAGCTATCCAGAATCGGTAAACGAACTTCTACGGGGAGACACAGACCGGTAAGACATAGAAGAGGTGAGTTTCCGGGCACGGAAGGGTAGTTCCAACTTCCAAGTTTCGCTCCGACCATTCCTGGGATTGATCAATTAGAAAGCAAGCGAGCTAATCTCATTACACCTGCCCTTACGAACAAGGCCAGCGTTTTCTTCTTCCTTATGATAGAGCGACTAACCGCCTCCCCTCCCCTTTGGAAGCTTACCTCATTCCATCTGACCTTTTGTGCTTCCCACTTCACTGTGATATCATAACGGCAGCTGACATAGCATTGGTGAAGCAACACCGAACAGATACAGTGAAACTTGGGAAATCTTCTCTGTCGGCGATGGGATATTCTCATCTGCAGAATGATCAAGTAACATGATTAGTTGCGATCCCGAAACTAATAATGAAGGGGGAAAACAAAACATTTATTCGTCTATGTAAAGCAAAAATAAAAAAAGCATCTGGGCAATGATCAATTTTAGCAGAGCTGTGATAGCAGTTTCAACAACTGGTAGTGGATAAAATATGGAGACGAACAGGCATGCAGCTACAAACAAACAAGAGTGCACTTCATTAGCACTATATACAGCTTCCCATAATCACCATTTCTGCCTTCATAACCATTCCAAGGTTGGTCATCCTCGACCAAGAAAGCCTTTAAGAAGGCCTATCCAACACAATTGTGGAAGTCCTACCTACCAACTCTTTCAACCCAATTAGATCTGGAAATGTCTAACAAACCTACATCCTCCTCATGGAAATCCTCTAGCAATTAGTACCATATAGAAATACTGCCGGTTTCCTCCTTTTTCCCAATCAAGCAGGCAACTTTCAGCTTCTGAACCGAGTACCAGTTTTTTTCCAGAAGATTATTCATCTTGAGATGAATGAGGATAAAACTACATTCCAAAACTCTAAGTAAATAAGTATCAAGTCAAAGACTGGATCGTAACATTAACTCCCCGTCCTCCAATCTAGAGTTAACTAAACATCCAATCCATGGTCGGAAACCCTTTGCAACCATATAATATATATCTATCTAACTATTCAAATGCCTGTCTGCAACTAAAGCAAGTGGTCATATCCAGCAACTTAACTGTCTATTGACTACAACCTTCAGTACTAAGCTCGATGCCTTGTCATCATCTATAGAGAGTAAAAAGGGTATGGAGACAAGATGCAATGCACCTCAAATGGGGAACTCACTAATCCTTCAGATCAACTTCAAGCTAGTTTACTATAGCTATCACATGTTAAACATGTGGAGAAACTACAGATCGATTCTGATAACTACTCGAAGAATGTACTTCTACCAACTCCATATTGATCATTTACCACTCAGGAGCAACGTAAATCTGGCAGTCAAGTACATAGCATCACAATCCTAAGTGTATTACCAAAATGAGAAGTTACCTCAACATACCGGGCCATCTTTACATGAATGACTTAAAAACATCCCATTTCAAGCTTAGCGAAGACAATAGTCATACATGTGTAAACTCTTAGAGGCCAACTACCCAACATCTCATATTTAGAAGCCTAAGCATAGGCCAACTCCAGAACGTGAGATAAAGGAGGAACACCTATCACCTCAAGATCAGCCTAACTTCTAATTGAAATAAACACTAACATCAGAAGGTCATAATGCTAGCTTCAAGGAAGTAAAAGGGCCACATCCATTTAACCAGTGTACAGACAAATACCTGCCTATGTAGTGTTAGTCGTGCAGCTTCCCTTCCCATTGCATGCTCATTGGCCTTCGGAAATTGTAGGTGGGTCAATTTGACAGCATGAAGTGTCTTCTATGTGGCTATGCGACCAGGATGTTTAATGGGTTCACTGAGCAAACCGAATGAGGAACAAAGGGTCGTAGACCACCATGGCAACGTATGCAGAAGGTGCAAACTTTGGTCCAAGAGGATATTGTAAAATTCCTAATTATGGCTGAACCTTCTACCATATCCTCCAGTTTGTAGGACATTTTCCATGTCCATAAACCACTAGTGGGTTTGCTTACTCACAAAAGTCAATCATAGAGGCTAGTTAGGATCTGCTCATTTTTTGTGTTCGTTGAGTCACCTCCAAGGCTCCACCACTTGATGCACTAGAACTGGCTCAAATATATTCCAAAAGCCTAAGTTAAAAGGAAGGCTATAGAATACGTTAAAAGTCAGCTCCTTTACATCCCGAGACCTAAGATACCTTAAACTAGGGACAGGGCATCTAAGTCTATAAATCGAGTAGGTAACAAAATCTCGTTGACCTTAATTCCCACTTTGGAACATACAAGTGGTCACTTACATCAGAGATGTGAGCACCAATAGCTGCAATCTATGGTGTCACATGGAATGCAGGAGCTGATGTAGCTCCAGCATTTCCCTCCCTTGACTTACCTTCGTTCAGGAGCATTTGAATTCGGACTAACGCACTACAATGGGTTCTAGAAGCTAAAGGAATGGTCATATTCATCTAGTTTAGTTCAACTAAACCAAAATGAACATCCCCAGATCCCTCACCGCCAAACTGATCCAATCTTGTAAGTTCAACTCCAGTTTGGGAATTCTCCCACACTGACTTTGAGCATCGTACATAAAAAATAAAGTTGAAACTGATTTTAATGATGTAAGGTCATCTAGTTTCTGAACCTTGATTTTCTCCTTAGTCCCATCTTCTAACTTACATCCTATACTAAATTATTGCCATTCACATATCAAAGGGCCATGAATCCACAACCTTATAGCTATTAGCTTCTAGAAGAACTGATATGCATGCCAATACTTAGTGGAAACAGAGATAATAAATTATAGAAGACTAAGCCTTAGCAGAGATAGGTACAAACTTCCACTTTACCATGATATTATTAGGATATAAAGTGCAAAATGGTACGATCACTGAAGCAAAGTAACAGTTCGAGTAATGCATAAACCAGTTGATAGTGGCAGACAACGTATTTAGATAAAATACCACTGGTAAACAACCGGCAGCCTCACTAACAATAGCCAGAGAAGGTGTTCCTGGTCTTTCAGAGAATTAAATCGCAACCATCTTAGCGTCGGGGCCGCTTCTCCCGTGAAGCTTGGCCGGTTCCATACATAGGGCCTTTGTCAGTAGCAATAGCATCCTTTAACCAATAACACGAGACATAAATAAATACAGCAAAAAGTTATCAAGCACTATACTGCAGAAGCAATGAGAAAAGCAAAGGTGAGGAAATAGATACGCCATACCATATGAGCTGCATATCCTTGTCCATAAGAAGCAGGTAGGGAGCCCTCTGGGTTTCCGTAATTCATTCCATAAGGTCCACCTTACATCAAGAGAATTGAAGACCAAAAAAGGAGGATGAGAACCTAGTTTCCCCCCTACATTGATGAACTAATTCAAATAAAGAACAAATTTCCATTAAGCTACATTTTAAGGGTATACCAGAACCCCACGAGCGTGGATCAGCAGTGGCACGCTCCGCACGGAGCTTCTCAACTTCCCGTGCCATAGAAATCATATTCTTCTCCAATCCTTGTCGCTGCTCCATCAACTCGATATTCGCCTGCTTCTCATAATCAATAGCAGCTCTGCACACACACAAAAATTCGTACATTAAAGCTATTCATGCTGCTACAAATTGAAGAACAGCAATTGAACAAGAGACAGAAACATCCCAAAACACAAACCTTGCACGCATAAGCTCCTTATGCAACCCGTCAATCTCATTCCTGAAATTCGGAATCTGCTGATTCTCAGATTTCACTCTCGTAAGGTCCTGCTTCAGAGTCTGAACTTGGCTGGCAAGTTCCTGCTTTGCGCTATTAAGTTTCTTCACTTCCGCACGCAGCTGAACAGCTTCAGCCTTGAAAGGCTCAGTGGCCCGAAGATCAGCTTCCAGCTTCATCTCTTTCTCAATAAGCTCCCTGGACCGCATCTCCTGGTCGCTGCGAATCTCACTAATAACAATACTCATACGATGAAGCTCCTCCTTGGCCGCACCAAGCTCCTGCTGCAGAGCTATTCTGTCTTCAACCAGCCTTCGATTGTCGCCCAACAGCCTTCGCATCTCAACATGCTGCATTTCGAGCTCCTCCTCCAGCAAAGCAGGGTGAGGAGGCGGAGGACGATGATGATGCGGTGGGCCACGCATGAAATGCCTCTCCGGCGGTGGAAACCCACGCCGATCGCCGTATGCTTCACGAGGGATGCGGTTTCTCCCAGCCATTTATTTACTTGTACAAACAAAAAACCGTTGCCCAATTAGAGTCGTTCAATTCAAGTCAAGCCCATCTAAGGAAGCAAAATTCTTTCAAACAATAGAATCGGGAAATTCAACAAATGAGAATTACCCGACTTTCCTGAAACGAAATGCAAGATAGCTTTAACTGGAAACGGAAATTGAATTAGCAGAGAGACTTACCGGAGGGGATTACACGATGGATTTGGAACAGAGATGAAGCTGTTTACGAATAGGAATCCGGCGTGCAGGATTGTCGGCGTGGAGAGGAATTTCGGCCGATCGCTTAATTTCGCGGCGAGGAAAACTGGAGCTGGAAGAGGAAAATAAGAAACTGATACTTCGCTTTATTCAGTCAGCTGCCAGTTTTCTTTTCTCCCGTGTCTGTTTCTGAATTTCTTTTTAAATGAAATTTGAACAAAGTTACGCCTTGGTCCCTAAAGTTTACTGAATTTATGTGTGATCCTCATGAAGCTTTAATTATATAATTTTTTTTCTTTCTAAATTATCCTTGCGGATAAGATGAGTTAAGGGCGGCGTATCACAAGAGAAGATACCTCCACCGACTTAAAGACCAAGAAGATACATAAAATCGTAAAGACCAGAGTGAAGTCCAGGATAGCGTAGGACATTCCGTGCCACAAAATGGGCAGCCTGATTCGCTACTCAAGTAGTGTAGGCGAAATGAACTAATGGTAGAAGACATAAAGACTATGAACCTCTCTAAGAATTGATCCCCCGAGCATCAAACATCGTACGAGGAACCAATTGATGGACAACATGTTGTGCGTTAGTCGTAATCAGGACCGATCGAGTATTCCACCCTCATTGGAGAAGAAGATCTAAAGCCTCACTGACCGCCAACATCTCAACCAAGTAGGAGTTGGTAATTGATGGTAATGACCTCCCAAAAGCAAAGATTGAAGAAGATTCGTGGAAGCCCAAAATACCAACAGACCCATATGAAGTTTCCAAGATGGCCCCTTCCATTGCAATACGAAGGTGATATGAAAGCTGGGCAGGGAGCCGAGTATGAAGCGAAGGTAGAGACCGTGGAGATGGAGCAGAGATAGCAGCAGGCTGAATGACAGTTTGGTGATCAGCAAGGTGGGGCATGTATTGGCGAAGTAGACTAGCCATGGTGAATTGCGCATGACCGGATTCATTCAAGTTAACTAGTTTTATACTCGTCGAATGTCGTATGAGTTTTACTTATAAATTTTATATCTGGTCATAAAACTTGTTAACTTGGATTGAATCATCAATCATGCTAAGTGATTTAACAGGTCGAATGGTTCGATGATGATCAACTCTATTATCACAATTATTTCTCATTAAAATATAGGGTAAAAATAATTTAATAGCCAAACCTTTCACCCGAAAACAAAATAATAGCCAAACCTATTCGAAAACATTTTATTAGCCAAATTGTCAACTCTCCGTCTGGTCAGCCGTCAGTTGACTCCGACGTGGAAAGAAACCGTACATGTGGCACATTTTTTCTGTTGTGGCACCTAATTAAAATTAATGGGAAAATGAAATAAGAAAAGGGAAAAATCAACACATTATCTAATCACTCTCTCTCTCTCTCTTCATTCTCTTCCACCAATTCTCCCCGTTCGAATTCCTCCCTCAAAGAAGAAGCCCTCTCCTCCTCCGGCCAAACCAAACCCATCGCCCACACTGAACCAAAATCAACGGCGCCGGCTTCGTCCCTCGTCATGTGAAAGCCGGAAAAAGCTAGCGTCGCTCCCGGTCGGGGCTTTTGGCGAAGGAAACGTCGGAGCGCTGGCGAAGAGACAGACGAAGCGCTGGCGAGGAGACGACGGAGCGCTGAAGGAGACGACAGATTTTTTCCCCTCATATTCCTTTTTTCACCGCAATCACTTCCCTCCTCTCGTGGTGCCATCTCCTTCTCCTCCTCATCAAATAAATCTGGTTAATCTAGAACAAAGGCAAGCGAATCGTCAAGCGCTCTTAGCTATTCTGGTCGGAAGGAGAGGGATGGGTACGGCGACGAGGGGAAGAAGGTAAGTAGTTGTTATGGTCAGAAACAGGGGACGAGGGGAGAGCAACCGTCACTACGAGCAGAGAGGGTGAATGAGAGCAGCGGTGGTCTTGGCGTAGATGATTATCCTGCGATTGAAGATCTGGAGTTGGGTCGGATGGTGGCTAGATCTGGGGTTAAAGAATCGACGAAACCACAGCGGCGGTGATGGCGGGTGTTTGAACGATGGCAAAAGAGACGAGCGAGGTCATGAAGCAGGTTGAGAGGGCGGCGCGGCCACACCGGGACAGACGCAGTGCACCTAGACGGTGAAAGCAGATGCTTCGCACAGCCGACGCCGTCGATTATGGAAGAACAGGCGGTTACCCTAGGTCTGCTATGTTTTCTTCTTTAGGTTTGTTTTTGTCAAAAATGGAAAATTAGGTCACTTTAATCGACCCTGTGTATCATTATGTTAGTATAATCCCCATCAAAGTAAGGTGGCCACTGATCGTTCACCTTATTCCCAGTAACCAAATAGAAAACCCAGAATAAGGAAACCAGAAGCTTGATAACAGAGAGAAGGAGATTTGATTAGAGAAAGGACACTCAAAAGTCTTCCTTTTTATCATTATTTATCTAGATATATGTAAAAGTTAAATTAAAAAAATTATATAATATCTATGTGGCATGGTCAAACATTTGACTTCTTGCCACATCATAAAAAATCTTCCATCTCACTTAATATTTTGCCACGTCATAGTCAACTAACAGTTGACCGGACGGAAAGTTAACGGTTTGGCTATTAATTTGTTTTTGAAAAGGTTTGGATATTATTTTGTTTAGAATAAAAGGTTTGGCTATTAAATTGTATTTACCCTAAAATATATTATATAATTATTTAAGATCTTAATGACTAAAAAATCATTTCTCAATTTATGTTCCGTATCGTAGGGGTCGCTCTGTTTTGTAACTGTCTCTGTGCGGCTACCGGTTCTGGCTTTTCCGCCTTTGTGCGGCTGACGGTTCCCCCCTCCGTCTTGGTGGTGGGATTTCGGTTTGTGCTCTACTCCCTGAAACATCTCAATCCAGAGCTCTCTCTTTCGCAGTCTGTTTGTCTTCCATTGGTGGTATGGAATTCGATGATGCGGCCATGGCGGCGACGTTTCTCGATGTCCGCCACGGACTGCTGCTGGCACCCATTCTAGTCAATTTCTGTTGGATACCATGGGAGAATTCATCACGGCGTTGGAGATACAGTTCAAGGCCGGTGGCGGCCCACAACGGCGGCGGGGCAATCCGAGGTGCAGTTCCGTCGAGTTCCCTTCAGGCGGTTACAAATCCCGGCCGATTTCAACCGTCACGAGCTAAGCATTATTCTTTTAAATTTTCCTTAATTTTTTTGTGTTGCGGTTTTCATAATATCCCTTTTAGGCCTTTACACTTTTTTACAAGTCCCCTTATCATAACTGCACTTTTTTAATTGAATTTGCTGCTTTCTAAATTCTAGCATTTCTAAACTTCTTTTGCTTGAGAGATGCAATGGATTGGTGCTTAATCCGAAGCATTGTCTCTGTTTGTTTATGTCGTGATTCGCAAATGGTGATTCGGCGAGTAACGGAGGATGTCATAGAGCATGATCAGGGTGGAGCAATCCTTGAGGAGGTTCGGCTGCTGAAGGCTTCGTTCACGTTTATTCGATTTGTTTTCTCTCCTCGTAGAACTACAGGGATGCCCATTGTGTAGCGTAAACGGCTCTTGCATCGGTTAATCTTAGGTAACCAGTTCGCGGAGCGAGAGCGAGAGCGTGAGAGCGCCTATTCGTGAAGAACTCAAGATAGAGAGCGTGCAAAGAGCGTCATTATTATATTATTAATTATTTTTTATGGTAGTTCATACTTTTTTTGTGAAAATGATAGTTAGTACTTAATAGTTAATACAAAGAGTACTACATTAATATTTAACAAAAATATCAATTAATTGAAATAAAAATGGGAAAGTAATAAATAAACAGATTGAAGAAGAAACACAAAAGGAAAAAATTATTCACCCTACAAAATACGACAGACATGTACATATTTACCTATAATTTATCAATTTTACGTTACTCGTTCCTCAATATCCATCTTCTTCCATTATAAAAACAAAAAACAAAAAGTTGACCGTCTGCTCAACTGCCTTCCTCCACCCACCGTCGAGTACTAATTCCAACGAAGATTCTCAAAATCCTTTTTTTATGCTCTGCTAGTTCGACAGATAGATGGGCTTTCCCATATTGCTTTGTGATGATCTCGTCGCTCTTCTTATTGTCAAAGCTGTTATAGCTTTTAAGTTTAGAAGCTACCGCCGGTGGTTCCAGCTGGCTCTGCAGACAGATCCAAGGTCGCTTCTTTCCTCGGAAACAGAATTTGGATGATTTGGGAATTGGGGAACGTTACCAGGAGATAGATAAGAGAAATTATAGTGAGTGATTTCAGTTAGAGGAAATATGTAATGAATAAATCTCGTTCATCTAACAGAAAGGAGGAAGGGAGATTGACATTTACTAATGCAACGACATTGCATAAGGGGGAAATAACGGGGCTGATGAAGTTATGATATCTCTGTTCTAGTTTTAAGGAGTTAGACGGCGAGAGAAGCTTTTCCTCAACCAATTCGCAAACTCAAGAAAATAAATCGCGCTCTCTACAAAGTTTGTTCGCGAACTTTTCCCGACTTCCAAAGAATCCGCGTTTAGACGCGCTAGAGCGGGAGCGGCAACCCTATGCTGACGAATTATCTTATATGTTCAAACGCGTTGACCGTTAGTCAACACGCCAAGTCATTACCAAGTCAGCGCAGATCACTTAAAATTTTTGATTTTTTCCACCTATTACCATTTATCTGTTTTATTTTGAACAAAAGAATAAAAAAAAGAGATTCAGACCTAAGCTACCAAGATGGAAAAAATCAAAAAATTTAAGTGGTTTGGGCTGACTTGGCAATGAGGTGGCGCGTTGACCGTTAGTTTTCGCGTTTGGTCGTCCAAGATAACTGTCAAACTCAGGTTTGGCCAATTTCGTAACTTTGATGCATGGTAGAGGGCTAGAGGCCACGAAGTTATCGATCGAAAAGATTGGCTATAATGTTTGATATGTGAAAAGTTTGGTTCATAAAAATATATTAACCCTTTGTTTTATGAGGTGTAAGGCGGTTTGTATATTTGTGAAGTAGATCACAAGTCACTTAAAGTAGTCCATAAATGTTATAAAGTAAACCACAAGTTTCATGAATTAGACCACAAATTTTATAAAGTATATAAAAGTCTCATGAATCAGACCACAAGTCATGTAAAGCATACCAGAAATCACATAAAGTAGACCATAAGTTCCTTGAAACGTACCACAAGTTCTCTTAAACATACTTAAGATTTCATAAAGTAGACTACAAGTTTATTATAACAGGCCACAATTTCTTATAGCAAACCACAAGTTTATTAAAAAAAACCACAAGTTTCTTAAAGCATAACATCCCATTGAACCTATTTGTAAACTTTTAAAAGTTCAAGTATCATAACGTAAAAGAAAAATTTAGGTACTAAAATATAATTTCACATCAATATTTTTAGGACTTCTTTGTAAAAAATGACTTTTAGGCAATAAATAGTAATTTTAGGTACCAAAACTATAATTTGAACATTCAATCTCAATGAAACCAATGTAGGGAAGGAGAAAGAGAAGCCTATGGGAAAGGGAGAAAAGAATGTAGTTACTATAATGCACCTATTAAAAGTGTTAGTAGTGTGCTAACACTAAGACCATCCACAATGTGGGTGCGGAGGGAAAGGTGGGAAAAGAGGGGGAGGTTTTGGTCATAAGACCATCTACAATGTGGGAGGGAGGGAAATGTGGGAAAAGGGGAGGGTTATGTCACAATTTGGGGTGGGAAAAATGGTTAATTGGTTAATCACTTTTTTGGTAAAATCAATCTATAGTTGATTTCATCACTTTATTTTTATATAATAACCATTATTTTTACATAGTTAGTTATAATTAATTAATACAAACATTTCGATATAATTTGATTTCCCCTCTTCTTCTGCTACTCCTCTCTGCATCTCTTTTCCACCTAATCGCTCACCTTTTCCCTCATTTCCAACGATCAGAGGAAGGAATTTGTTTTTCTGGGTTTTGTAGAGGAAGGAGTTTGCTGAAATGGGTAACCTGTTTTGCATGGCGAAGAAAGATGGTGAAAGCAAAGGCAACAATGGTCCTTAGTACGTCTCATTTGCCGATTCGGATCCTCCTCTTCAGACCACCGTCGTCTGCGGCGGAGTCAGATTTAGGAGACCTGTGGCCCTTCTTGCAATACTCAATCAGCATCGCCAGGATCTTGTCATGGTCATCGTTGGGGAGAGGGATGTAGTTGTTGGGTAACGACGACGCAAATGGCCTTGGCTCAACCCCTAGTTGAATCAGGTTATGAAATGGAGTCCTTATTCCTATTTCATGGCGAACCACACCGCCATCTTCAACCCTTCCGGAGACCGAAATGCCTCAGCAGATGTCAGAGTCAGAGAATGGATTTGGGTCGGGTTTCCGGCGACCAAACTGGTTCTAAGATTGTCGTACCATGGCTACGTATGGAAGTTGGCAAATTCCGGGGATAACGCTCTGGGAGCTCCGACGAAGGGACCAAATACGGCGATCGCATGGCTTATGGGTGTTTTCTTCTACAAAGATAACTTGTTTTTTTCTTCTAGACAGAGCTTCTTCATGCAGAGGAAACCAGCGGAACGAAGGGGAGCGCTTGGGCTACAGGCTTCGATTCATCAAGCGGCGGCTAGGTGAGATGCTCCTCCGCTGAATGGAAACACATGCCTCCGACAACTCTATTGGTCTGGCAATCCCTGCAATTAATTTTTCCTCGGCGAGAAGTAAAGGGCCAATTAATGGCCCATTGGTCCGTTTCGCCTATTTGGCTTTAATACATTAGTTAGTATGTTATTTGATGTTATTAGGTCTTTAATGATCCGTTTTATGTGATTAATGAGTCACTAAAGCAATCTTTTTATGGCGCTTTATAACCTTTAATTGTTGGTTTATATCTCAAATTACGGGATAAAACGAATTCATTCTTGATTTTCAGAATTAATTTCTGGCTTTCAATGTATCTTTGGCACAAACTCCTCTCCTCGGCCGTAACGCTTTTCTGAAATTAACCTTCCAATTGTGAAGAGAACTTTAGGCCTGAGATTCGGGAAGTAACCCCAAAAGCAGAGAGGGAACCGGTATCACTATGGAACTCCATGTGCTGGCTGTCATCGTGCAACCAGGGTGGCCGTCGTGAAGTTGTGGACTTTACTGGCATTGAGCAACTTCATTGATTCCATCTTGACTGGCAATTTTAGTATATGGTGGCGACATATGTCATGATCTCTGAGATCTCCCCATTCCACATTCTCCAATACGCCTGGTTACTTTGGAGAATCTGGAAGTCTAGACATTAAGTGATTTTTGAATTCTACCAACCTCATGTCTGTTCCCTCACCAGACAATTCTACAACCAGGTCCGTCAAGTCTCCAATATTCACCCCCTGCTCCGCCCCCTCCCCCCAGATCGCTCCTCCCAACTCCTCCTCCGGGCTCTTGGGAGCCTCCACCCTACGACTATTTGAAGATCACCTTCGATGCAACTGTTCGTGACTCAGGGTGCTCATTTGTTCTTGCTATCCGTGGGTTAGACGGGCATGTGATATTGGCAGCCAGTATGCATCACCAGGGAGTAGTCTGCCCCGACCTGGCAGAGCTCCTAACTATCCGTCATGATGTACAAGAAGATTCCTTTGGAGGTCCGGTGTCGTCAGATCGTAGGCTCGTTGTCAGTTTGTACATAGTTTAGGGAGGTTTCTAGAGCCGCCAACAGTGCTGCCCATAGAGTTAGAGACTTTCAACTTTATTTGGGTGGCTTCATTAGGGTGTCGCTTGTAGGGGGTTCTTGGGTAGTTTTTTTTTTATTTCTGAGTGATATCAATAGAGGAAAATAGTTAAACTTACAATTCTACCCAGGACCCCTAAAAGACTCTAAAAAAGCCACCCCAAAAAAATCAAAAGATTTTACCTCTAAACGAGAAAACAGTGCTTTACGCGCCACTCTATGGGCAGCACTGTTGGCGGATCTAGGTACCGCCCTAAACTCTATACAAACAGACAAAGAGCTAAGGATCTGATGACACTCTCGTAACGCCGGACCACCAATCGAGTCTTCTAGGACGCCTTGACGAACTTGTTTGACGACCACTTCGGAATCACCTTCGACTATCACGCGGGTCAAGGATCTTGAGGCTACGATGGAGATAGCATCTCTAAAGGCTAGAAGCTCTGCCAGGTAAGGATTGACTATTACTTGAAGCTGCAGCCCAAACGCCAATACCACATGCCAGTCTGACCCATGGATAACAAGCCCAGACGAACACCCTGTGGCACAAACAGCAGCGTCGAAGTTGATCTTCAAAAAGTCTTCTGGCGGAGGGACCCAAGAGGTGGCAGGATGGTTTGGGAGTAGAGCTGTGGGGTGGAGGAGGAAGGAGAAGATAGGAGACTTCGAGGACCTGGTTGTAGAACTGGCTGGCTAGGGAACGGACATGAGGTTGGTAAAATTCGAATGTCACTTTATTTCTAGACTTCCAGATTCTCCAAAGTAAACAGATGCATTGGATAATGTGGAATGGGGCGCTCTCAGAGACCATGACATGTCGCCACCATAGACTAAAGTTAACAGTATGGGCGGTCTCAATAGAGTTGCTCAATCCCACTAAAATCCACAATCTAATGGCTAGGGAGCATCTGAAGAATAAATGTTCAACGCTTTCTCGATGTTTCCATCAGACAGGGCATCGGTTAAGGCAGTTTACTCTACGAGTTTGAAGGGCCGATTTCAACCATAGTCTGAAACGGTTAGAATCCTCCCGTAACTGACATTTTGGATAGTCAAATGCACATATACTCATTAAATTGATGACCATTAAAAGCTTTCTGGCGGAAGCCGTTGCTGGCCATGATGTATAATTACCGAATTGACTCAATTGCTAGCCAATCTGTTCTAGTATCGAATTGTTAGATGATTTCATTAATTAGCCCTTGGGAGCATATTTATTTGCGGGAGTCCTCTGAATACGCCTCATTATGCTGACGAAAGAATCTCTTTATTAGAGTTTTAAAACACTCTAGCTCGTCATTAAGGAGACGATTTGAAAGCACAATTAAAGCTTTTCCGGCGCTAGCCGTTTCTGGCCATAAAGCCTTGCGACCGACTTGTGAAAAAGTGGTTACTAAACCCAATAACTATTGTATTAAATGAGCATAAAGTAGGCAATTACGTGGCTAAAGCTGGTTCAAGTTTATTAAAGAAGGTAACCATAATAGCTTTGGAAAATAAAAGAGAAATCCAAATAACTGTAACGAGGACTAATAATTAATAGTCAGTAATACCATAACCATTTATTATAATTATAACTGAAAATCCAAAAATAATAAAAACCAATAACTACTTTCCCACCGTGAAAGCATCCAACAGATAAGGAATCTTTATATCCGTAACCAAACAATTAAGAAATTAGAAGAATGCTCTGGACGTAGGTTGCCAAATGCCAATGCAACAAAACCGAATTTAATCCAACGCAAGGCTTTTATCAGTTTAATTGCTTTAGGGGATTAATTAATTATTATATTAAACCCATTAATTTTCGTAACCTCCATGATAAATATCAGAGTAATACTTATCATCTTAAACGGAAGAAAAAGATGATTTAAGAAGGAGAAAAAACTCGGCTTATATATATCAGAGGTCTTATAACCGTAACAATAATTATTATTATCTCAATCAAAACACACCGTAATGATAATAATGATTATAATAAATGAATTATGAACCGGTGGGGTGGCAGGAAGCTAAAACTCCGAAAAGCTATAATCGGCACCAAACCTTAAAGCAACTTTACGGTAAGGAGGATTTTTTTTAAATATATTTTACTTAATTCCCCATCCTTATTACCGAAACTTCAATTTGTAATAACCAAGCAAACAGCAGTATTACAACAATAATTACTTTTTTCTGTAATTAATTAGCGCTGCCAACCTTCAATAACCGACCAAAATCCAGTGATCATGACTTCACTTCCTTCTGCCGTTGTAACTCAAATTTAAATGAATTAAAGGGTAGGACATCAAATCTATTAAGTAGACTTAATGGTCTATTAATTATTGTCCAAACACAAATTGGTTATTAATTGAGAAAAGGTCATTAGTGACGGCTTTCAACCATACCACGAAACGTTTAGGGTCCTCCATCCCGTAATTGACGTTTCGGATAATTAAATGTCCAGAAACTCTCATTGGATTGGGGTTCTCCGACGAGCGATGAAAATTTTCTGGCGAGGTCGCCGTTTTGGCCGCGATTTATTCATCTAGCAAGCGAACTAATCCAAACGAGTCATGGAGTCAGAGCTTACTTTGGAATTCAATCGCTGCCGGTAGGAGTCCAGGAAACAACTGAGGAATTCCAAAAATAATTTGGGCTATCCGCCCAATTTATCGTCGTCGGTGTCGATTTTATAATCGGTCGTTGGGTGTCGTGGAATGAAAATTGAAACTCCCAAAAGCACAACAGGGGATTTGAATAATAAAAACCAGAGGAATAGAAATCCTCAATTAACTGAGGTCCTTCAAAGAACACAGATATCACTCCGAAATAAATAATTCTTGTCCTCTCTTGATATCACTCCGAAATAAATAAATAAAACATTTTGATATTTTTTTTAATTTGGACATAAAAAAATTTATCACTAATTAACGTCATTAATGTAGAAATCACAATAATTTACACAAGATAGTTGTTACATTAATAATTGAACATAAACATAATTAAGAAGAAATAAAAACAAGCAAACACTAAACCCTAAAAACAAATACTAAACTGTAAAAATAATAACAAAAAAACAACAACCTGATGCGAGCCCTACCCATACCCCTTCTTCCCTTTTTCGTCTTCAACAGGTGGGTATCCCCAATTTTCCCCATTTCTCCATCTTCTCCCTTTAGAACATCAACAATGTGGGAGGGTGGGAAAGGTGGGAAAAGAGGAAAAATGGGAGGGTTTGGTCACAATGTTGGTGTGGGAAAATGGGTTAATTGGTTGAACATTTTTTTTAAATCAATTTATAGTTGATTTCAACACTTTATTTTTATATAATGATCATTATTTTTACATAATTAGTGATAATTAATGTATACAAACATTTCGATATAATTTTTTTTAATTGGACATAATATTCTCATCACTAATTAACGTCATTAATGACGAAATCACAATAATTTATACAAGAAAGTTGTTAATTGATAGTTGAACATAAACATAATTAAGAAGAAATAAAAGCAAACAAATAAATACTAAACCCTAAAAACAAACACTAAACCATTACAATAATAACAAAAATAGCAAAACAAAAAACAAACTGACGCGGCCCCCACCCCTTCCTCTTTCCCTCCCCTCACCTTTTGTCTTCTTCTGATGGGTTTTCCCACCCAAAATTTCCCCTTGCTCCACTTTTTCCATCTTTCTCACCCACATTGTGGGTTATTTCCCCACTTTTCCCCCTAAACCACACTACATTGTGGAGAGTCTTAACCCACCCACTTTGTGGGATTCTTTCTCATTTTCCCCCCTAAACTCGCCAATATTGTGGATGGTCTAATGTGAGGTGGGAAAAGTGAGTAATTGGTTTAACACTTTTTTGTTAAGACCAATCTATAGTTGATTTCGTCACTTTATTTTTATATAATGATCATTATTTCTATGTAGTTAGTGATAATTAATTAATACGAACATTTTGATATAATTTTTTTAAATTTGGACATAATCTTTTTCATCACTAATTAAATATGACGTCATCAATAACGAAATTTCAATAATAAGGGATGGTCATGACTATGACATCTCTCACAGAATGAGTGGTGCCATCAATTATTTTGCTAGCTTTAATCATATTGAGTGGTAAAATCAATTGTTCATGCAACTTTAATCAGAATGACATGTAGTATCAAGTAAAGAATGAGTTTTATTTATAGAGCTAGAAAATATGTAGTCGTTGGAAAATTTGGTCGTCAAAAAGTGGCAGTTAAAAAATGTGATCGTTGGTCGATTATGTTCGTTTTGAGGACAAAACCACTCAAACCACATAAGAAACCATTAATAAAAACTTTAAACAAATAAAAACCAAAAAACATAAGCCAGGCGCGAGCCCGACAGTGGGCCTACCCGCCTCTTCCCCCTCTACCTTTTGTTCGTATCTGGTGGGTATCCCCATTTTTTCCAATTTCTCCATCTTCTCCACTATTCCCACCCACGTTGTAGGGTTTTTTCCCCATTTTTCTCCCGAAACCCACTCACGTTGGAGGTGGTCTAAAGGGTGTTAACACCATATCTCCTCCTAGAGATGGCAAAATATTCGTAACATTGATATCCGCCTGAATCCGGTCTAATCGGGTAGGGTAAAATTCGAACCCGAAGGATATTTAGTGGGTATGGGTAAAACCCGAACCCGAATATTGCAGGTAATGGGTGGGCAAGGATTTCTCACTATCCAACCCGAAATCGCCCGATTATACACATGCACATGTATTTTGTCTAGAAATAATCATTATTTTTCTCTAACATATTTTATATTTAGGATATAAATATAATATTTTCATGAAATTGTGTTGTTTTAATTAATTTTCTTCATTCTGGTGAACTATTGTCATACTTTTCCTCTTACGTAATGTAAGAATACGTATGAATGCTAACAAATTGGTTGGAGTTATGAAGAGGAATTATTACCCATGGATAACAGTGGATATCTGAAGCCCAAACGGGTATGGGCATGATTTTGATTTTCTACCCGTTTCACATGTGGGTATGAGTATCGGTAAAATCCGAATTACTTTGGGTAGGATAAAGGATATGCACTATCCTCCCCGACCCAACGCATTGACATCCCTATCCCAACAAAATATATATATGCTATACAATATAGACAAAATTTTATATTAGTTAACTTTCATTATATTTATTTTGGTGATCCTTTTATTTAGGGATGGCAACTTTGCCCATACCCATGGGTTTCTTACTATCCAACCCAATCAGGTTGGGTATGAAATCCAAATAGATGGATATGGGTAGAGTTTGATGGGTTTGTACCCATACCCATTTACTTTGGGTTGAGTTGGGTTTATATCAAATGGATTTGTACCCATGCCCAAATACAAATTACAGTTTGGTACCCAAACATAATAGATATGCCTATTTAGTACCTAAATTTAATTTTTTTGCATATAAGTCCTCAAAATATCGATGGAAAATTACGTTTTGGTACCTAAATTTTTTTGTTCTTACATTTTGGTACCTAAACTTTTCAAGTTTTACAAATAGGTCCAATTTTTGCATATGTAGTTAAAACACCCTCAAGCAAATGGATATCCATATCCAACCCATACCCATTTAGATTATGGAAGCAATATTCATACATTACCCAAACCCATCTATAAACCCCCAAATCCATATGCACTTCACCCATACCCAACCCATTATCAATGGGTTTACTTGGGTTTGGGTATAATTAATTACCCATGAGTGGGTGATTTGCCATCCCTACTTTCATTGATGCTTTTCTCGAGTCGTCATTGGGCCTTCTCTATTTCTTTAATCTTGACGAGTTTTGGTAATTTTCAATTTTGAAGATATTTTTATGTGATAAATTTTTTAATTTAATTCATGTTTTTTTCTTTTTAATTTATTAATAAATTCATTTAACTATTTCGTTTTTATATTGCCTTTATTAAATTTTTAGTTAGTCGAGACTCTCTTGTTCATGAAGCTTATCCGCGAATACTATCTTTGAGCAAGAATTGATTGAAACATTAGCGTGGGCTCATGAACTTTTTTTTTACCTTTTCAGAAGAAAGAAAAAACGGGTTCGTCAAAAACTTTAGAACAAGTTATTTGCAAAGACACGTTACTGTTCATCTAGACACAATTTACTGTTCATTTAGACTCAAAATTACTGTTCACCCTCTCCTGATTGGTCCACCTTTGCGGCCGCATTTTCTTATTGGCTGCTCAGTTGTGGGTGGGCCGGTTTTTTATTTGTTTTCTATTGCTCCTTTGTGTGCCGCGTTGCCCTCAAATGGACGCTTATTTTCCCTGCATTTTCTGCTTCTTTCTATCGTTTCCCCTGAGGCCGCCCCATATAATTATTACACGCACTGCTTTGCTTTCTTCTCTTGCACGTGGGCTTTGTTTCTTGTCTTCCTGGATTTCGGCCAATGATGGGCGTAACATTTTATATACGGCGATTTGCATTTGGGCCTGGGGGGAGTGGTTCTCTTTGTAACCTGATATCTGACAACCGCCGCTTCGGCGCCTGGAACCCTTCGTTGCTTTTTATGGTTTCATAGGCGGTTCCTTGATTTTACGTTGTCCTTATCTTTTTGTTAATCGCAGTGTCGTTTCCCATTTTTTACGTTCTCTTCCGTCATTGGACCGGTAACTGACATGCAGTACTATCACGTCTGTTCATTCCTTCTTTCATTTTTTTTATCTTTCGTGGCGCCGGAACTTTACTCCTGTCATTCTGTTTTCTTTCTCAAAAAATTTCTTTCTCTCTCTTTGGTTTTCTTCTTTTCCCGAACCATGGAGTTTACGCTGCTTTGTAACCTCGGAGGTCCTCACAATGCCAGCGTTTCTTTGCGGCTCCGTCTGTTGCATGTGTGGCCGGCGAAGTCCCCGGGGGACATTAGAATCTACAATTACTGCACTATTTGGGTCGACGAAACAATTGAGTTTCTTTCCTTCTCGCCTTTTCTTTCCTGCCCCCGTTTGATGTGTCCTCTTTGCTTTGTTGATGCGGCAGGGTGGAGTGTTTTGCGCAGGGTATGCTGATACAAGGCGTCTCACCGACTTCGATGGCTACCGGGATTCGCCGTAATCTCTCAGTTGACAAGATATACGTCATAAAGACTTTTGCCCTGAGCAATCCGCCAAATCAGTATCGGGCCTGTTCTTTTGATTTGGCTCTAGGTCTTTCGCCTTCGGCTTCTTTTCAGCCCTGTGTTTTGCCTGCTGAAAGTTTCCCACTTGATGCTTACGAGTTTGTGGCTTTCTCTCAGTTGAGTTTGCATGCCGGTAACCATCGTTATTTGACAGGTTAGTGGGTTTGTTTTTGTTGGATTTGCTTTGTTTATATATCTGCTGTTTGTTTACTAAAATTTTATCTTTGTACTGTTTTTGTAGATGTCGTTGGCCGACTCAGTTCGATCAGCGGGATATCGCACAAGATCACAAATAACGGTCCTACAGTCAAGCAGACGGTCATAGTTGAGGATGAAAGGTGTTTTGCGTTTTCCTGTGTTTATTGGTTCGGTTGTGAGTGTTGTGTTTGTTCTTTGTTTCTCTTAAGTGTCCTTCTTTTTTTCCACAGCGGATCGAAAGTTTCGATTACGCTCTGGGATGAGTTTTCTGCGGTGTTGGATCACGTTGCTTTGACTCAGGCTGACTCTATTGAAGCTCTGATTTTGGCATTTGGCGGCTTGTTGGTCAATAAGCTGGGAGGTATGTTGTTGCTTCCTTATTGCATGCATGGTTTCGTTAGATTGAGTGTGGTCCATTAGTATGTGGTCTATTAGTATGTTATAGTTTTTGCCGTCTTTTATTCTACTTTTCAGATGATTATGTTCTGTCGAGTTCTGCCGCTACTCGCATATCAGTCAATCCTCCTGTACCGAAGGCTTATTTTCTTGCGTCTAGGTAAGTTAGTTATGGGTTGTTGCCGATTTCCCATGCGCTGCTGATGTATTCCGGATTTTGTAAAGGCCCCTATGTTGTCTAAGTTATGGTGCTTGGATCTCTATTAGGTTTGCTGAGAAACACGAGGTTGTTGAATCCTTGCCGGTTGAGTTTGCTACTGCCGCTGATGCTACAGTTGATGCCGATCGTCGAACCAGGACTTTGAGTCAGTTGCTGGCGTTATCCAGAACAAATGCCTCAGTGGTATTGCGTGTTCGTGTAAAAGTTTATCGCTATCATTTTCCCCATGTTTGGACGTAAGTTGCTCCCTTTTTGTTTGTTAGGAAGAGAAGTATCGCTGTGGTGGAGTGATTGTTGATGTTGAGTCAAGCACACCTTGGTATTATATTTCATGCAAGTTATGTTCGAGGGCTGTTTCGAAGCGTCGTGATGATACATTTTGGTGTCCAAAGGATTGGCAGTTGGATGAGGAACAAACTCGCGTCAAGTATGACCATGTGTCATTTTTTGTATGTTTGTTGCCTGTTGTGGGTTTTGTCGCTAATCTTCTTTTTCCCTCAGCTACAAGCTCCAGCTTACACTGAGGGATGACTCCTGTGAGGCGCGTTTTATACTGATGGTGGGGGGGGGGGGGGGTGCGCTTACGCTGGTGAACGTTTCTGCCACACATTTGGCCCAAAGGTTCCCCCATCGTCCTGGTCAGCTTCCCCCACAACTGCATCAGTTACGAGGGCAGTATATCAAGTTTGATTGTAGGTTGCCGTTGCCGGGCCCAACCGGTTTCTCCTCGGGAGAATTCCGTGTGACTCAGGTTGTTCCTCTTGATGATCCTACTGTGGTGGGTGATCTTCTTGAGTTTTCTTCTGCCCCTCCGTTGGCTGCTCCTATGATGCGTGCATCGAGTGTCGAGGGTGGCCCTCTAGTTCATCGAGGTCAGTGTTTGGTGCTTTGGTTTCTTTGTGTTTTGCTTTGGTCTGTGTATTATGTCTAAAGTGAAATATTTGTGGTGTGTTCTCAAGGACCTCGAAGGGAAAGGAGAAGGTTTCTGATTCTCTTCTCATTGAAACTCCGGCTATGCCGTTTAGCATCACTGATGAACCATACCTGATTGCCAGTTATTGTCGTTGTTCCCGGAGTTTATTTTGCTAATTTGCGATGTTGTTCGAGGATGACATCTGAATCAGTTACTATAATTCGCAGATTTCCCAGTTATGAGGCCAGGGATTTCCGAAACCCTATTTATACAAATGTCAGAAATGAAGACATCGATACTGAGTCACGGGTTCTTGGAGCTTCTCAGGTTTCAGCGATGGGTGTACAGTTGGGCTCTATTCGAGCTGTTGCACCTGCTGCGATGTCCTCTGTTGTTCATTCTTATGTACCGTCTGTCCAATCTGCTACTTTAATGATCCCCAGACGATCAGCAAGAATCGAAGAGTCTATGAGCCCCGAGGATGTTGGTCGCGGCTCATCTATGCCAGCTGCAAAAGTTTTAAAGCCATCCCCAGAGTCATCTCCTGGGATGACTTTAGGTTCAACCGTCGTGTCAGCATCGGCATCGCCGTGAGTATTTATGTTTTACATTGTTAGTTTTTTACTAATATATGTTTGTGTTATTGCTCCCGTTCTTAGAACGAAACACTCTATTTGTTTGAAGGTTGATTTCTCCACTGTCCAAGATCAAGGTGGAGAAATTGGATGCTGCCGAAGGTGCTCAGGCGCAACATGGTGGTTCCTCACAGGCAGGTGTTGATATGGAAAGAGATGCTTCGATGGATAGTCAGAAAAAAACGTCGGCAAAGCGTGGTTTGCTCAAGAAGTGATCATGGTTTCAAGGGTACTCCTAGCTTTGTTGTTTAAACCTATACTCTCAGAACGTTTGTGTTGTGATTTAGTTTTTGTGCGTGTCGTGGTTCTTATTATTCCATGTTGTTTGCTGCAGGAACTAAAGATGTGTTTGATGGTGACTCTGGGACTGTAGTTGTTTTATGTTCGGGGAGATATTGTGTTTCGTTATGCTTTTCCAAATTATTCTCTTTTTTTGGACTACCGTGTTTTGGGAATTGTGATCTCGAAATCGTACTGTTGGCACCTATGTGGATGTTATCAGAGGATGTACGTTCTCTATGCTTTTCGTTTATGTATCCGTCTATGTTTTGTCGGATAGTAGTTCTTTTGGCGGTATTGAGATGGTGAAGGTTGCTATATGTGACTTTTGCGTCGTACCTTATTGTAATATTGTAGCTGTGTTTTCTTTCCATGTGAGATGTTATATGTAGTATGATTTCTACTTATCGTTGCTTAAATGGGTTATTTCGTTTTGCGGGTACAATGTATGTCCATTCTTAGCGTAGTCATGCTCCTTTTTTGCTAGATGTTCGCTGATTCTTCCGCTTAAAGTCTAACAAGTTCACGTTTTATACAGGAATTAACCTGTTCTCTGATTTAGTTATCAAGATGTGTTAAAACATGTTTGACATTTTGTGGAATTGATGGTCCTCAAAAGACACGTTAGAACATATATGTGCAATTGGAATAGGAATGTGTTAATTATGTTGGATACCAATATTTATGGATTCCAACTGAGGCCACATGTTCCGAAATGGAAAATAGCTCTAGCAATTTCATCCGTCATCGCTTTTGTCTCCGTAATTAGGCCTATTTCTATACAAAGATTAAACTAATATGATTGTCTTTCCTCATTTTATTAATTTAGCATAAAGTTAGATATTTTGGGAGTGGTAAAGCAATATACTAATGCATATCTAATATCATGGATACCCATAATAACACATTTTAATATGGATGGATATGATTGCATATCTCAAATATCTATGATGATGCATTCTAAGGGAGGTCTTCTTTTTCATTGGGGTTGTGTCAGCTTCTGTGACAACTTCTCCCATCCCACTCTCATATCTCGCTTAAGACTTGTCATTTGTATCTTGTGCTTGTCAGCCGATTTGGACAGTCATCTATACAACCACCACGCTTTTGATTGTTCAAGGTAGAGTGAATCTTCAGCTATGTCCGTTGTTGATTCATTACATCCAAATTCATCTCAGCTTTATTAGTGAAGCTTTCTAGCGATGCATGACGTTGTTCTTTTGTATGCTTTTGTCTAGACTCTGTGGCAATGCCTCCAAGAACAAGAAAAGCTCAATATCAGACTTTAACACATAAAAGAGCTAGAATTGAAATTCCCAAACAGCCAGCAGAGAATCTTTCAACAACGTCAGCAGTGTTCGGGGAAACATCTGCTGTCTCAGAGCACCATGCGGGGGTCATTATTGAATCTTCATCAAGTTTCGCAATTGCCACCTGGTGATGTGGTTACACATTATTCTACGCCTACTGTCCAAAGCATGAAACATCAATGCCTGTTTTATGTGTAACTAGCATTTGTTCATATCGGCCGCTGACTGTAGTAAGCTTACCACTCTTATGTTCGTTGTATACATATCAGGTCCATCACGGCCGAGGAAAACGCGCTATCAGAACATGAAGCAATTGGTATCCAGAGATATAACTCGACCCATATTTTATCAGGAACAGAGTATGTGGATATGGGGGATGAATGTAACGAAGGCATCGATCGAGTAACATGATCTAGCCGTCAGAAAACTGGTTGTTTGAATCGGCGGAATTTAAGCGAACCTCCATTCCGTGATAGGCATATTCCCACAGCTAGAAAGCCACTCCACAATGATATTCTGAGGATTGGTCAGCCATAGTGTGTTTGTAAGTACTATGTTGCTTTGTTTTGGGATATGGAAAGGCTTGATCGCCATCGAGCAACAACTAATCCAATTTATGCATTATGCTGTCAGAAAGGCCGCGTTGGTTTGCCGCTCTTAGCACAACCTCCACATTTGTTGGCTGAACTTCTGCGATTTGATGGTGGTGCTATGTCTAAGCATTTCAGGGACAACATTAGACCGTATAATGGCTCATTGTGCTTCACATCATTTGGCGTTCTATTGACCCTCGCTCTCTCTCTCTGGAAGGGGGCCTTATTCAATGGTAATATGTGGAGAGAATTATCATAGGATTGGTTCGCTGTTGCCTCCTGATGGTGAAAAACCAAAGTTTGCCCAGCTCTATATTTTTGAACCAGAGAATGAAATTGACAACCGCTTGGCAAATTATGCTTCTCGGGATGCTCTGCTTATGCCAGAATTGCCCACTTTATTACTACAAATGTTGGATGAAAACAATCAACTTGTCAAGACATTCAGGCGAGTTCGACAGCAATTACAGGATTCTACAACGACAAATTTGAAACTTCGGATTTTCGGAGCTAAGAGCAGAAATCGACAATACGACTTGCCAAGGAGTGCTGAAATCGCAGCACTCATACCAGGCAATTTTATTCCAGACAGGGACGATCGAGATATCATTGTTGATCATATTTATGAAGGCTTAAAGAGAATTACAAGTCTCAATCCCAAGTTTGATGCATTGCATTTCCCACTCTTATTCCCATATGGAGAGGATGGTTATCATCTGCTTATCAAATACAGGTCAGCTTTCTGTCCTCCTTCTATGCGCAGACAATTTGTTACTCAGTGTGAATACTACACATTTAGGCTCCAATATCGCATCAATGAAGGCCATACAATTGTTCAAGCAGGAAAAGCTCTTCAGCACTTTTGTATCGATGCCTATTCATCAATAGAGTTAAATAGGCTCGCATTTCTGCGCTGTCATCAGCCACATCTTAGAGCTGAAGTTTACCAAGGCTTACAGGATGCAATGGCGCGGGGTGATCTCGACGGGGATAAAGTGGGTCATGTTGTCCTCCCAGGGACTTATATAGGTAGCCCACGATATATGCAATAATTATATCACGATGCAATGGCGGTGGTTGAGTTCTTTGGAAATCCGGATCTATTTATTACATTTACGTGTAATTCGCTGTGGGAAGAAATCACAGAAGCTTTTCACGATATTGTTGGTCCAAATAGCTCGGACAAACCGATGGTGGTCTCAAGGGTTTTCCACATTAAGCTCAGCATTCTGATTGATGACATTAAGAAAAACTCCTACTTTGGAAAGACGATTGCAAGTAAGATTAGCCTGGTCATTTAATGTAGTTTGTTTTTTTTCAGCGTAGACAATCATTTGTCTTTCAATGCACATATATGAATATTTGACTTCTTAACAGCTTTTGTTTTGTGGCAGTAATGTATACAGTGGAGTTCCAAAAAAAAGGTCTACCCCACATACATTTGCTGGTTTGGCTGGCCGAGGAGAACAAACTGAGGACAGCTGCTGACATTGATGAGGTTATCTCAGCTGAAATTCCTGACCCTCAACAAGATCCAGTTGGATATGAGGCTGTTTGCAAATATATGTTACATGGCCCATATGGCGAAGCAAACACGAATGCACCGTGTATGCGAGACAAAAAACGATCCTCGAACGGCATATGTTCCAAACATTACCCAAAAGAGTTTAACTCAGCCACGTCATTTGACAAATTCGGAAATGTCGTTTATAGAAGATCAAACTCGGGCACGGAGGTTCAAAAGGGCAATTCAGTCCTCAACAATCGACATGTTGTTCCATACAACCGAAATTTGTTGGTGAGAATGCAGGCTCATATCAATGTCGAGGTATGTCATAAAGGCAAGCTTATTAAATATCTTTTCAAGTATGTGACAAAAGGTCCAGACAGGTCATTGGTGATTGCTGAAAATGCTGATGCACCTCATAATAATGTAGAAGTGCAATCCGCAAAATACAGAGACGAAATTCAGCAATTCATTGACTGTCGATCGTTGTCATCTTATGAAGCTATATGGAGGCTGAATGAGTATCCAATACATGTAAGAGAGCCAGCAGTTGTGCGCTTGGGAGTTCATTTGGATGGTCAGCAAAAAATACCTTATAAGAAGCAATCCAATGTAAGAAATGTTTTGGGGAATCCTTATGCCAGTCGAACGCACTTAATAGAATGGTTTGCGCTTAATCGTAGAGACCCCGAGGTGAGAATTCTGACATATGCACAGATACCCAATAACTACACTTGGCTATCTTATTGTAAAGAGTGGAGTCCTCGCAAGAAGGGATTCGCAATAGGCAGAATTGCATATGTTCCACCAGGTTCTGGCGATGTTTTCTTCCTCCGAATGCTGCTCACAAAAATTCGCGGCGATGTTAGTTACGCTCAGCTCAGGACTGTCAATGGATAAGTTTGTGCAGATTTTGAAAAAGCTTGTGAAAAATTGGGCCTTTTATCAGACTCTTCAGAATGGATACGAGTATTAGCAGATATCTCATCTTCCAGCATGCCACGAGTGATTCGAAGCACTTTCGTGTCAATGCTGATGTTCTGTGAAATACCAAGCCCGGTAACATTGTTCAACTCTTGTTGGAAATCTATGTCTAAAGATTATGCGTACAGTTTAATAAAGGATTTCAGAGATCAGACTCTGAGGCCCAGCGACGAACGACTGCATAACTGGGTTCTACATCAACTACAGACTATGTTGAGCTCACACTCAATGACTCTTGAGAACTTTAATCTTCCACTCCCATCACATGGTTTATGCGATAGTGGTGAGAATCCACTTTATAAATGAGCATCTTGCTTTCGATGTCGATCAGCAACATACATTGGCCACCACAATGTTACAGTCACTGAACGTTGAGCAAACCAATGTGTATTCCGCTGTTATCAATTCAGTACACAACAAGATGGGCCGCGCATTCTTCTTATACGGCCACGGAGGTACAGGTAAAACATATCTCTATAATGTAATTACAGCAAGACTTAGAAGTTTGGGAAAAATAGTTGTTCTGGTTGCATCATCAGGTATCGCAGCAACACTTCTTCCCAAAGCATCCACAGCGCATTCAAGGTTCAAAATTCCTCTCATTCTAGATGCAACATCGACATGTCCAATTAAACACGGTACACATTTAGCCGATCTGCTAAAAGAAGCATCCTTAATCATATGGGATGAAGCGCCCATGACACATCGTCGAGCTTTTGAAGCAGTGGATCGCAGTTTATGCGATATATTAAATGTTCCGCTGAATGGACATCGCTATAAACCTTATGGAGAAAAGACTGTTCTTTTTTGTGGAGATTTTTTGCCAAATTCTCCCCGTTATAACCGAAGCTGGACGCAAACAAACTGTTGATAGCTCATTGACCAGATCCAAACTATGGAATTATTTTAAAGTTGTGCAGCTATCTACAAATATGCGAATCACAAAAGCCCAGCATGCTGACCAGCAATTAATACATGGATATACATTCCCAGAATGGGTCCTTGCCTTAGGAGATGGAAAACTTAAAGCAAGATCATTCAGAGAAGATGCCCCAATGGATTGGATACAGATTCCACAACTGTTCCTAATTGATCTTGGAACTGATCCTGTTCAGTCGATCGTGGATGATATCTATGATTTGTTCCCCCAAAATCATAGACACCCGGAGTACCTCACTAGTAGAGCCATAGTTACTCCAACGAATGCAACTGTTTCTACAATTAATAATTTTATGATGCAAAATGTTCCAGGATATCCGACAACCTATTACAGCTCAGACTCGCTACTGCTATCGACAGAAACAACGGATTCGTTTGAGACCACGAGATCACATTAAAGGTAAACACACCAGTTATGCTCTTACGCAACTTAAACCCTGGTCTTGGCTTATGCAACAGCACCAAAATGATGATCACATCGTTGGGCGACAACTATATAAAAGGCAACATTATGGGTGGTTCTTATAACACTGATGAGGTCATTATACCAAGAATAGTGTTGAATATGGAGAACTCCAAGTGGCCCTTCATACTCAAAAGGAGGCAGTTTCCGGTTCGACTATGCTATGCGATGACTATAAATAAAAGCCAAGGGCAAACACTTGAAAAAGTTGGGATATATTTGCCTCAACCAATGTTCAGCCACGGCCAGCTTTATGTGGGAGTTTCGAGAGTAAGATCAGCAAGAGGTTTGAGGATTCTTATAGAAAACCCACCAGAAATACCTCATGACTTTACAAGAAACATAGTCTTCCACGAAGCATTTGCCAATATAGTGAATAGCTAAACTACTTATCAGGTAATTCTATTAGACCTATTAAACAACAAATGTTTGCATCAGTAAATGTGACTGAATTAATTGTTTTTCTTTTGTAGGGTCGAAGAAATTCACTGACGTACTCATTTTGATCATTACCTAACCGCTGGTTATTCTATTTAGCACGTATGGAAGAGCCCGATTTTTTTATCTAAATAGTTCAGAGAGGTGAATGTTTTGTCTTGATCATGCGTCCAAGTAATGAATGATGAAGAACTACATTCACCTTCACTTTTGGCGATCAATTCCTCAAACACATGTCGCAATGTATATCATATAATATATGGAAGATCTGAGTTATTAGAACCGTGTTTATCTAAATGTAAGCTAAAAAAACTCAATTTTATACCAATTACCCTGTCTAGACCATAATCCACAAAACTATAGGACAATAAAGAGTAAATCAGTAAACATGCAGGCCCGCTGTTCAAGCCCATAATACGATTACCCAATATACAGCCTTCATAATCACAAACACGATTTAAATAGAAGCCCATAATACAGGCCCGTTCAAACCAAGCGATCCTCCTTAAAACCCTATCCTCCCTCATCAACCATCAACAACCGCCGTCCACATCTTCATCAACCTTTCTCCGCCGAAGAAGCCCCACCACAGAAACTACTAGACAAACATTAAAGCAAAGGTAAGTCCACGTCTCTCTCTGCTTCACCGCTTTTACTGCTGAAACAACATTTCTGGTAAGTTTTTGTATTGTTCGCACAGACACCCCACTTGGCATGGAGAGTTTAGGCAAAAACCGCCAGACAACAGATGGCGCTCACATGGTCCCCACCGATATCAAAGGTGAGAACTTCCATTTTCGTAAACAAATCCTCCCAAGAATCTTGATTCCTCTGCAAGAAAGATAAAAAATCCATTTCGTTTCCCTTTATTGTCTTATAGATCCGATTGAAACTTGCATGCCATTTCGGGGTTTGCGTTTGGGCATAAATACTCGCATAGTCATTGCTCGACCTGTGATGACGTGGCTCGAATTCCAAGAGGCACCCGGGCTTAAAAACCTCAGCATGCACATGATTTGGATAGACAAGAAGGTTCATTTACAATTAAGTTACAGAATTGCATAATTTGTTCATGAGTTCTTTTAGACCAGTGTACCATGTAGTTTGAGATCGCTAAACTGTTTATCTTATAGGCACGATTGATCGAGTCGATGGTTGATGAAAAGGACATCAGCGAGATTTCTCGCAAGATTAAAGTCGGGAACCTTTATCGGTTTGATGTGGTTGTGGCTATACCAGCAAGAGAGAATCCTAGGATTGTTGCAGAAGAGTTAAGGATACACATAACTCCCGACCAAAACATCCTCAGAATTGAAGAGGACCCAGATGAACCACGATTACCCATTGGCTGGGACATTGGGATGGCTTTTTCGATGGTACCACTTCAGACAAATACCATTGACTATCATACAGGTCACGCTTGAATATCTCAGTTTCCTATGCTAAAATATACGTAAACTTTAAAATGACAATCTCTCCCGGTGACCACAGATATCACTGCATGCGTCAGGCGTATCAGCGTTCCTACAACAGTTCGTGGTATCCTCCGAGAATTCAACCTGATCATACAGGATGTGAGGTGCGTTCTGTAGAATAATACACTACTTTATTAATTATATGAACCATCAACCTTACATATATCTGTCACAATCAGTGGCGCTAAGGCATCTGTGCTGTATCGAGGATATGACATCTCGAAGTTCTTAGAGAATGCGCCAACAGCTGAGGCTCATCTGCCCCTCATTGTTACAATCAAAGCTGCTATTCGAGTGCCGACTCTGTCCACCCAGAAATATAAGTATCGTTTTGAGTCCACTCCAGCCAGTCAGTTGATAATCAGATCTTATGCAGGCACATTCAAAGAAATAATGCACATGTACATTTCTGTCTGAACAAATGTTATTCATTCTTCGATTCATAATACTGCCAACTGACCAGAACAAAGATAACACTTTTTATTATTTTCCTACAACCAGCTTCCTCTATAGTCGCAGGCAGGTCTACTACATGGACGCCAACACCAGTAAGAAAATAGGCTGCCTTCGATCAACAGTTGAGAAGAAAACACTTGCTGACATCAAAGCTATGCTTGCATCTGATCAGAGCTGCCACAAGGTTAGTCGTGGACAAAATGCATCATAAATAGCTACACCTCGCAGTTACATTTCATAAACAAACATTGCTAACTAAGATAAACCATTCGAATTAGGTGCTTTACCGTGCCAAGTTCCACATATCACAGATGAAATTCCGAAAAAGCATCTGCAAAACAACCAAGGAATGGCCAGAGTATGTTTCCTATTTCAATGCGCATCTATTATTTACTAATTTATCCACAAAGAAACTAACAAAACTTCTCGCTTACACATATGACCAGCTTGCACTATCAGCTCGAAGTCAAGTGTGAACAAGGATCTGATGACATTGATGCCATACTGGACAATGAGGCAACTCTGTCAATAATCGGAATGTCACCAAGCAAGTATGTGAAACTCGATGCGGATGCAGCTAAGGCATTGCTGATCAAAAAATGCAGCAGAATGTTTGCAGGAGAACTGTACATCGGTTCGTCGGATCTGCAGAACAGAACCGCTCCAGCCAAACCTCACATCAGAGTTTCAACACTTTGGCACACCTCAAGAATCGACAAGTGATCATCAGCACCAATGACAGAAAGAGCCCCTGCTACGTGTTGGCTGCCTCTATTATCCTCTTTCCTTAACCAAGTTTTAATTCTCAAGGTCCAGCGAGGACAAAACAATGTTTAAATTTGATTAAGTTGTTTGGATTTGACAAGGCTGTTATGTACTATTTTTTGTTTTTGTGCCTTGAGACACTAAATCCCCAGCACAATTACGTGCACCCAACTATAATGCATCTACAATGGCAGCATCCTTGCTTTGATAACTTTGATGTGTGATGAGGACAGCTAGGTCACACAATCGAACAACCATGTGTACGCTGATAGCATATGTTGACATCTCTACATGACAAAACATGGCCGAGGCTAAACAATACCATAGAACATACTCTATCCAACAATTATCTCGATCGCTTCCAAATTACATGCATACAAATACACATCATGATCCATGAAATTACTCAACCCAAACTTATCCCGCCGCGGAGCGCGGGCTGATTATTAGTTTTATTTATATGCCCAACAATTAGGTACTTCCTTTTCCCTAAAACAGGTCAATCGGATCGACCGGCAGATCTTTCGAATTACATTAGTTAAGTTCTCTCATATAATTTTTTATGTATAGTGAAATTTGTAATAATTACTTTTCACACATCAATATCTTAGTTATGAAAATATAATGTGATACACAATACTGAAATATATTATCAACTATGTTTTTTATCTATATTGAACTTAATGTGAAAATAATAGTTTGAATCCTATTAAAAGTGATTTAATAATTTTGAATTTTTTTGTGAGGTTATAATAATATAAAAAAATTGGGTACACTTATGGTGACATACAAGGCACCGTGACTTGCATAATTCGGTCGACCTATGTGCTCATACGATTGAGCGGTTACACCATCGTGGTCATTATGTGAAAATTACGGTCGATCATTAACATATAAATGATATAATGGGCCCTTTTTAAAGTAGTCATTACCAAAATGGTTGACCACAATAGGAAGAAGGTCGACCTTTCAATTTAGTCATATACAAAATGGTGGACCGTAAAAAAAAAAGAGGTCGAGCACTTCAGGATATTCATTACCATATCTGCAATGAGGCCTACCATTTCCAGCAATAGGTCGACCTAATAAAAGAAGAGTCGTTAGCACATCAATCCATCCCTTTTTAAGTGAAACGTAGAGAAAAATGTTGATTTTGCGGTTAACCGCTTACAGTAAAAGGTCGACAACTTACCGTAAAATAAGCATGTGACCTTTGAATTTTGTGTTGATATTTTCAGATGTCTGTACTTTGTTTGGTCTAAGAAATTACAATAGAAACCAACAAATTTAATCCACAATTATAATCACTGGCAGATCCAGGAATTCTAAATAGGGGTGTCCTCTTTAAAAATTAAATTAAATAATTAAATAAAATAAATATTAAATATGAAAATATGTTACTAGTAAAATTAATATTAAAAGTTCAAACTTGTTTCGTGAAATACATACGGTGTCTATACTGCTCAACAAATATCTTTCGACATATCCTACTAGACAAGGGTATCCCGTAATTGGGTTTAGTCTTTAGGTTTTGAAAATAATTTGTGATAAGAATAAAATTTTACTATTATATTTGGATCTTAAATACAATAACAAATAAGTTGTAGTGTAATTGAAAATATGTTTACTAGTCATAGTGTCCCAAGTTTAAATCACATAGACTACTACTTAAATATTATTTGTACCAATACACAAACTATTACTGGAGGTTGGATAATCTTTTTCCCCAAAATTTAAGGGTGTCCCACTACCACTTAAATATATTTTTTGCTCATACGCAAACTACTATCGAAGGTTGAATAATCGTGTTTCCAAATTTTAGGGGTGTCCCGGGACACCCCTAAACATGCATGTATCCGCCACTGATTATACTAGCAAGAAACCATAACTTCTTAACAGGTTAATCACTAACAACAAATACAATAAAACACACCTCACAATAGTTCACACATACCTAAAATCGAAAACCACAACGACTTAATATCAATTCACGATCATAGTTGCTTTAAACCAAATCGTCTTTAAGACTTAACAATTTTCACAACAAAAAACACAATCTAAATCATGGAGTTTCTAGAGTTCTCTCCTCTCACTCATCCGCATTTTCCTCAATGGTATTGCTAGCATTATGGTAGTGAGATGTGGTGGAATGCATGTATCTTCCACTGAAAGATTGGAATTCATCTCACATCTCTGTCACACTCACCTGCAGTGTGATCATGTGGCTGGGCTTTGAGCTACGGTATTGTATATTGAATAAATATAATGGATATTACTTATACCTATACTACCCAAACTAGTATTAGCGGGTACCCCGTGGGTACCTAATGTCAATATTCATAATCCCAAGTCCCATTTCGTAATAAATTTTACGGGTATTTGGATACTCGTAACCCTAAAAAATGGGACGAATATGGGTATACCCAAATACCTGTTGCCCACCCCTAGATAAGTCCGATTTCGATGTTGATAAGGTAATGCATTAGAGGTCGACCCTTAAGAATGAGGTATACCTTTTAATGTACAAGGTTGACCGCTTTAAGATTGAGGTCAACCATTTCATGTACAAGGTCGAGTCTCGTTTGATGAAATGAAACTTACGATTCTGTTAGTAAGAAGCTTAGTTCCGTTCCCGACAAGCGGGCAAGAGAACTAGGATTGGTGTTATACCCTAAAAGCAGGCAACCAAGAGAGGTAGGCGTAGAAGGTGGTCGATCTATTCAACTAGTTGATTGAAGCTGAAAAGATTCCCCTCGGCCGTAGATTCTGTTTTTGAGGAAGGGGATAGGGTTGAACGTAACAAAATAGAAACAGTAGATTCGGTCGACCTTTATTACTGTGCGGTCGACCTATTTGTGCAAGTCACTTTAGCAAAGTCCAAAAAATTTCCAGCATTTTATATTTTTATTCTTAGCCATTTTGCGTTAACATAAAGAAAAACTCTAGCCCTCTAGATCGTTGGTTGTTGATTACACCTATAGTGAGTTGTAAGTGACTGAAGTAGTAACAACTAACAAGAGATGTTGCCCCAGCTTCCATCACCTTGGAAATGGAGCGCAAATCTTCAAATTAATCATCGAGACTCAGAGATCATCATTTGTTAGTTGCAAACGGGTGCCTCGTCTAATACACTAAGTGGTCACATCCTGCATATTTGTATTTAACTAGTCTCATGTGATTCCTTTATTGTAGAGTTTAGGGCGGTGGCGTGTCACTAATTGGGTTGCACATACAGTGACATATAAAGGCATTTAATTCTCTTCTTTAGATGTAGCATTGTTTGATTTTGGAGTCTGGTTGTTGTAGGCTTTTAGTTTGTGGATGTAAAGGGGATGAGGTTGCCTTTCTGTTTTTCTCTAATGGGATGCTCTTTCTTAACATTTCTAGGAAAAAACCGTAACTTTTTATTAATGTGTCGTTCGGATGAAGTTTAGTTTTGAATTTTGAGTTTTGATAGATAAAGTTGTTCAAATATTGACCATAGTTTTAACCAAATAATTTAAACTTAAATCTATTAACCATGAAACAAAATAACTTTAAAACACGCCAATGAAATTAATATAGAAACCAAATAACCAAACCAAAGTTTGAAAGGGTTTGTTAATTGATTTAACAAATATAATATAATTTTATTTGGAGTTGTATCACACGTATATTCATCGTTAACTCTACCACGATTGCCAAAAACATATTCATAAGCCATCCTGCAGATGAGTATAGCCAGAACATCCTTAACAATTCATCTTCCACCATTTAAGATATCAAAGTCTTCCGTCTCCTCTTCAACTTGTTCCATTAGGTACTTTTCCAACTAATTTCTACTCAATTCCACTCCATATTCTAACTTTCGTTGCTTGAGAAATGTATCAGAATCTATAGATGATATATGAAGACTGATTTGTAATTGGTTTGATTGATTAGTAGAGTCTTTAATCACATCAAACCACTTAAATCGAATTAACTAAAAGAGTTAATCAAACAAAATCAATCAAACCAATCTAACCAAATACTATTGATTATCATGGTTTTCATCCATTTAAACATTCCACCAATAGCTCTCCTCTCACTCTAAGAAAACCTAATAGAGGAAAGAATTACTCACCGTTCTATCTTTCAAGCTCGTACAAGTTTACTGACCCAGTTTTTAATTTACCCCATTACTATGAGTTAGAATATGGAGTGACCCAATTTTTAATTTACCCCATCTAAGATATCAAACTTTACTTGTCACTTTTGTACGACGAATTGACGATTGACGCCCCCTTTCTTTCCCCGCCTCCCGCAGTCAGCCCCGCCATCGTGAGACCTGAAATCGCAACACCGGTTGAAATTCTCCTGCTCTCTAACGTTTGTGGCTCTCTCTCTCGTTCAGTCTCCATTCCAGACTCGCAGGTACGATGCTCTCATCTCTTCCAGTTTTTTTCTTGTGAGGTGGGAAAATGTGGGGTTTTCTTCCTTCATGCCATTTTTTTCCCCGTTGAATCAGTTGCTTTTATTGCTCACATAAAGAAACCGATACAACGAGATAGGATCCCATAGATCCTTTGCAATACAATGTCCTCTACTATCTCCCCCACTATTGTTCATCTGATACTACTTACAAGAAAGGAAAAGGAAACAACTAAGACCAGAATCTGTATCTATAGGTATTCCAGCAGTTCCAGTTCAGCCTGCAATTCCGGTTGACCAGCAACAATAAAATGCAACTCCTCTTGCAACAGATCAGCTAGCCGAGCCGGAGTTTTACAGACATAGCCATGTACCACTGCACAACGTTCTTTCCACACGAAAGACAAAAGAATGCACCAAATCATAGCATGCCAATGCCCCATCTTTGAGTCCCTACTTACTACATTCAAAGCACCACTTAACATTGCGTCCCAACTACTATAGTTAAGTGTTAGAAACCGATTTATATCGGGTTTCTATATTTATTATTATTATTATTACTACTACTATTAGAGTATTCTTATTATGGTTAGTAATCTTTTAGTCGTATTAGGTTTATTGTTAGGGTTTTCTCATATTCTCTATAAATATGTACTGTGAGTTCGCGTTACAATTAATCAAGAAAGAATTATCAAAGAATCTGCTAACCCCTAATCTCCCTATCATCTCAGTTCTCGATCTCAATCCCTCCAAAGGCCTAGGCCGTTTCTCTTCTATTCTTCCCCAAATTCTCCTCAAATCCCTAAATCCCCAATTCTATTCTATAAACCCTAAATCCCCAATCTCTAAATCTGATCTAGAACCCGTTAGAAACTTTTTTTCTAACATTAAGTAAATTGCATCGCATAACAGAGGCAACCTGGTTTATAAACAAGAACTGTAAAAACAAGTGCTCTCTTGACTCAGCAGCCCCTCCACATAATGGACAGGAGGCATCTGTAATCTTCCCCCACTTCAGTAGCTTGTCTCGAGTAACAATAGAGTTCCTAATTATGAGCCAGGCAAGGAAATTATAACGCAAAGGACAAGGTTTACACCATACCAGTTTGTACCATGGAACTTCAGACGCACGAAGTCATAGCGTCTCCCAAACTTGTCGCACTGAGTACTTCCTCATCAACTTTGTCCCCCCAGTAAACCTCATTGTTTTGCTTATGCAGCCAAGTCTGAATCAAAGGCCTCAGCTTAAGCAAGCGCCGCCAAGCCCAAGAACTAATATATTGAACCTTCATTGTCCACAAATCCCCCTGCTTGCACTTATACGCATACATCTAGGCTACCCAGAGTGTCCCAGAATTCAACAAAAATAACCAGAGTAGCCGAACTGTACATGCTTGATTCCATCCCAGTAAATCTTTTATCCCCAATCCTCCTTTTTTGGGAAGAGCAATTGAATCCCAAGCAACTTTAGCCTTTCCCTCTTCATTCCCATGCCAAAGGAATTGAGAGCAAACCTTCTGAATTCGCTTAAAAACTTTCTTAGGCAACAAAAATAATTGCATCCAATATTGAACAATACCAATCAGCACAGAATTTAGTAATTGCAACCGACCTGCATAAGTCAATTTCTTAGCTCTTCGGGATCTCATTCTCTTTGTGATTTTATCCACTAAAGCATCAATTTCCTTTGAGGATAATTTTCCAGTTATTAATGACAAACCCAAGTATCTGACAGGGAGCTTACCTTCCTGGAAACCAGAAAGCTGCAGTGCATTATTCTTGTAAAGCACTGATTCCCCACCAAAGTAAATCTCACATTTAGCTGGATTACTGTTAAGCCCAGACAACTGATAAAACCTATGTAAAACAGCTTTGACTTGCAAGATGGCTTGTGCAGATCCAACCGTAAACACCAAGATATCATCAGCAAAACAGATATGGTTCAAAGAGACCTTACTGCACTGTGGATGAAAAGGAATTGCTCCTGTTTGTCCTGCTTTCATTAACAGTGTTGAAAGCCCCTCCATGGCTATAGTGAAAAGGTAAGGCGACAGTGGGTCACCCTGCCTGACCCCCTTTCTTGCTCTAAAGAAGCCACATAGACTGCCATCCACATTAAACTGTAATGTGCTGTTTGAATACAACTCATTATCCACTTCATAAACTGGTCAGGAAAACCCATTGAACTCATCATAAGAAATAGATAGGTCTAATTTACCGAGTCAAACGATTTCGTAATATCAACCATAATAGAACATCGTGAGGATAAAGCTTTCCTATGATACCCACTAACCAGCTCTTGAGCCAAAAGAATGTTATCCATTATGTTTCTCCCTTTAATGAATGCAGACTGAGTTCCACTAATGACCTTAGGCAACACTTCTCTTATTATCTTGGCTAATATTTTAGCTACTATCTTATACAGTATATTCACACAAGATATTGGCCTAAAATTCTTCAAAGTATCAGCATTTTGTACCTTAGGAAGCAATGAGACAGCAGTGGAATTCACACCACTAGGCATAGTACCTGTGTGGAAGAAATCCAGGACTCCCTTTATTATGTCAGCTCCAATAATGTGCCAAGTTCGCCTGTAGAACCCCGTAGAAAAGCCATCAGGCCCCGGAGCTTTTTGGGGACTCATAGCAAACACAGCTTCCCTTACTTCTTCAGTTGTAATAGAGCGGTACAAAAACAAACAATCCGCCCCTGACAGCTTACGTTGCACTAATTCCTCCACATCTTCCTTTACTAGCTTGATATCCTGATTTACTTCACCCAATAACTTTTTGTAGTATGAGATAGCTTCCTCTATTATCTGATCTGATTGTGTCAACTCATCCCCTGACTCTGTAATTATCTTTCTAATTCCCCTTTTAGAGTTTCTGATCTTCACAGCTTGATGAAAAAATGCAGAACTCTTATCTCCCACTGTCAACAATGAAATTCTGGAATTTTGCCAACAAAAACTTTCATATGCCAAAGTTAGCTGATCTAATTGTTGCTTATTCACCTTAACTGCTTCAAAATGCGATGCAGTAGGATCAGATAAAGCTTGCACTTGTGCCCTTTTGAACTCCTCTTCGGCATCCACAACCTGTTTATGCAACTCCCCATAGACTTCTTTATTTAACCTTTTCAAAGCTTTTTTAACTTCTCGTAGTTTGCCCTGTACTATCTGCAGAGGAGTACCCTCCATTTATATCCTCCAAGCCGTTTCAACCACTTCCAAAAATAATGGATGCTCAGCGCAAAATTCAAAGTACTTGAATGGTTTCGGAAAAGATTTAACTGGAGCTGCAGTACTGACTTGAACTCCACAGTGATCAGTAAACCCTACTGGGAAAACCTCCATTGCACAGTCCTTGAATGATTCTATCCATTTGATGTTGACTAGAGCTCTATCTAGCTTCTTGGCAATAGGATTATTTTGTTGCCTATTGGTCCAAGTAAACTGTGGCCCTGTCGTTCTATAATCCAGCAGTTCCATTGCCCCTATCCAGTCATTAAAATCTATCATACTTTGAGTTGAACACTTAAGATTTGATGTTTCACTTGGAACACGCACTGTATTAAAGTCACCCCCACAACCCATGGATAATCATCTACTTTCAACTTTGCAATATCTCTATAAGTTTCTCTTCGTTCTGCCTCATCATTCGCTGCATAGACGGCTGTCAGAAAGAAACTACTTCTATGTAAGTCTTCAACCAAACAATGGATATAATTCTTGCCTGGCTTGAGTACTCTAAGTTTAATAGCAGGATCCCAAAATAACCAAATACGCCCTAGATTAGAATCAACGAAATTCAGACCCTTCTCCCAACCATGAAACACTTCTTCCACTGTTTCTTCAGCCTTATCTTTTTGTATTCTAGTTTCCAACACAGCTACAACATCTACCCTATTTCTTCGAAGGACTTGCATCAAGTCCTTTTGTTTAGAGGTTTTATTAAACCCCCTCACATTCCAGAACAAAACAATCATTTGGAAGAAGAGGGTTTCCCCCACCCTTCTGAACCTCTTTCTTACCTTCTTTCTTTCTTGGAGCCTCTTGTACTTTAATAGTGCTTGTTTCATCCAATTTACTGAGCACACTGAACGCGGAAGTAGAAATCTGAAGCTTTGGGCTCTGCTGAGGAGACCAAACACGAGGCTTAGCCCCATTCACCACCCGCTGAAACTCATCCTCAGTAGGCAGTTTTGGAGAAGTGGCCACAGCTTGGAAAGATCTCTCTAAGTTTAGAGGAATAGGAGTATCCACTTTTGGAGTAAACTCTGGAATCATAGCATTTAACTGTGGATCTGCATTATATATCACTACTTCCTTACCCTTTCCACTTAACACTAATTGATCCTGCACTTTCTTTGGAGATTCCACCTTATCACTCTGCACCTTCTTAGGAATAGAGACCAATGAATTGACCTGCTGAGATACTTGCTTAGGAACCCACTTTTGACCTTGATGAGCAGCACACTCACCAGTAATGCAAAACAGATGATATTTATGACAAACATGAGGCAAATTGCAATAGGTAATTCCAATTCGCAGTGAAGAATCGTCATCTGGCCAGAGCAACACATGATTAGGGCACTCACTCTCAACGGTAAGCTCCACCAGTACCTTTGCGAACCCGTGTCTATCCCCCATCCTTGTAGTGTGATCAACGCCCAATGGAACCCCAATCCAGCTAGCAATATGACTCAGACCTTGATAATCATTGTATTCCAATGGAACAGTATCAAGATGCACCCAGATTGGCAGAGCCTTCCGCCCTAGATCTTCAAAACTAATTTCCGGAGTCCATGGGCGAAGATATAACAGATTATTGAAGTCAAACCACGGGCCATTCTCTAGAATCCATTCACATACCTTCATGCCATTTTCGTTGAGATATTACTGCTGCATTTTTCTATAGGGATTTCTAGGTTTCCCTATTTCGCTTTCCAATATTCAAAAAGCTACAATCTTTGGCTCGGAAATTATCTAGTGATGACTCGATATTTGCACATGTTTTCCCCTTTGTTTCTTGATCGTTTGAGCTTTAATTATCGCGTCTTTGGACTATTTTATGCTAGGTTGTGTTCCTTTGTCACATTTCAGGTCCTAGCACATAAAGTGAAGCATAGGCGCAAGTTTCAAGTCAATCAGAGATCAATTGGCGATTAGGGAGAAGAAACTCGGGCATGACCTGAAGAAGAATGGAATTCTACCTCACTTTATGGACAAAGAATCATTCAAGCTTGTTATGAAAAGAAATAGGACGAGACTACGAGCGTGTGGGATCAAACGGTGACTGATTCGGAGTCCGAACGAGGGAGAAACGAAGCATTGAATATAGGGGAACATGTTCGGCAGTAAAAACACGGGCGCGCCTAAATCAAAACACGGCCGTGTCCATATTTAGGCACGACTGTGTTTTGGCCAAAGAGGGCTGCTGGGGGCATAACACGGGCGGGCAAAAGCAAAACACGGCCGTGTCCTCGACCGTGTTTTGCCCAGAATCGGGTTTTTTAGGCAGATTGAAGCCAACGGAAAGGGAGGGCTGGGTTTTGGATCCCAAACACCCAAGGGACAAACCAAAGAGAGAGAGGGAGATTTGAGGGCATTCTAAGAGTGGAATTGGAGGATTTCTTCGCCTTGGAAGCTCAAGGAACAAGCCCGGACTTGAAGACTCTTACTGCAGTCTCTCTCTTCTCTATGGAGTAACTTCCCTTCACTTAGGTTTTGAGGAACCCTAGCTATGTTTGTTTGATTGGATGATTGTATGAGTACTCTGACTTGATAATCTTGAGTTCATATTCAATCTATGCATGTTTTCATGATTTAATTCTGCTTTAGTCGAGATTATTGATTCTGCTTTGATCCTATGAGAGCGAATACCTGATTAGGTCAATAGAGCACCATAGATTGATAGTAGTGGATCGATTGATTTAGTCGAGGGTTGATTCACTGCTTTGTATCGATTGCGAACCTCATTCGATAGAGGGAATCTTGTTCAGAACGCCTTGATCGGTTGTTCTAGAGAAGGATATGTCCCTCTAGGCAATTGACTCAATAGGGCCTTGTTCCTTTAGTCGAGGCTCAAGGTCTAGTCAAGGATTCTCCGCATTGTGAATGAAAGTGAAACAAGTTAGAAATCATCAATCGTTAGTCTGGCTAGTGGCTAGAGGGAATCATACCTAAGTGAGTTCCCAACCTTAATTAGATTAACTTTTACTGTAGTTTACTAGAGTAGTTTTAGTTCTTTCATCTTAATCTGGTTTGCTAAATAATAAATTGAAGCTGAGTAATAGTAACTCTAGAGACCCGTGGATTCGATATTTATTACTTGAGCCACTATATTGCAGTCCCTTTCATTGGTTACACTTGGCCATTGTTAGGTGTTGTGTCGTAGCGAGTCATCTGGGCTATGTTAGATTTATCAGGATGCTTAATGTTGTGATACTGGGTTAGGCTTAATTGAGTGAGATTTTGTTTTTGCCGACAGAAAATCAGCAAAGGAAGATTTCCAGTCGAGAGTTGTGTGTAGAGAGTAAGAGATTTTGGTACTTTGCTGGTAGAATCTCAGTGGTGCTAGGTCTTGACATCAAGGGAAAATTTGTTTATTCATCTCATGGAGTCATGGTATCTTTGAATTGAACAGGGAAATAACATAAAGGATGAACTAGGGTTTTCAGTTTCAGTCCGTTGATCAGGAGCTATTTCTACGGTTATTTAACCATTAGGTTACATGTTCATTGGTGAACCAGATTTAGCTCAACTTTCCTTTTTGCGTAGAGCACATTATTTTTTGGTTTCTAATTTTCTCCATTGCTGCTGCAGGTCCATCCCCGTTGGTGGAACGATCTGTATAACAGAGTTATCAAAGCTTATTTAAGCCTGTGAACCATGATTTACCATCTTAGAAGAGTTGTAAGCCCTGCAGTTAGAGGGACTCTAGCTCTTGACCACTACTACCACTCCACACCACTGAACCTCCACATGGTAATATCACCTCATAGATACTTCTCCACCAATGAAAGCACCTCCAACCAGCACTCAGTTGTGGTATCCTACCTCATTAACTCATGGGGCCTCCCTTTGAAATCCGCTCTGCGTGTTTCCAAGCTTCTAAACTTCCAGCCCCAAGAACAAACCGACCTAGCCCTTGCCTTTCTGAAAAACTACGGATTCTCACAAACCCAAGTCTCCTTCCTCGCCCGAAACCACCCCAATTTACTTGTCTGCAACGCGGAAGAAACAATGTTGCCGATTTTCCAGTTCTTTGAATCCAAGGGGTTCTCAAAGTCCGAGGTTGTCAAGCTAGTGAGCAACTGTCCTCAACTGTTGGGCAGAAGCTTGAAGGAGCAGATCAAACCCGGGTTTCTTTTCCTGAGATATTTGCTTCAGTCGGGTGATGAAGAAGCTGTCTTGGTCATGAAGCGTGCTCATTACTTCATGAACCAAGACGTTCAAACTTTCCTGCCACTTGTCATCAACTTACTTCGTCGCAATGGAGTCCATGAATCGGGTATCCGCAAACTACTCTTTTACTGCCCTGGAATATTTACCATGAATCTCGATAAGCTAACCAAGATTGTGGGGGAAGCGAAGGAAATGGGGTTCGAACCTGGAAGATGAAGTTCATCGATGTGATTAGCACCTTTGTCTCCTTGGCGAAATCAACAAGGCAGGGGAAGTTCGATGTGTACATGAGATGGGGTTTGTCCGAGGAAGAGGTGTCAGCTGCATTTCGAAAGAGGACCTTCTTCCTGAAGGCCTCTGAGGAGCAGATAACGAGAGTTATGGATCTGTTTGTGAACAAGCTGTGGTGGGGTGCTTCTTGGGTTGCTATGAACCATGTGATTGTGTCACTCAGTCTGAAGAAGAGATTGCTACCGAGAGCAGCGGTTCTGGAGTTTCTCACTTCGAAGGGATTGGTCGAGAAGGATTACAGGACGTTGTATTTCTTCACCATGACCGACCAAGTTTTCTTGAGCACGCATGTGCATCCGTATGATGAAGCTCCTGAGATCCATAAACTGTAAGTTAGCAAGCTCTCTCCTTCATGACTTGATGACTAAAAAGTAAAAACGTTGCTTTTTACTTCTATTCAGTTCATCTCTTATCTTTTGTGGCATGGTAGCTGTAAGACTTGTATACGGGGGATTAGTGGTTTTGGTTCTCATTGAACTCTTCCTAATGTTAACTTGGTGATCTAACATCTTTGTGATAGACAACTGCAATGAAGCTTGATATCATGACAAGTTCTGTTCTCTTTTCTCTTCCCTATATCTTGGTGTAAATGGCAAATGCATTTTTTATTGAATTATTATTTTTTTAAAATTTTAATTTTATCAATAGATCTCTCTGCCGAAGAGAAGAAATACAGATCAAGTTCGAACAAAGTATGAAACTATAGACTATAAAACCATTGTACGAAGTCGAACCTCAACAGCACGCGAGGCGAGAACAACTTGATCTTTCGGGTCACCAGATGATCCAACCTGTTACGAGAACGGATAAAAACCTCAAAGACATCCCTAACTCCCCATCTAAAAAAGTCCCAATCTCTTGCAAGATACTGCCAATACGAGTATCATGCAAATTGCGAGCTTTGCACTTGTCGATGATGATGTTTGCTTCCCCACAAACAATCGTATTACGCACCCCAACATGGCACACTCAAGTAAGCAATTCCTGAGCGCAATGCATTTGATAATATACACACCCGAGATACCAGTATAGGGCACACCTCTAGCTTTAATAATTCTACCACCTGCTTGAGAAATACTTGCTCTGAAAAACCTAAATGAGGAAAGAGTTATTGACCGTTCTATCTTGCAAGCTTGTACAAGTTTAGTGACCCAGATTGTAATTTACCCAATTACTATGCGTTATGACTTGTGAGCGTACGAAGTATGAACTATGAAGCACTCTTTTCCCGCCTAACCGCAGTCAGCCGTGCTATCTCGAGACATGAAATCACTACACCGTCCGAAATTTTCCTGTGGGTCTCTCTCTCGATCAGTCTTCATTCCAGAGTCGTAGGTAAGATGCTCTTGTCTCTTTCAAATTTCTTTTTGGGTGGGAAAATGTAGGGTTTTCTTCCTTCATGCCGTTTTCGTCGAGATATTACCGCTTCTTTTTGCTATACGTATTTCTGGGTTTCCTTTTTTTCCCTTTTCAATATTCTAAAAAGCTACAATCTTCGGCTCTGAAATGGTATGGGTTGTGTTAGATTTATCAGGATACTTACTGTTGTGGTACTGGGTTATGCTTAATTGACTGAGATTTTGTTTATGTGGACGGTAAATTAGCAAAGAAGGAGTTTCAACCGAGAGTTGTGTGTAGAGAACAAGAGATTTGGTACTTTGCTGGGAGAACCTCAGCGGTAGTAGAGGTCTTGGCTTCAAGGGGAAATTTGTTTGTTCATCGTATATCTGAATTGAACATGGAATCATAAAAATGATGAACTAGCGTTTTCACTCTCTTCTTTCAGTCCGTTGGGAGAGAGCTATTTCTCCGGTTCATCCATGTCGGTGGAATGATCTTTATAACACAATTATCGAAGCTTATTTAAGCATGTCAACTATGATTTACCATCTCATAAGAGTTGTAAGTCCTGCAGTTAGAGGGACTCTAACTCTAGACCACTACTACTACTCCACACCACTAAACCTCCACACTGTAATATCGCCTTATAGATACTTCTCCACCAACGAAAGCACCTCCAACCAGCACTAATCAGCGGTATCTTACCTCATTAACTCATGGGCCTCCCTAAAATCCGCTCTCCATGTTTCCAAACTTCTAAAATTCCAGCCTCAAGAACAAACCGACCCAGCCCTTGCTTTCCTGAAAAACTACGGCTTCTCACAAACCCAAGTCTCCCTCCCTGCCAGAAACCACCCCAATTTACTTGTCTGCAACGCGGAAGAAACAATTATGCCAATTTTCCAGTTCTTTGAATCCAAAGGCTTCTTGAGGTCCGAGGTTGTCAAGTTGGTGACCAACTATCCACACCTGTTGGGCAGAAGCTTGAAGGAGTACATCAAACCCCGGTTTCTTTTCCTGAGAGATTTGCTTCAGTCGGGTGATGAAGAAGTTTTCGTGGTCATGAAGCGAGCTCACTACTTCATGAACCAAGACGTTCGAACTTTCCTGCCACCTGTCATCAACTTACTCCGTCGCAATGGATTCCACGAATCGGGTGTCCGCAAACTACTCTTTTACTGCCCGGGAATATTTAGAATGAATCTCGATAAGCTTAACAAGATTGTGGGGTAAGCGAAGGAAATGGGGTTCGAACCTGGGAAGATGATGTTCATCGATGTGATTAGCACCTTTGCCTCCCTGGCGAAATCGACAAGGCAGGGGAAGTTCGATGTGTACATGAGATGGGGTTTGTCCGAGGAAGAGGTTTCAGCTGCGTTTCAAAAGAGGCCCTTCTTCCTCAACCCCTCTGAGGAGCAGATAACGGGAGTTATGGACCTGTTTGTGAACAAGTTGCGGTGGGATGCTTCTTTGGTTGCTATGAACCCTGTGATTGTGTCGCTCAGTCTGAAGAAGAGATTGCTACCGAGAGCAGCGGTTTTGGAGTTCCTAACTTCGAAGGGACTGGTCAAGAAGGATTACAGGGCGCCGTATTTCTTCATCATGACTGACCAACTTTTCTTTAGCACACATGTGCATCCGTATGATGAAGCTCTTGAGATCCATAAACTGTATGTTAGCAAGCTCTCTCCTTCATGACTTGATGACTAAAAAGTGAAAGCATTGCTTTCTACTTCTGTTCAGTTCATCTCTTATCTTTCGTGGCATGGTAGTTGTAAGACTTGTCTATGGAGGATTAGTGGTTATGGTTCCTATTGAACTCTTCCTAATGTCAACTTGGTGATCTAACATCTTTGTGATAGACAACTGCAGTGAAGCTTGATATCATTACCAGGTCTGTTCTCTTTTCTTTTCCCTATATTTTGTTGTGAAATTGTAAATGGCAAATGCATTTTTTTTGGATTGTTGGTTTGGTATTTCCGGTACAGCCCAACTTTTTTTATTATACCTTTCCAGATTACTGCTTGTACCAGCTGCTATCTTTGTAGGAAATTCTTCTCAACTTGAATGTTGTATGCACATCTATAAATTTAAAGGTTTAACTAATAAAACAGTAAACGGTCAGTAGTCTAAATTTAACTAAATAGTTAATTGATTAACCTATTATAATCATCCTAACACTTAGGGCTAGAAATAATAGGCCTTGATGAGTCATAAATATGGGCCGAACATAATAGGATGTTTGACGGCCTTCAAGATCCCTTGTCTTTCCTACTTGTAACAGTGGCAACATAGGTTGAAATGACAATCAAAGGGCTCTAGAAAGATGGATTTGTACATAATAGCTCGACAACGATAAGCAACGTTTAAGCTTCCATGCAATTTGGTGAGGTTTATGAGTTGAGTAATTGTTGTTTGGTGTTATATTCTTGCTACTTCTTTAATCAAATTTGACGGCATAATGATGTTATCGTGTACTTGTATTGTATTGTGTTGATTATTGATTGATATCTATGCTAAATTATTTCCTGTTGAATGATAAAACTTTAAAACGAAAGAACACATAAAACAAATCTACAAAAACACAATTGAAAATATGAGGATATCTTTTGTTGGTTAGGTTATCGATCGGTTATTTTGGTCTAATCTTGTCGAATCACTTGCTAAACAATTATCAAGTTAATCGACAAAATAACCAATAACCGACTATACTGTAACAATTAACCGACTAATATAAACGGCGTTACTACACACCATATCTGCATCGCAAACACTAAACTATGAAGATCAACATAGGATTCTTCATTCAGACAATACTCGGAACATAAAACCTCAGCACAGTTGATAAGATTTTTACAGAGACCCTGATTTGGATCCAACTAACTATTGGAGATGGTGAAATGATGGAACTTATTGCCAACTCATATCATATGCTAGTGTTACCCCACATCATAGCCTTTGGCAGTGTATGTAGTCTTCTTTTTTTTTTTTTTTTGGCAGTGTATGTAGTCTTCTTATTGCTCTTATCTCGACAAAAAGAAAACTATCCCCTTTCACCTTTTTTCCTCCACCACCATTATCAAGTCATGTGACGTCTGTGAAGTAAGGTTGTCAAACCGGTTTGTGCTACTATGCCGGTTTAGCAAGTGGAATGGTTCGACCGGTGGTACATACCGGTTTGTGTCGGTTCCTGCCGGTTAATATTACAAATAATTTACAAATACTTATATTTAAGCACGCCATTTAACGTCAATACCTAAATATTTGTACTTGAATACAACAAATAACATCAACATTTCACTTTTTAACACATAAAATAAATAATAAATTACTTTTTATCAAATAAATTCACTAATATAAGATTATTTTACTTAGCGATTCGTATATCGATCATGCCGGTCATACTGATGGTGTCATACCGGTTTTATTACCGGTACAGGTTCAACCAGTAGCACGCCGGCCTGCGTGACAACCATGCTGTGAAGTGAAACACTACAAAACACACACCCGTACACCATATCCTTCATTTTCTTCTCTGGTAAATCATCACCTCATGTTCCAATCCCCCCCCCCCCCCACACACACACACACCAAAGGAGCGCATTACATACATCAATGGTAACAAACAACTCATGGTCAAATATGAAGCTGACACGATAACGTGTAGATTTATTTTTACGTAGCTTATCAGGAAACATAGACAAAACTATTCTCCGGAATAAAGCCAAACCACAAGACACACTCTGATTTCCTCCTCTGAATTTTTTGTATATCAGATGCAACCAGGCAATTAGCTCCATCAATGTTTTTTGCCTTCTACTATCACAATCAATCTTCTCAAAATAACCAGTCAAAACTAAATCCCACTTCGAATTATTCCTCATCTTTTCTCAACAAAAAACCAAATAAATTCAGAGCAATTCCAAAAGATTAAGTCCACAAACGATTGGAAATTAACAAATCCAGCCAAATAAACAAATCTTCGGAGTTGGTGAATTAAAAGTAATAAATTATTTATTTTATCTTATCCCACACCACCACTGCAGATCCCAGTCAGCGACACCGGAAATCTGCTCAGCGCTCCTCTCACCGCCGACGACGACGCCCCACCGCCACCAACAGCTTCTGCAGGTGGCAAAACCCTCCCGTCGGCGAACAACGCCCGCCCGACGAACCCACCCTCCACCTCCGCACCCGCCGCCGCCGCGGCAGCTTCCTCCTCGGCGTTGAAGAAGGCGGCGTCCCCGTACCTCCTCTCCACCTCGAGGAACTCCCCCAGCGAGTAGGCCGGCTTCGCCTCCGCGTCCCTGCACAGACTCCACCACCTCCTACGCCTCTCCGCCGCCGCGGTCGCTGGCCGCGGCGCCGGCGGGATTTTCCTCTTCCTGGCCCTCCTCTGCTTCCTGGAGTTGGAATTGGGATTCGTGCCAGCGGGGGTGGCGAATTGGTGGGTTGATTGGAGTTGATCTGATGTAGAAGGAGGGCCACCTCCGGCGGCGGCGGGGAACGTTACCCCCATTAGGGTTCCTAGTGTGGTGCTCCGGTCATGGAAGAACGAGCCTGTTGACTGAAAGCAGAGGGAAGAAGGGGAAAACAAATCAATTGTAGATTCTTTTTTTTCCCCCCGGGTCACTGCGGTGAGTTGAAATTGGGAGAAATGGGGGAGTTACCTCGGTGTCGAGATCGGAAGAGGAAACGGATGAGCTGGTGGGCGACGGCGGAGGAAGCGGATGGTGAAGCATTTTCCAGTCACTTTGCCGGCAGGATTGGCGGAGGAAAGGTGGAGAGAAAGAGCGTAAAGGGAAGGGAAGGGAAGGGAAGTATGCGTGTGGGGGAGTGGAGTGCAAACCAAAAAGTCTCTGCCCACTTATTGTCATCATGGAAAAAAGTGAAAAAAGAAGAGAGATATCCACGGGGAGAATGACACAAATATTGTTTTTTTTTTTAATTTACCACGAATATTACAAATTAAAAACTATTGACACAAATATTGTGGGTTTTAGTAAGGATTGGGGCGGGACCACCTGAGACTCAGGCGGGACTGGTATTTTACCCAGTGCTGGACGTCGGCGCCCCAGTCTCAAGCGGCCCCGCCTGGAACATCTTTTTTAATTAGTCTCGGGCACAGGCGGGAGCGCCCCAAACCCTTTTATTTTAAAATTTCGGACGGTCCCCCTTATCCTCCCACCTTATCCCCTCCCACACCACACAAATCCTTCTTCTTCCTCCCAAACCCGCGAACCTGCCCCCAACCCTGCGAACCAGACCGCCGCTACAGCCCCAGACCTCGGCGCCGCCGCCCCAGACCTCGGCGCCGCCGCCCCAGTCCTCGCCGCCGCCGCCGCAGTCACGAGCGCCCCCGTCCCAGACCTCGGCGCCGCCGCCTTTGACAGTAGCGCCAGCGCCTTTGACTGACCCGCCACCGCCCGAGATGTCCTCCGACGAAGAACCACTCGCCGCCGGCAGAGGCAGAGGGAGAGGTCGGCGAGGTCGTGGTGGAGTCGGCGGCCGTTTGCGCGGTGAGACTCTCGTCGGCAGTTTGATTTTTTTTAATGTTTTGTGTTTTTTTTAATGTTTTGTTGCTTTGTTTTTGCAGTTCCGAGGCTTATGGATCCTTATTCGATGAGATTACCGCCGGCGACAATTGATCCAAGTCCGGTCGATCCGACACTTCTTTGGGGACACGGCCAACATCGTATCGACTCTGTTTGGACAAACGAGGTAAGTATTTGATAATTATTCATGTAAAGTTAATTAGCTAATTAGATTATTTTAGGTAGTGAACTGAACTGTTAGGTGAAATTAGTATAATTTCAAATTAGTATAATTTTATGTTAGATAAGACAGATTAGAATTTATTAGGTGAAATTAGAATTATTACGAATGAAAATGAATTAATATAAGTTTTGTGCACTATAGGCTGGTGATCGACCGTACCATGTTCGAGGTACGACCATTTTAGTACCTTACCATGAGCTTTATCGGCCATATCTCGAAGCGGCAGGCTTGTTTAGTGTCGTGCCCCTAGTCCCTATGAACCCCGATGCTAGTTTGATTACTGCGCTCGTAGAGCGGTGGCGCCCCGAGACGTCGACCTTCCATCTACCGTGTGGTGAGATGACGATCACGTTAGAGGACGTTGTTACACTGTCCGGTCTGGCGATCGACGGTGATGCCGTCGTAGTTGATATACCGGATGAGGAGTGGTCGGCGATCTGTTTGAGACTGTTGGGACGAGTTCCGGCCGATCTTGTAGGCAGTGTCGCTGTTGTTAGGATTGTTTGGCTGAGGGTTGAATTCAGTCATCTGCCGGAGAATGCATCACAGGAGGTTATAGAGCAGTTTGCACGAGCTTATGCTCTATCTCTGCTTGGAGGTGTACTTTTCTCGGATCGGTTTGGAAGTACGGTGCACCTACAGTACCTACTTCTGATTGAGGATTGGGAGAGAGCTGGACGGTTTGCCTGGGGAGCTGCTGTTTTATCCTACCTGTACCGTGAGATGGGTAGGTCGACTTTGCACATTACGCATACCGGCACTTCTCTTAGCGGTGACCTTGGTGGATGGGTCGCCCTACTGCAGTTTTGGGCGTGGGAGCGATTCCCACATCTGGCACCTCGAGACGAGGAGACAAGGGCACAGGCCACCGAGGATGCATTCCCACGTGGTCTTCGATGGCTTTCGGCCAACAGTCGTCAGTATGGTGACCAGCTATTCCAGTACAAGCTGTGGTTTGACGCGATGGACACCGTGGTGGTTAGTATATAACATTTCATTTTATATAATAGTTTTCATTTGTTTTATTTTTTTAGATTTAGGGATAATAACGATAATTTTTGGATTTAATGTAGTGGCAACCTTACTTTGAGAGAGCACTTCATCTCAGAGGTAGTGTGCTACAGTCGGAGACATTTCGAGCAGTAGTGCCACTTATCTGCTTTTCATCGGTGATGTGGCATCATCCAGAACGCGTGCTCCGGCAGTTTGGCATGAGACAGCATGAGCCTCATCAGCCACATTCTGAGGTTGAGGTTAGGTTTTTTCTTCGCCATGCTACTCGTGGGCCATCGCGTGGGCAGCAGTTGGTACACGCCTCCAGAGAGTCGATTGCTTTCTGGAACCGTCGACACGAGTTTGTAGCGACGGCTCCATATACTGATGAGGAGTTAGCCTACCACTCGGAGCATATGGAGTGGTATAGAGATGTCACCAGACGATCCGGCACACGGAGAGGAGCTGCAGCAGAGGCGTTGGTTAGTTATTTGATTTATTTGCTTAATTTGTTGTTAATTGTGTGAAATATCTGACATTTTTGTTGGTGTTTTTTAGTACGACACTATCGAGCATGCTGAGGTGAGTTTGCGTGACGGTGTACGGTCTGGAGGGCTGACCCCCGACCAGTGTGAGGACTTGGCCAACTTTATGGCATCCGGGGTTGCTGCTCTAGGGTTTGAGGATCGTAGATACCCTGATCTCACAGTACCTGTACAGCGCCATTATGAGGGGCCCGTCATGACTGCCTGGCCAGAGCGTACTGATCCGACACCGGGCTGGGTCGTCCCAGAGCCACAGTTCAGACAGGAGCATAGGCCACGTAGACAGAGACGTGAGCATCGTGATGCACCTAACCCATTTCGGGTTTCCGATCGACAGCGAGCACAGCCCATCCGGCCTACATCGAGGAGCTTCCAGTTTAATCCGCCTCGGACGCAGTTTCAGTCAGATCCTTCCTCGAGCTTTCAGCCGCCGCGACGACAGCAGTTTCAGTCAGATCCGTCATCGAGCTTCTATCAGCCAGAGGATAGCTTCCATACACCGCAGCATGCTACGATGGGAAACATGGCATCAGGTGGTGATACTAGAGCAGCGGCGACTCCCGACCTGTGGCAAGAGGGTGATGAGGTGTTTAGGGAGACGATGTGGATCCATGAGCAGCACCTTCAGTCTCAGCGTAGTGGTGGCGGTCAGCCTGATGAGCATCTTCAGTCTCAGCAGGATGAGATGTTCGGTACACAGGACCAGGATGGTGGAGTTGAGGAAGATGAGCCCCAGGAGTATGATGGTAGACCAGTGCGCATCAGGGTGCCTGCTAGGTGTGGTACTGGCGGCCATCTAGCGGTGGAGCATGGTGGTCGTCGTGGTGGTCGTCGTGGTGATCATCAGTGAGACTATTATTATTATGTACTTCCTTCAGACGTTTATTTTTGGATTGTTATTATTATGTACTTCCTTCAGACTATTATTTTTGGATTGTTATTATTATGTACTTCATTCAGACTATTATTTTGGATTGTTATTATTATGTACTTCATTTAGACTATTATTTTTGGATTGTTATTATTATGTACTATAAACAAACAACAACATCTCAAGCAACAACATCTCAAACAACAACATCTCAAACAAACAACATCTCAAACAAACAACTTTTACATGGTAAATCAAAAGATAACAACAACATACCAAACAACAACATCTCAAACAAACAACAACTTTTACATGGTAAATCAAAAGAAATATAACAACTTCTACCACCTCTCAGCCACGTCTATTACCTCTACTTCCTCTTCTACCACCTCTCGTACTTCGTTGGCCACCACTCCCTCCTCGGTTGCTCCCACTCCTACTAGCTTGGCCGCCGCAAGTTGATGCATTATGTCCCGCTTGGTTACAGTTGCTGCACACTTGGTGTGATGCACCCTCCCTTGGCCAGTCCATCTCGTTGTGGATCCTTGTAACACGTGGCCTCCCCGGCTTCCTAATCATGTGCACATTAGGATGGAGAATAGGACCATTATGTTTCTTCCAACCCTTAGGTTCACCAAGAGGTGCGAAACTTGTCCCATAACAAGCCATCACTGTTTCCAGCTTGTAGACATTGTTGACAAACCTATACGCATTAGCCCCCATTCGGTTGCAAGCTGCAATGGCATGAGAGCAAGGAATTTTATTTCCTTGAAATTTACCACAAGTGCAAAATCCTGCCCGGTTTTGATCGTCAAAGTGAACTGTGAGTGTGTTTGACCCTGTCATGTTGAAATTGTTGGGAGGAGTCTGAACTACATAGATGCCTTGACCTCGATCAAGAGCTGTCACAGAATGTCCAATTGCCTTTTGTGACCTGTACTTCATCAGCTCTTCGCACTTGTTGGAGTACTGTGAACCGCCACTTCTAATTTCTGCTCCTGTCTCCAACCTATACATATCGAATTTCTCCACCAATCGCCAATAGGTATGCTGCACAAGAGAAGCTATCGGAAGTGCACGAATACCTTTGAAAACGCCATTGACGCTTTCTGCCATGTTGGATGTCAGGATAGACCAACGACCCCCACCATTGTAGTTATCATGTGCTAAACTCCAACGAATCTGATGTTGATCCACCCAGTTATCACATGAAATATTTCTATCAGCGGCCACCTTCTTAAATTGCTCAACTTGACGATCAAACTTCTCCAACCGTTTTTCTCCGGCTAACAAAATAAACCACAACACGTGTTAGATAAATTCATGACAAAATTACATGAAAACAAATAACAAAATTAAATGAAGAAAGCTTACCGACTCGAAATAGTTGATTATACATAATTTTGCTTCGAGTCTTCCTTTGCAAATTGCTTGCATAGTGTCGCATGCACCACCTCCACTCCCAACCTCTTCCGATATTATTCATGGCTTCATAGAGTCCTGCATGTCTATCTGAGATGATGCATACATCATTTCGATCAGTCAAACCCTGAACCTTCCTCATGAACCATGGCCAACTCTCAGTATTCTCGCTCTCCACTATGGCAAATGCAATTGGAAAAATCTTCCTCCGGCCATCAAATGAGCTCGCCATGAGTAGCACTCCTTTATACTTCCCAGTAAGAAATGTTCCATCCACAACCATGACGCCTGGACAATTCTTGAATCCATCTATACAAGGTCCATAAGCCCAGAATACTCGCTGAAATATTAAATGACCAGGTTGAGTCGAAGGAACTGTTACCCAATCAATCAC